ACCTCCCCTGTGCCGCTCTTCCCCCTGCAACGCAGAAATGTCCCGAGCCTCGAGGGCACCACCAGTTTGGTCACTTAAACAAATATTGGCTTTGACTTTCGAGTTTCTCCGTTTTTAAAGCAGGGCACAGTGGCAGCAAAAAATAAATAAATAACACAACATGAACCATTTCCATGCTCAAGCCGAGGTGTGAGAGGTGGACAGTGACCGCTGTTCACAGATGTACTGGACACGTGTGAAAAACAGCTTTTATAGCTCATCGGACGGATTCCTCCAGTATAAATACATATTCTGGTTCTGTTCAGCGATTCTAGGGCTCGCATTTCAGTCGGGCCGAGACGACGCTCGGTGGCCTTTTTGCGAAAGCAAGACGCCTGCAAGAGAGGTCAAAAGATGTGAAGGAGCAGCCATGCAATTACTTGCGCACAACACTGCTAGAGGGCCTCCCCCCACCCACTGGAGGCGGCTCTACAGACACCCTCTGGAGCAGGGGACGGCAAACTCGAGGCTCCGAAGCCACAAGCGACTCTTCAAGGACCGCTTCGTGGCGTTATTTATGAAGCAACCGCCGTCTTCTATTCACCAGGTGCACTGCGGCTCTTGAAATACTGAGTTTTTTTTACTGAATTCCAAAAAAATGGCTCATTATTTTGATTGCCGACACCAGCTCTAGAAGGTATTTTGGCCTACTCTTTCACGCTGGCCAGATGATGTCTTGTTAGAGATGGGAGTACCCAATTATTTTGTTCTGCTGGATGGATTGAGGCAGTTGGGGGGATTTAAGAAGCGGATTAATTGTTTTGACCGTCGCATCGGGAGGTTGAAAACCCGGCACAGCATCACGAGAGAAGCATGTGCGCAACTAGGAAAATCAGGCGCTGCTCCCATGCGCTGGCCATCGTGCTGTTTAACCTGACAGTTGTGTACATTCCACATTCCTATGGCGTCAAGTAAAGACTTATTCCACCCACCAGGAGAGGCAGCAATGTTCGATACGTGCGCACGGGCGAGAGGGCAATGTCAGCGTGAGGGACACGAAACTCCTCGCAACGACGCTGCCGTGTGCTATCGCTTCGCCAAATAATCCTGGCTATAAATAATTGCATCCCAGATCTGAAAAGTAAATCGGTTTGCGCAGAATTACTGCCTAAATCATCTCACTTATATTGCATTACAGAGGGATTAGACTCTGCCTGCTGAATGTCGGCCAGACACTGAAATATTTATCGATGTTAATTATCCAGTCGCGTTATTTCCGATACGGTCATTTTCACCTGCAGCCACATTATTTATCTGCGCTTGATGTCAAAACGACAAGTCACATTGACCCCCCCCCCACCCCCGCTGTTCATGAAGGATACATAAGGGTGAAGTCTGGTCCAGGAAATTACCATACACCCCAAGGCACACCGTAGGGCCAAATATTACTCAACTAATTTTTATTTTACCAGGTAATCCCCACTGGCCTGTTTAGCTCTTTTTCATAAGTGACCTGGCCACAAATGACGGCCCAATGAAGTGGCTTATCACGCGCAAATTTATAGCAGCAAATACTCTAAGCGCATTCTAGATTTGAAGCTTTCGTGACTGCAAGGATTCATACTCTTAGGTTTTTTCGGTAAAGTCACGTAGGTAAAAAATAAAATTAAAATTAATAAAAGTAAAATAAAAATGTTTCTAAATGTGGAGGGAAAACTGGAGGACCCGGAGAAAAATCTACAGGACCACGGGGAGAACATGTAAACTCCAAATATACAGACGTCATAGTCAGGATCAATCCCACGACATGCTGTATACCAGGTGAGGTAGTTAACATCTCACCACCGGGGCACCTACATTTATAAATACAACAATAACAACATCGTGAGTAGGAATCACAATTGCAAGTACGTGGTAATGGTTAATTCTAATTCTCTATGAATGACACAAAGGAAATTGTAACCGAGTCTGGGTCTGACATCAGATACCTGCACTTGTCATTGGCCAAGATCAATCAATCCGCATTTGGATGAATGCCTCCACAAGGTATATTTGAGCCCAAAAAGTAAAACAAAAATCTACGGGCCAGTCGCGATGCGTCGATTCGCTGCTCAAGATCGATCGCTACGCTCACGGTATCTACTTGTTCTACTTAGTTACCCGGCATAGCCAGACTGAGTCTGAAAAATCTAGAGACTCCATTGGGATATGTGACCAATTGCATTTAAATCATATTTGTGTTTTAAACCTATGAGACGAAACTAGGAGTACCTGGTGAAAACTCACCAGGTGTATCAGGAGAGTGCACTCGAAAGGCAAGCACAGATGGGTTCATGAAGCCACTTGCTGGTCTGCCATCTATTCGCTACCTTGCAGCCAGTGTATTTGGGAATTCACCTAATCCGTGGGATCCATCAACCCCCTGCCTATAAAGCGCGAGATCACAGACGTGTGCCACATCGCCCGTTTCAACAACAATACTTTAATTAATAAAATAAACAAAAGCAATGAATAAAACACGCCGCGCACATCTGCCAACTGCGCCAGGCTGGGGACGGACAGCCGATAAACAGTGGGGCACGCGGAGTGGCCTCAGTTTTGCGTGTTCCTGCAACTGGGCCCGGTGTGAGCCGTGTCATGGTCAGGCAGGTCCCTATCGCAACAACTCTGACCCCAACCAACGACCCCCCTACCACCCACCGAGCCCCCCCCCCCCAACCGATGCAGCAACTGAACCTCGAAAGAGGTCGTTGGGGCCTCGCAGGGTGGTGGAATTCGACGGGAGAAACTGATGCACCAAACAGCTACCCAGCCGAGCTGATGCAACCTGACCTGAACCCAAAACCCAAATGTGACCCGAACCCAAACGTGATCTGGTCTGATCTGTCACTGGATGGCCACGTCTGCTGCCAACATATGTACTCGAGTGTGACTCCAGGCGATGATGTCTCCCCCCCCCCCCCCCCCCCCCCGATGATGACACTGGTCAACAAAAAAAATGTCTGGCCTGGACTTTTGCAGCTGTTTTAGACTAATTTGAGGGTGCTGATTCCAAATCTGATCTCAGATTTGCTCTATCACATCTCATTTTTATGCTATCGGCATACCCCATTTTCATTGATTTTACCCGAAATTAACTCTGTCACTTATGAATGCAAGTTGTTGCGAGTCAGTGACTGCTTTAGTGTTAAAATATGGTGCTGTGTTTTTAGGATAGTGTCTTTATAATATCATTTCATGTAAATATTCACGTTTATTTAATATTTTTCTTCTGCAGTTTTTATTGAAAATGCAATATTTTATATCTCAAAAACCTGATGTGATAGTCAAAAACTGATGCTAGATTTGGAATCATCACCCCAAAATTACCTTAAAACCGTTGGAATACCTTATGCCAGAAAAAGTGTGTTGACCAGTGTAATCAGGCTAATTGTAAAACTGTAAGAACATTTCAAACCGGATTGAAGTAATTTGTCATTTATGACAATAAAGGTCTTTCATTGAAATGTCACAACGCGATTTACACGTGAAACATTTTCCACACACCATACATAAATATTAAGCGCTTCACAAAAAATCAAAATATGGTCGTAATTTTTTTAAAGAAAATCATTGGCTGTGTCGCCAATGCAAACCCGGATTCGTTATCCCTGTACTCGAGGAACAGTTTGGCACAACGAGAAGCCAAGGCGAGTATATCCTAAACCCCAAAGAGCGATTTGGATGCCAAGTGGCCCCAGGTTCTTGGTGAGAGATAAGGCACGGGGCGCTGAACAGCTCTGATGAGACGAGATTTGACAACACGACGATGTCATGCAGCCAAAGATGCCCCGGGTACACTCCCCCAGAACACTCGCTCACACACCTGGTTGGTGCCTGACCATAGCCAGGTGCACTGTCATTTCAGTGGCAATTGGCGGGTATTGGTACAGCAAGGACACCTGTGTGTCCACCATGAACCGAAAAAAATCCCACGATAACAATCATCATGGCCAACCAAACCATGCCCTCACAAAAATAAGACCATGCCCCTCATGGGCAAACGATGGCGATTACATCAAAGTCATGCTCATACAGACACCGTGCCCAACTCTTAGCAGACCACATGCCCCCTTCTTACCAAGCCATACCCCTAAAGAGAAAAATCATGACCCTCACGCAGATCCTGCCGTTAAAATAAGTCCATGCCCTTGATATACAGTAGTGTAGTTCAATGTCCTTCATACCAAATCACATCGTGCCCCTTACACCAGTCCATGCCACTCACACCCAAGACCACGGCGATGGAAGAGGTGAAATTGATCATGATGAACGATAATAAAAATAAACGATAATAAAAATAACCCACGCACCACACACAAACACGCCGACAACAGACGCACATTGGGCAAAGAAGTGCCGGCGACGTACCCTCGTGCCAGGCTAGGTGCACTGTGTGCCACGTGAAAGTGTGAGAGGCTCGGAACAGACCCAGGTGGTTATGGGTTCGCCGACTGCCATGTACCAACTTTGTTGTGTTTTAACCGCCCGGGCGCTCTCTGCTCGTTGTAGTGAGCGTCGCTCCTTCAATTGCACATACCACCACCACCAACAACAATAACAATCGCAACCACCCAGCAAGAGTTTATGGCAGGGCCGGGACGGGTCAAGGCGGGTTAATTAAGAGGGGGGGGGGGGGGGGGGACAAGGTGCGGGAGGGGTCAGGGAGGGGGTCAGGGAGGGGGGGGGGTCAGAGAGGGGTCAGGGAGGGGGTCAGGGAGGGATCATGGAGGGGGTCAGGGAAGGGGGGTCAGAGAGAGGGGTCAGGGAGGGGGTCAGGGAGGGATCATGGAGGGGGTCAGGGAAGGGGGGTCAGAGAGAGGGGTCAGGGAGGGGGTCAGGGAGGGATCATGGAGAGGGTCAGGGAGGGGGTCAGGGAGGGCTCTGGGAAAGGGTCAGGGAGGGGTCAGGGAGGGCTGTCAGGGAGGGGTCAGGGAGGGGTCAGGCAAGGGGTCAAGGTGGACCGGCCAAGCGAGACTCACGAAGCGGGCAGCTGCAGGGGCGCCGCTCCGCGCCGCTGGAAGACGCCGTCGACGAAGACGCCGTTCTTGCCCAGGCAGCGCAGGAAGAAGTGAGGGTGCACGAAGGCCATCTCCAGGTGCCTGCGCGACACGAAGCTGGAGCGACCCACCGTGACGTGGGCACCCCCCTCGTCACCGCTGCTCGAGGTCCTCCCCACCCAAAGCCGCTTTTGTCTCACTTCGTACTCCACGTCTTTGCCCTCGATGGTAGCCAGCAGAGGTCCCGTATCGTCGCCGGAGCCGACCCGCATCCTGATCCTCCTGCCACTGCTGCTGTTGCTGCTGCTCGTGGTGGTGGTCGTGGTGGTTGCGGTGGTGGCCGCAGTGGTGGCCATATCAACCTCCTTGTCTTCGTCGTCCTCCTCGTCCTCCTCCTCCTCTTCCACGTGGCTGTTGCCCTTGTTGTTGTTGTTGTGGTGGTGGTCGTCCGTGCTGTTGTTGTCGCCGCAGTTGTTGTTGTCGTTCTCCTCGTGGTTGTTGTTGTCGGGGGGGCCGCGTGGACCCGCGGGCCGCGTCTCCCCCGCGGCCCAGGCGAGGCCCCGTGCCGGGCTGAGCGGAGACGTCTTGAGGCCCAGCAGGAGCCGTGCGGGACCTTGGTCTGACATGGCCACGCCCGGGTCAGACACGGCCATCGACGAGGCGCGGCCACGAGGTTGGAGATGGTGCGAGATGGTGGAGGTTGATGGTGATGATGGAGGTGGAGGAAGTAAGAGATGGTGGGTGGTGGTTGCAGATGATGATGATGATGATGGAGGTGGATGCAGGTGATGATGATGATGGAAGGTGGTGGTTTCAGGTGATGATGAAGGTGGATGGTGGTTGCAGGTGATGATGGAGGAGGAAGGTGATGGGTGGTGGTTTCAGGTGATGATGATGAAGGTGGATGGTGGTTTCAGGTGATGATGATGGAGGAAGGTGATGGGTGGTGGTTTCAGGTGATGATGATGGTGGATGGTGGTTGCAGGTGATGATGGAGGAGGAAGGTGATGAGTGGTGGTTTCAGGTGATGATGAAGGTGGATGGCGGTTGCAGGTGATGATGATGGAGGAAGGTGATGGGTGGTTGTTTCAGGTGATGATGGTGGATGGTGGTTGCAGATGATGATGGTGGAGGAAGGTGATGAGTGGTGATTGCAGGTGATGATGATGATGGTGGATGGTGGTTGTAGATGATGATGGTGGAGGAAGGTGATGAGTGGTGATTGCAGGTGATGATGATGATGATGGTGGATGGTGGTTGTAGATGATGATGGTGGAGGAAGGTGATGAGTGGTGATTGCAGGTGATGATGATGATGGGAGCAAGCAAGAGGAGGTTGGTGGTGGTGTTGATGTGGTTGGAGACGATTTACAAAGTCGAGGAAGAGGCGGGGGGGTGTTTGTAAAAGCTTGAGCAGAGGCGGAGAGGAGAGCGGTGGGATGGATAACGACGTTGGGCGGTTTCGTTGGGAGGTGAAACGCGTGGTTAGAGATGGAGGATGGAGACCACGGATGAGGTGGACGAGATTGTTGATATTGAGATGGTGAAATGGGGAGTTGTTGTTGTTGCTGTTGTTGCTGGTGGGAGCTTATACGAGCAGATAGCGAAGACGATAAACTCAAGGCGGTGACGTTGGGAGGACAAGATGGGCGAGAAGGGGGCGCGGCGAAGGAGATTGGAAGTTTTGCGGATCGACGAAGTGAACGAGGCGAGGGGACGAGATGGCGTTCAGTTCCCTTCTGGTTAGAGGCGGCCCCGGCGGACAGCGAAGAACGCGGCCCAAGTTCCCTTCCAAGTCTCGCCGCCTCTCCCTCGCTTACCGCTTCTCTGTCAAGGGCTGTCGCTGCTGCTGGAAGAGCCCGTCAGCTTGGGTCTCGACTCAAATCTCCTCCTTCCCTTCTCGTTCTTGCCGCTGATGCTGTTGCTGATGATGCTGCTGCTGTCGCGACTGCTGCTGATGCAGAAGCGATGATGACTTCGCTGTCTGGATAGGAGCTGGTGCGGTGCGGTGGTGAGAGAGGGGGGGGGGGGGAAAGAAACCCCGCAGCGGAGTCTCGAAAGCTGGATGCCGGAGCGGAGTTAAACTTTTTGGTTCAATACGTCGCTGCTGTATCGTTCGAACGGGTCGACAACTCGTGTCGAGCGATGTTCGTCGAATTCAGCGACAGCTCGCGCAGGCCGAGTTCTGCGAGTCCGGCGAGCGTTTTCCAGGTCTTCTCGTCGGCCGCGAGTTACGCGAAATCCGGATCCGAAATCGAGAGTGGTGGTGGGTGGGGGGGGATCCACTCCGGGTTGCGCGGCGCAGCGTGACGCGCGTGCGGGGTGACGTCATAGTGCCGGCGAAACGAATCTGGATCGAGGCGCCGTGCCATTCAATCTCTTCCTGACTGCATCAACATCATCATCGTTAAAGAGTCCCATAGACAACATCATCATCATGTGTGCATATCATCATCGTTAGAGTCCCATAGACAATATCATCATCATGTGTGTATATCATCATCGTTAAAGAGTCACCATAGACAACATCTTCGTTACCACCAATATCATCATCATGTGTGTATATCATCATCGTTAAAGAGTCCCATAGACAACATCGTTACCACCAACATCTTCATCATATGTGTATATCATCATCGTTAAAGGGTCCTATTGACAACATCTTCGTTACCACCAATATCATCATGTGTATATCATCATCATCGTTAAAGAGTCACATAGACAACATCATCGCTACCATCATCATCATGTTTGTATATCATCATCATCATCATCATCGTTAAAGAGTCACCATAGACAACATCATCGTTACCACCAACATCATCATCATGTGTGTATATCATCATCATCATCGTTAAAGAGTCACATAGACAAAATCATCGTTACCACCAACATCATCATCATGTGTGTATATCATCATCGTTAAAGAGTCACATAGACAAAATCATCGTTACCACCAACATCATCATCATGTGTGTATATCATCATCGTTAAAAAGTCACATAGACAACATCATCGTTACCACCATCATCATCATCATGTGTGTATATCATCATCATTATTCAAGGGTACTATAGACATATTCTTTAGTTCTTTCGGTAAAGTCACGTAATTAAAAACCAGTCTACATCAGTGGGTTTTTTAAATTATTTTTATTCACTTAATTTTTTTTATTTTTCTATCTACGAATATGAATTCCTGCAGTCACGAAAGTTTAAGTCAAAAGGTTCCTTAGACATTATCGTTACCACCAACATCATCATCATGTGTGTGTATCATCATTAAAGGGTCCCATAGACATTATCATTACCACCAACATCATCATCATCATCATCAAAGAGTCCCATAGATATCATGTGTGGTCACATCATCATGTATGTATTTCATCATCAAAGGGTCTCATTGATATTATAATGTGTGTTCACATCATCACCAACGTCATCATGTGTGTACATGATGGTCATGATAAAAGGGTCCCATAGATATATCATGTGTGTTCACATCATCATCACAAACGTCATAATGTGTGTACATCATCATCATCATCAAGGGTCCCATAGACATCATGTGTTCACATCACCAACAACATCATCATGTGTGTATAGCATCATCAAAGGATCTCAGATATTATCATGTGTTCACATCAATATCACCACCATCATCATCACCAACATCATCATGTGTATATCATCATGTGCGTATATCATCATCAAACGGTCCCATAGATAGCATCATGTGTTCACATCATCATCACCATCATCCGAAACGTCGTGATTTTTATTTTATTTTTATTTTACTTTTATTAATTTAAATTTTTTACCTACGTGACTTTACCGAAAAAACCTAAGAATATGAATATCACCATCATCATGTGTCTACATCTTCATCACACGTGTTTACATTAAATGACAATTTGCCATATCCAGTGTACTGTGTACTGTACGTGACTGTTTGTGATATTAGGATTAACAGTTTATTTTATTTCTGAATCATCACCAATAGCCGTCTGCAAAGGAATATCGAGATCAGAGATTAGGAATATCGCTTGTTGCTGTAATGCTGTATCTATTTTATGTTGAACTTATTTCGCACCACCGTACGTAGCCAACGGTGCTAATGGGAGTGCGTGGGGGGAAGGACAACAAACTAAACACAACAACAACAACAACGAGCAGCAGTTCTAAAGAAAGCGATCACCACCATCACCGCGCGTGTCCATCGCACTTGACCAGGCGCGGTCAGACCGCCCCCCCCTCAAATATGACGTCACAAAGCTCTGCCCCCCCCCCAAAAAAAATAAAACATGCTTCAAATCGCTTTAAACTATTGCCATTGTAGTGCGTATTTAATGTGGCGCTGCACTCTGATGTTGTAGGAGAAAACATTTATTAAGAAGTCTGTTTAATGAAGTAGAACGTGTTTATATTTATTTAAAGTTGCGCATTTTGATGTGACGTCACATTTCTCAGCTCCCCCCCCCTCGTCACACATCGTCACAAATGTCTGACCCCCCCCCCCTTAGATGCGTGACGTCATTTATGGACGGCCCCTAATGTGGAGCGGTGGCGCAGTGGTTAGCGCCCTGCTACTGTGATGACGATGCTGCCTTTTACTGATGGATGGCAATGCTACTCGATGAAGCTGCTGCTGCTGATGATGATTACGATGGTGCTGATGATGATGATGCTGAAGGCGCTGATGATGATTGATGGACATGGAGCGCCGCCACGTGGCCTCATTGCACATGCCGGATCTCAAAACTCTGGGAACCAATCCCACGGCTGCAGTGGAGTTATTTAGTGGCGTGCGCTTTTGTCACCGAATTTGAACGACTCTGCGGGTTTTCATAGCGACGATTTCGTTGTCGAAGCGTCATCATCATCATCGCCGTCGTTGGCGGCGGCGGCAACAGCCGTGTTCGATCCACTGCTGGATGGATGAAAGCTTGCCCCCCCCCTCCCCCCCAGGGCGATCACCACCGCTCTCCCGCGATGTAACGGAACAACCGCGCGAGCAGTTTGCGCACTCCGAGCTTATTTCATCGCTCCATCTCCTCCACGGTGGTAAAAACAGAAGACGACATCCTTCGCGGGACAGCAGGCCCCGTGAATGTTGCAACGCTGTAAAGACAGTGGACAATTCCCTGCACTGGTTCTGATTGCCTAGGGGCCGTACATAAATGACGTCACGCACCTAGAGGGGGGGGAGGGTCAGACATTTGTGACGATGTGTGACGATGTGTGACGAGGAGGGGAGGGGGGGGGTGAGAAATGTGACGTCATATCAAAATGCGCAACTTTTAATAAATATAGAGAACACGTTCTACTTAATTAAATATACTTTTTAATGAATGCTTTCTCCTACAACATCAGAATGCAGCGCCACATTAAACACGCACTACAATGAGCATAGTTTAAAGCGATTTGAAGCATGTTTTATTTGGGGGGGGGGGCAGAGCTTTGTGACGTCATTTGAGGGGGGTCTGACTTTTTGTGACGCCGTGTGCGACGACGGGGGGGGGGGGGTCAAAAATCGTCCAAAATCGCGTGACGTCATTTATGGACGGCCCCTTAGGATCTTGCGTCGGTTTGCTGTTGTGTGTAAACATCAAATAAAACAAATGTTCGCCAACTACTCAAGGATGTCTCCGTCATGCGAGACGCCGGGAACGTTGCGATGTGACGTGTGAAGGTTACTTTGGAGGCCGGTGCAAGCATCACAGTTCCTATGATCATCACAATTCCTATGATCATCACAGTTCCTATGATCATCACAGTTCCTATGATCATCACAGTTCCTATGATCACTGTTTCATTGCTTTATTTTGGTGATTTCGAAAAGTTTACTGGTTTGGCCATGTTTGTTTGTTGTAGTACGGAGTAAGACTGATGGCCTTAATCTAAGTTGTCTTGTGGCTGTTGTTGTTTGACTTGCATCCCACTGGGATTTTTTGCACACAGCGTTGATGTACGGTGTTTTTTCTGCAATATTTTGCTGTCTTTTCTTGGATTTTCTGTTTGCACTCAGTCACATATTCACTTTAAGATGTTTTCTTGTTCATGTTTTTGTTTTTTTGTTTGTTGCGGTTGCACCCGATTCAAGAGCCGAATGGCTCACAGGGCTATACCTAATCAATGAACTTGAACTTGAAGTCAGGACGGTGCCACTGATGTCCACTTGGGCGCACGCGGTGCCAAGAGGCGGTGACTTTGATCAAGCGGCGCGCCCCACGTGACGCGGGGCAGGAAGAGCAACTTGGCAGGTCGCAGCGGCGTCGGCATCATCGGCAGCAGCATCATCGTCATCATCGGCAACAGTGGATACATCAGCAGCAGTAGCAACAGTGGATACTTCAGCAGCAGCAGACACAGCAGCAGCAGACACAGCAGCAGCAGACACAGCAGCAGCAGACACAGCAGCAGCAGACACAGCAGCAGCAGACACAGCAGCAGCAGACACAGCAGCAGCAGACACAGCAGCAGCAGAAACCACCACCACAGCAGCAGACACATCAGACATCATCAGCAACAGCAGAAACCACCACCACAGCAGCAGATACACCCGTAGCAGAAACAACCGCAGTTGATACGACAGAAGCAGCAGAAACAGCCTCAGCAACAGAATCAACAGCAGCGGCGAAAACATACAGCAACAGGAACAGTCGAGGGTAAGAAACAGGAAGAACATCAGCTATAATTGCCGCTATAAAAAAAAAAACACTCCCGACACGAAAACATCAAAAAACCACAACTTCAGCAAACGCAGGCGGCAATAAAAAGCAGCGGCGACAACAGCAGCAGCAACAACAAGACCAGCAAGACGAAGAACAGGGGGGCAATAACAGCAACAGCAAGACCAGCAAGACGAAGAACACGGGGGCAATAACAGCAGCAGCAAGACCAGCAAGACGAAGAACACGGGGGCAATAACAGCAGCAGCAAGACCAGCAAGACGAAGAACACGGGGGCAATAACAGCAGCAGCAAGACCAGCAAGACGAAGAACAGGGGGGCAATAACAGCAGCAGCAAGACCAGCAAGACGAAGAACAGGGGGGCATTAGCAGCAAGACCAAGCAGCATCAGTTGACTTCCAGGTCTCACTGGGGGGTGGCCCAGGTCTCGTGTCGTTCCAGTTGCAACTCCCCGACTTCCCAGCTCTGCCCGGACCCCCCCTCTCCTAGTGCCCGAGAGGCTCCCAGCTCAGCCAGGGACCCCCCCCCCTCTCCTTGTGCCCCTAGAGTATCCCAGCTCTGCCAGGGACCCCCCCTCTCCTAGTGCCCCTAGAGTCTCCCAGCTCTGCCAGGGACCCCCCCTCTCCTAGTGCCCTAAAGGCTCCCAGCTCTGCCAGGGACCCCCCCCCCCCTCTCCTAGTGCCCTAGAGGCTCCCAGCTCCGCCAGGGACCCCCCCCCGTACCCCCATCCCCACCGTACCCCCATCCCCACCGTACCCCCATCCCCACCGTACCCCCCCCCCCAACCGTAGTACCCCATGGCCACGTCGCAGCCGGCAGCAGCCGGAGACCTCCGACCTCGCGGCGATGTCGGCTCGAGTCGGGGTCCCGCCGGCGGCTGGAGGCAGCACGTGTGGCGGGGATGCTGCCTGGGCATGGCGGGCTTCTTCGGGCTCGCGGCGTACGTGCAGGTGAGTTGGGGGGTGGGGGCATTTGTGCAAAGAGTTGCTTTTAAATATGCCTCCCCTACGACGACGATGACGAACGGCTGCAGGTGTGAAACATCGCCGTAGCATTGCCGCTGATGCTACCCACCCCAGCACACGTCGCTTTGCTGATGTTTGCGTATCTTTGTTGTTGTTCAAGTTTCAAGTTTATTTATTAGGTATAGCCCTGTGAGCCATTCGGCTCTTGAATCGGGTGCAATCGCAACAAACAAAAAACATGAACAAAAAAACATCTTAAAGTGAATATGTGACTGAGTGCAAACAGAAAATCCAAGAAAAGACAGCAAAATATTGCAGAAAAAAGCACCGTACACCAACGCTGTGTGCAAACATCCCAGTGGGATGCAAGTCAAATAACAACAACAAAACGACGCGCGCTTAAAGCATCCCCGGAAGCCAGTGTCGTAGTTTTCTTTAGTTTTTGTTAAAAAAAAAAGAGATGAATTATGCCGATTGGTCGGGGCATTTAACCAAGGCCGTAGCATATGAGTCAATATTGGGGGGGACCAAATCATCCAGGGGGTCTGGGGTCCCCCCCCCCCATAAAAAATATAAATTTGAAAACGAATTTCCTGCCTCAAATATTCCATAAATCACTAACACATGGGATGGACTTTTTATTTATTTCTTACAATAATGTCTAATAGTGTATTGTATTACATTGCTCTGTTTTTTCTTTTTTTTTACCTTTTCTTGTTTCATGGTACGTAATGCCAGAGATTAGGGATTAATAAAGTACAACCATAACCACAATCATATAAATAGAATCTATTTTATAGCAATATATTGGGGGGGGGGGACATTTTGAGCATATTTGAATATTTGGGGGGGATGTGTGTCCCCCAAATATATATTAAAATTATGGCTTTGCATTTAACCTCTTGTCATCACCATCATCATAATCATTAACAAGCCACGAGCAATCCACTGCTGGATGACGGCATCCAAAACTGTCAGTTGCAGTGGTTGGTGGTGGTGGTGGTTTAATCAGACATCACCGCGCTGGTCCAGGAGCAGTGGAAGTTAGCCGTGACCGGGAGTCGAACTCGTTGTCTCACACGCTCTCTTGTCTCCTCCCCCCCCCTGGTGTTGCGTGTCTGTGGCTTGCAAGAAAAACGACCCAGATGCGAGCCTGTGGACGGTAACGTACAATTAAACATACCTTCTAGTCAATTCACATATGCAGTGTGCTGTAATGCTGCGCGTGACTATGATATGAGAATTTAAAAAAATCTTCATCTCCTGAATCATCATCAATGACCGGATTTAAAGGAAAAGTATCTGGATCAAGAGATTAGGAACGCCGCTTGTAATGTTACTGCACCGTACGTAGCCAACCGTGCTATTCGATTGTGCGGAATAACCACTGGGTTCCAATGAAGAGGAGAGCAAAATCTTCTTGGTTCTTTCGGTAAAGTCACGTAGAAGGGAAATAATGTTTTATTATTTCCCTTCTACGTGACTTTACTGAAAGAACCAAGAAGATGAATCCCTACAGTCACGAAAGCTTTAAATCGAAATAGGAGAGCAAAACTAAACAAAGGTAACTTATTTAAATTAAAACCGTTCCCAAAACTTAAACTCTAATTGTCCACGGTCAACTGAGGTTTGGTCTGTAATTAGCCACAGTCCTTTACGTTATGGCAAGCTTCGGGGCCACTTCCTGGAGTCGTGGAGTTCTGCCATTACTAGTACATTTCATAAAAGCGTGTGTTAAAAAAAAGTTGTTTTAAATATTACTTATTTACAGTCGCGTCCACATGACAACTCACATTGTAATCCGCCACGCGTGTGGTTCATGCCACGGCCGAGTACTTGGGTGTCATGATTATAATTTAGCACGGAAATGGAGTAAATCTTGCAACGTGTGGCTAGTTTCACGGTGGCGATAGACTCCGATTGGATGGAATCAATCGAATAAGGTCTTTGGTGGACTACAAATTAGTTGAGAATGCGTCAGTCAAGTGTGCTCACACGAATCCCATTACGTGACCACATTTCTCCGGATCTCTTATCATTCATTACACACTGGCTTCCGGTCTTGAAACTAGTACAGGCATTTTAAGAGCCTCCTTCTTGCTCGTTGTTTTTCTTTAAAGCCTTGCATGGGCTTGCACCACCAAGTGTTCACCAGTTAATTCTAGATTTGAAGCTTTCGTGACTGCAAGGATTCATACTCTTAGTTTTTTCGGTAAAGTCACGTAGGTAAAAAAATGATACAGCAAATCTGGCTGTGACGGTCCCACCTGATGACGGAGACTTGTGTTGCCTCCGAAACGTCGTGATTTTTATTATTTTATTTTTATTAATTTGAATTTCATTTTTTTACCTACGTGACTTTACCGAAAAAACTAAGAGTATGTTCACCAGTTAATTCATCCGTACCGCTCCGTTCAAGGTCGTTGAGATCCGCAGACTCCGGCCCTTCGTACCTCGATCCCGACCGGCTGCGTTCCTTGCTCGAGTCAGCACCACACCCTAAATGCATTCCACAAAACTATAAAGGCCGTAGTATTTGTCCTGTTAGCAAGCAAGTTTCAATATATTTCTGTTGAACCAGGCGAAAACTCAAAAATAATTCAGCATGGGTCTCATTTGTGAATGACATCGGTCACAAAAAAATAAAAGCAAGTAAAATTAAGCACTGCAATAAGTAATCGAATAATTGATTACTTTATTGCGTGAAATCAACGTTAAATATTCAATTCCCTGCAGCGCAAATCGGCTCGGGCAGATTTGCCTCCAGACTTAGCCAGGGCACAGATGACAAATAGTGAGCTACAGAAACGTTAAACACACGGTGACTACAGTCCAAATACGGACATATGTCAAAATGCAATTGCAAGTGAAGTTATCAAGCAACAGGATTAGCATTCTTAAACGACATATATAATAGTGAACTGGGATATGTGCCAAGTAACTGTGTATGCGTGGATGTCTTTGCAGGTAGCGTATCTATTCCCAGCTGCCCTCAGCCTTGTGGTGGCGGTGTCGCCTTCAGTTGCAGGTAATTTCGGTGGATCAGTGCAATTTAAAACAAGAGGAATGCCTTCACAATTAAGCCCCCCAGTGATCGCTTCCCTTAATCTGCCTTGAAATGACAACTCCAAATATACAGCAGGCGTCAGGGTCGGGATTGAACCCACGAACCTCCTTTCCCGTAAACACAATGCGAGGCGGTCAACGTCTCGCCACCGTGGCAACCCTAAAAGCACGTGGCCCTCTCCCTCCCCGCCGCCTCTCACCCAAGGCAACCACGTGTGGAAGAGCGTCGTGCACATGCACGTGGCCGCGTGCCTCTTCGGAGCGTGCCTCCTCGCCGCCGTGGCGCACAGGTCTGGCAAGCGCATGCACGTGCTGGAGGCGGAGGAGGGCAGGTGGGTGCCGGTCCGAATTCTCGGATCGTTCAAATGGAATCGTTTTCTCGCGAATTATCGCTCACCAATTCCCTGCGCCATGACCCCCCCCCCCCCACCGACCGATTCCTCACGATCCCTTGCCGTGGTCCATCAACATGATTCCTTGTTATTATGTATTGCTATGAGCCCCGTAATCTCACATGACCATCCACTGCCATCATGCTTACACTCTCGTTACGTTTCCAATGATTCCTCAATCCCTTGACACGATCTTACACCACAATCCCCGCGATCCCTCGCTATGTTTTATCGCTACGATCCCGCCAGTCCTGGACTAGAATTGTCGATCCCTCAATAGTACGGTATAAATATGAATTCTTACGATTCCTGCCATGCACTGCTATGCTCCCCCGCAATGACCCCTACTGATTTCTCGTGACCCGTCACCACGATCTCTGATCCTTCGTGGTTTTGTTGTCCTAGGGAGATCGGAGGGCTCCTCCTCGTCGTCTTTTGGATGATTCTCTGCCGCAACTCCCATGAGTAAGGATCACAGAGCATGAGCGGAGGAGGGGTAAGGGGGTATTACAGCCGAGCCATCGCTCCGCACGTCCACCGTGACCGTTGCTCGTTAAAACACGCTTATCGCGAGGGTTCATCGGCTCCTGATGTTTGGATGGAAAAACAAACATGTTGACTGGACGACTGGGCAACCTCCACTGACCCCTTGACCTTGCAGGAACTTATGCAGGGTCACAGGAAAAGGGGCATCGGTTGAGAAGTCAGCGACGCCATGCCGAGCCGCGTACACTTAACAGAAGCTTTGCGGAGCCTCGCGACTCATTTCGGAGGTTCCTGCTGCTTTGGTTGTTTGGCCACGTGCCCTTTTTGAGTAATGGAGGAGGTACAAGAGCCAGAGTAGCCAGGAAAAGGAACAGAGCAACTCCTCGCAGATAGGTCAACATCTGACTTGATGTGCTGCCTTCTGCAGGCAATGTGTGGGACAGTCTGCACTGTTGAAAACAAGATTGTGGTGGTCGGGAACAATGGCACGTGTCTTGACAGCCCGTGGCGGGTGACCGCGTGAGCGTGCAGGCCACACGGAGCGACGCTGCGGGCTGGTCTCGGCCTGGTGCTTGTGGCCATACCCTCCCTCGCCTGGATCTACACGTCCTTCAACGCCAGAATCATGGCCGCCAATCCCGAGCACTGCAAGAACTCGCTGTGACGCAGTCGCCACAGCGATATCGCCCACTTCGGAGCGCGAATTTCGGACTGGGTCGACCCGACAGCCAAGAGACTCCAGCTCACGTGGACCAATCGCGATTAAGCGAGCGCGGTGACCGAGCAGGAAAATTAGGCCGTGGCAAGTGCAGCCGGGTAGGCCATTCAGCCATCTCCAATCAAAGCACGGTTTCTGCAGTGGAAAAAGCGGGGGGTTATCGTAATGAACGTGAGAAACATTAATCGATCAGCCACACGACCGTGCACCATTTCAGCAGTGGAATTTAATTTGGAATTCAAAAGGCAATTTACAGATTTTGAGAAAATAAGAGAGATATACAGTGTGTAAGAAAGATCCCAGTGCGCGATTCCATCGGGAGGCCCTTCAAAGAACCGTGGTCTAATAAAACCCACTCTGCACCCTCCCTGCATCCCCAGTGTGTGCGCGCGCGTGTGTATATACATTGCCATGTGTGCGCATATCTGTGCATGCACAAAGGGCCAAAGGTAACAACGGTACATTTACAAGCCAACGGTCCGCACAAAGTTTCCTCTTGTTTATTACAGAAAAGGAGGGACACATTTTGTTTGTCGAGCGATTGTGTGCAGCGATCGTGTGCAGCGATCGCGTGCAGCGCACGGCTATCCTCGGGCCTGCAGGCGTCCGCTGCTGTCTACTGGTGGACACTCGAAACACTGTCAGCCCAATGGTAGTGCAGCCAATGGTAGTGCAGCCAATGGCGTGCAGGTTACCTCGGCCGTCTGACGTAATCGCCACGACAACCCCCCCCCACCAACCCACCACCCCCCCCCCCGCACAAACTCCCAAGAGGCTGCACGAGTGGAAGCGACCGAGCACGGAGGGCAGCGACTCTGTACAGACATCACCCTCCACCAGCCCCGAACCCACGCTCCCCAAGATCTCCCCAACATCTCCCTCCTCACAACAGCAATTGCCTTCTCCACCTCTTCATGTGCAATAGGGGCAGAGGTGCGAGGCGTACAGCCGGGTGGGGAAGAGGGAACAAAGGCAGGGTCACGATCCATCATGGCCAATGGTGCCCATTGGGCGAGCGATTTGTAAAGAGATGCCGAGTCTTGTGGAAAGAATCCTGTGGTTTCTACATGTTCAGAGTTTTGGGAGAGTCCCGGTTTCGCCCCCCAGGTGCCTCCGAACCTCGGCGTGTCGCCAACATCCTCGCAGCCCGGCCAGAGGGGCCCCATCGGAAGGAACGGGGCTGGCTGCTCACTCCTTACATATTGCCGTTTACGAAGAAACAAAAAAAATAAACCTCGCGTTATTTGCCGCGTTTCGCCGACGCGCGTGGCAGCCAATGCCACGAACAGCAGCAGCTTCCGCTGCAGAGAAGGAACGCTAACACTCACTGCAAAGCACGCACACACAGGGAACAGCACGGCAAGCACCGAGGCTTGCGCCGTTCAGCGAAATTGCTGCCGAGCGGCAGGCGTGAACTACCGGTGTGAACTACCTCCCCCACTGCCCCGTGCAGTGGGGCTACAAGAGACCGGCGTCTCCCAGGCAGGAAACAGCGATGCCCCATTGCTGTTTAAAGTCGTTTGGTGGATGCTGCACGGCCCTCTCGAGCGGGCAGACTTGACAAGGGGCGCTGCGACGCCTCTGGGTGGACGGGTTGAGCCGCCGCCGCCGCCACGAATGGCGTGGTAGAACACGACGAGTCGGGGAGGGGGGGGCTCTACAGGCTGCTCCAGCTCTCCGCCGGCGGGAAGTCCACCACCTCTCCGACCTCGCTGAACACCTCCTCGCCGAGCGTGAACGCCAACCGGAAACGCAGGCGCACCTTCTCCTGGGATGCGGGATCAAAGCGGAGGCACCGGAGTTAAAGGTGCAAGGGCGAGAGAGGAGCTACGAGGGTGAAGGGAGGGTGTCCCGCGGGCCGTGGCAGGGCGGCTACTACCTTGTTGGGGTTTGCGAGCAGCATGACTTGGGTAACGGCCGCCGGTGGCTGCAGGGGGTTGAACCCTGGGAGCTCCGTGCCGGATGCTGGTTGCAGCTTCACACGCATATTCTGCACGCACACACGCGCACAGGCACGCACACGTTTCAGCAGATCTGCTCAGAGAAACGACTGAAGCTTAACTATGAACTGATTTTATTTATTTTACCAGCTAAGGCCCACCGAGCTACATAGCTCTTTTTTCAGAAGCAACCTCGCCACAAATGATAGCTCATCAAAGTGGCTTATGTGGAAATGTATAGCAGCCAAATGTTCTAAATACATGTTTCTAAATGAGAAAAATCCACGCGACCACAGATAGGACATGCAAACTACAAATAGACAGGCGTTAGAGACGGAATCGAACCCACAGGTGAGGTAGTTAACATCTTGCCACCGTGGTGCCCTCAGAATCAGATGAGTTAATTAATCGAGAGCTCCAGCAGAGCAAAATGAGCGGTATCGAGGTCTGAAAAATAAAATGCTTCGTTCTGTGCACAGCCTGAGAACAATTGCTGAGAAGAATAATCCCATCACTGCGGCGTAATGTCGTTAACTGAGGAAAGCTTAACCGAGTCACAATAATGATTGTTTAAGGAAACCACAGTACCTGGAGTAAACCCACCGCACGTATAAGGGGGTGGTAATTCTCAAGCCTCTGCTCTACTGCCATCTAGTCCACCTCACAGGTAGTTCACACCTGATATTCCCAGGCTGTCTTTCGTCCAGGCACTAACCAAGGCTGAACTCCACTTTGCTCTCCAAGATCTCAGGAGATCGGGGGAGCATATTCAGGGCGATTTGGCTGAAAGAAAATAAAAATCGAGACGCTGCCGTGAAAGGGGGCGCAAAGCGGAGTACCAACGTGGGCACACCTTGGGGACGGCCGCCTGGAACAGCAGGCCGGAGATGGGCTGGGGCGCCGTGCTGATCACAGACAGTACCACGACCAGCACGTCCGGCCGGCCAGGGGGGCAGCCCCGCGAGAAATGCAGCAGCACGCGCAGGCCGTGGCGGTCGTACGCGGTGATGGGGGCGGCGTTGCCTGCGCACAGGGACGCGCACACGGACGTGAACGGGCACAAACGGATGGGCACACAAAACACGCGCAGCCACTTGCACAAGGCACCGCTTTGGGGCCCGTGTCATATGCCAGGAGGAGAGCTAGGACAATGAGTGGATCAAGTTGTCAACGATGACGACGATGACTACCCACCAAAGATGGAAACATGAACGTATCACAAAGACGAAACTAAAAATCTGAATGAAGTAGATTAGAATAATTTAGTGACGTTATTAGAGGCAGCAGTGTGCCGAGGACGAGGATGACATGATAATGAACTACAAATGTAATATTAAAAGACGGAGTTCACCGATTGGTTGGCCTCATTAATCCTGGCGAGTAAAAATTAGGCTAAACTGAACATCGAACATTTAAAAACCAAGAGTGTACGAAATGTGTTTTTTTTATTGTTTTAGTTAGCTAGACTGAATGAAATCCACAAACGAGGACTTGACTAACATTCCACTGGTTGACGTAGACCAAAACTTCGACAAGAACTGGTAGCTGAACTTGAAGATGTGACAGCCGGCACCACCACTGCCACCACTCACTGGGCTTGATGGAGTCGAGCGGCACGAACACATTGGTCAGGGAGATGTCGGCCTGTCCGGCCGGGCCGCCGGGCCTCGCCGGGCTGGACGCCGTGTGAGAGGCGAGCGAGGTGGGCGGCGTGGCGACCGCGGGGGTGAGGAGCGAGGTGGAGACGGACGATGACGGGGCGGCAGCGAAGGAGGAGCTCGGGGAGGCCGCTAGGGGGAGACCCCCACCAAGCAAGCCGCCGGCGGCGGCGGCGGGAGTCGGGACGGACGACGACCCCACGGGGGTCACAGGTGCCGCCCCTTTAGGCGCCGTCTCCATTTTGCTCTGCTGGAGCTCTCGTAGCGTCTGCTTAGGGGCCGTGGATGCCCTGCAGCGGAGGCGAGGGAAAGGGGAGAAAAAAAACACAAGCTGCAGAGCTGCGACGTGATTGGTCGATCAATTGACGAAACCAATTGTAATCGACTGCTTTTTTTAAGTCGATCACTCACGGTCTCCTTTTCAAATGGCAGCAGCCCCGACCATTTTGCCTCCCGAAGGCCACAGCCAGCGTGACGTGACTGTAATGTTGGTGACGTCACCATGCCCTACCCGTCAACTCCCGTCCAGTGCCATACGTGTGATCATGTGACTTTTTGTTCCCCAAACTATTTTTGTGTAATCCCGATTCAGAAATCGAACTCGTAATCGGTAGAGTAATCAATTATTTAACTCATTGCATAGCCCAGCTCTAATAAATATTTGTACTATCTCACACACGAGTGTGCGTGTTGCGCATAGTGTAGGGAGCGGTAGTATAACAGCGCGCTGCGCTACAAACCCAACAACCCGAGTTCGATTCCTGCTCACGGCCAACAACGGTGACTATCTGAACTGGTCCTGGGCCTTCCCTAGGTCGATTCAGCCTCTAATGAGTACCTGGTGCGATGTGTACATGTCACTACTCGGGAAACATAACGCGGCCGGGTGTGGTGCTGGCCACCCACCCCCTCGTGTGCCCTTTCGGCCTTCATAGGTGCTACTCGCTAACAGCACTTGCCCCAACAGTCTGTAAAAGGCTATACGGGGGAAATTTGTCTTTGGTGTGCATAGTTGGGGCATTACCACTTGACCTGCTGCGTGCCGGGAGGCAACGCCTGCTGCAGCAGGGACTTGCCGATCTGCTCCAGCTCCTGCAGGCCGCCCACAGGGGCTGGCGCCACCGGCGCCGCCTCCGCCGGCGTCCCCGCCGTGACGGAGAGAGTGGCGCCGTCCATCAGCGCCGAGCCCAACTGTGAGACACCGGGGGAGAAGAGGTCGGCGACTGCAGGATCACTCGCGCGCGACACCCACCGCACGCGCAAAGGGGGGCACAGCACCACTTCTTCACACACGGGGTCCCTCAGACGCACCACTGGTCGCTGTATCCAGAAGCGGATCGATCACGGCCGATTAAAGGAATTCTCAACCCAACAAGCAGCGCATGGTTTCGGGGTTGTGCGCGCGTGTGCGCGTGCTGTGTCACGAGCTGCCCGGCGTTTGAAGCGCCGTCGTGGCGCTCGAGTGACAGCTCGTCGTCGTCATTGTCATCATCAGCCGTGATCTATCCGCCGATGGATACAGACCTCCCAAGCTGCCGCCACCCTCTCACGGGTCTTGCGATGCAACAATTGATCTCGCGCTTGCGTCGATTTAAATCGCTCCATATTCTCGGGAGTCTCACGCTGACCTGGAATGAAGTCCAGTTAAGCGGCGTGGGTGCGGCGGAGGTCTGAGTCGCGTCTGTGAGGTCTGGAACACACACGAAAACGCACCCTGTCAACGTGATTTGGCGATTGTGGTGGTCATGGTGTTTATAGTAGTGTTGATGATGGTGCTGGAGGTTGTGGTACTGGAGGTGATGGTGCTAGTGCTGGCGCTGATAGTGCTGCTGGTGGTGCTGCTGGTGGTGGCGGGGCTGGTGGTGCTACTGGTACTGGTGATGCTGCTGGTGCTAGTGCTGGCATAGACAGTGGTGATCGTGGTGCTAATGTTTGTGGTGCTGGTGATGATAGTGCCGGTTGTGGCGATGAATATGGTGACAGTGCTGGTGGTGATGGTAGCAATGATGGTGGTGATGGCATTGGTACACATCTGCGTACTCAGGGACATGAGCTCGTCATCCAGGAGAGTAGCCGCTGGCGACGCTGCCACCTCCAGCCCCGCCAGCTCGATCAGGGATGAGGTACCACCTACACATGCAGAGACAGACTCCCTGTGTAACCATACTCTTTGGTTCTTTCGGTAAAGTCACGTAGGTGAAAATAATATTAAAAGTAACTAAATTAAATCACGACGTTTCGGGCGCAACACAAGTGTCCGTCATCAGGTGGGGACAACCACAACGAAAACAATCGCTGAAGTATGCCAAAGAGATGGCTGTGACAAGGCATTATATAGCTGAGGAGGGGGGGGGAGGAGCCTGTGTAACCTTACAGACTTGAGACAAGTGCTGTGAGCAGGCAGCTATTGAACACCAATAGCGAATAATTATTCACACCCCACCCAATAGCGAATAATTATTCGCTATTGAACGCGGGGTGTGAATAACACCACGCTCGGCCACCATTGCCTCCCCAGCGCTCGTATTTACAAACCAAACCAGGTACAGTAAAACCTTGGATTGCGAGTAACTTGGTCTGCGAGTGTTTTGCACGACGAGCAACATTTTAAATAAATATTAATTTGATAAACGAACGAGGTCTTGCAATACGAGTAGTACGTATACGCTTTGTCTGCCGAGCATCACGTGATCACAACTGATATACGAGTGCTTTGGATTACAAACACGTTTCCGGAACGAATTATGCTCGCAATCCAAGGTTTTACTGTACTCATTTAAAGGCAGAGTTGTTCGAGGGGAGACTCGGGATTGGTTCAAATATCACTCGCCAATGGCGTAAGCAGTGATTGGGAAACAAACTCACGGCTAACTCACGACACACGACACACACACGCATGTACTCTTGCAGGCCTGGACAGTACAGCAGAGGCACGTGGTGTTCGCGAGCACCTGCTAGGGTTGACGGACAAACGGTACGGGCTCTCTTGCAGCCTGCCTTTCAATCGCAAACGCAGGAGTCAAAGCCCTTTGGCTGGCTCTGCGGTGCATAGGCACGCAGTGAATCACCTCCCTGGATTGTCACAGTTAGGGTCCGAATCGTGTGTTTTCTGTGTTCTGTCTCGATTGTCCAACTGGCCGGAAACCAGGTAAGCATACGATGCTTTTCAGGTTTGAGCCTCGAGAGCGCTTACAATTGTGACCTCCATGGATACAACAGTTGAAGTTAGGCACTGTGGGCAGTAGAGGGCAGTGCAGGACACCCATTATTAGTCTTATTCTTCTATATGCACCCCACCTTCACAAAGCTGCACTTATGACCAGTGTGATGAAGTATGTCAAACAACGCTCACTGCCTGCACGGAATGATGAAGCCCTGATCCAGCAGCAGACTTACAAAAGGGCTGGGCATGATTATTAATAATAATGAATTAAGCACGCATATGCGCGTGCGTGCGTGAGTGCACCCACCCTTGGTGGGGGCTGCCGTGGGGCTGGACATGCCATTGACCGTCGAGAGCCTCTCCACCTCGGACTTGTACGTCTCCATCACGCTCGTGAGCTCGTCGTTCGCTCGCAGGATGTCGGCTTGCGATGAGCGGAGAGGGCGAGGGGGGACCGGGACGAGAATGAGAGACGCGTGGAGCACAGTTAGAAGGTCTTGGGCCACGGCAAACGTCAACGCGACTGCGTCACCACCGTCCCTGAGCAACTACAATATTGCCCTCGCTGTCGAGTAGCACGCAGCACGTAGCGTGGGCGGCACACACCACGCAGCACACGACAAAGCAGCGCACAGCAAACTACACAGCAAATAAGTACGCATCTTGCTGTACAGCCCACGGCCACACGAGGGCTACCTAAACTAGACTATTTGTTTATTTTACCAGGAAAGGCCCACTGAGCTACATAGCTCTTTTTCAGAAGCGACTTGGCCACAAATGATAGCTCAACGAAGTGGCTTCTCATGTGGAGATTTAAAGCAGCCAAATACTCCATGGGAACCTCATTTGCCAGTAAAAATATGATAATTGTTTTTTTACCCTTCTATCTGGCAACAAAACTGACACCTTTTTACAAGGAGTCATGTTTGCATAGACCGCAATACCTGCAGTCATAATACAAACAAAACTGTGCCTTTTGGCGTCATCTGGTCCAACCCATGTGAGACTAGGCTCTAAGGAAAGCTGTCTCGGGTGTGGACCAATCAACTTCAAGGACAGTGCACATTATCAGAGTTATGTATTTTGTTTGCATTATGATCGCAGGTATTGCGGTCTATGCAAACATGACTCCTTGTAAAAAGGTGTCAGTTTTGTTGCCAGATAGAAGGGTAAAAAACCAATTATCAGCCAAATACTCTTGAACACATGTTGATTCTAAATGCGGAGGGGAAAAACCGGAGGACCCGGAGTAAACCCTTGCGGGGTGACACGAGTCAGAGGCCGCGGCGCCGCCGCTCACCGAGGGCGTCCTCGTTGTCCTCGGTGTCGCTCGCCAGCTTGAAGAGCGTGGGCCTCATCCGCTCACACCTCCTGTACGCCTCCTGCACGCCGAGAAACAACGCCGCCATCGCTGCGTCAACCCACGGAGCCGGGGTCTGAGCAGCGAGGAGGCGACGCCCCCACCGCAAGCAAGGGCTGGAATCACGCAGGGCCTCGAGATTTTGAAGAGCCCTCAAAAATGGGAATACTTGCTAGGCCACGGGGAGCGGCATCGAGGAATTGTTGCAGACACCTTCATTAAAAGGAGTATAAAGTGTTTGAGAGTGATATTGGTGCATGGTGGTCCGTGAACATTTTGGAGGTCTGACAGTGGACGGCGGGTCCAGAGAGGTTGGGAACCACCGCAGTGGGGGAAAGAGAAGTCGTGGAATATACACGAATACGGGCTGCCAAAACTACAACATCCTTGGGCCCCCATCGAACTTTTAAGCGTGGGCACTGGATGGGAAAGCCGCGACGTTGGGAGCCGCGTCACGGAGCACGACTCGCCGAGATGCTGGCGCCGTCCGCCGCGGAGGTGGTGGTGTTGCCGCCGCCGCGCCGGTGTTCCTGCCACCAGCTCGCGCAGCTGCCGGACGCTCTTCTCCACCTCCTCCAGCGCGTTGATACGTTTGGCCACACGCTCCATCTTGGCTTGGTCCTACACACGCCACCCCCGTTGACGTTAAACCCAGCACGCCATCGCGCAGTATCTGATTTTAACGCGTAGGCTTTCGGGACCAATATTATCCATAATAAAGGTTTTTTGTGGGTTAGATCGCGTAAATATTAACGTGCCGTGAACCCAGCACAACCCGACACGGCCAATTTAGTAAGGGTTTGTCACGTGAACAAAACGTGCCAATTCGTTACAATACGCCGGTTGTGTGTTGGAGAGTAAACCCACAACATTTACAATTTGAGTACGTTTCGCTGGTGATAACAACCAGCTTCAGGCGATTTATACGCACCATGTCTTTCTTCGGAAGACTTCTTCACAATTCTGACAAATCGCCAACGCAAAAAACCTTTATTATGCATATCTGATTTTCTGCGGGCTGATATAGGCTGATATGTCACATGTGAAAAGATCAGATTGTGTGAACGTCCACAGACAATTTCAGTTACGCCACCGTGCATAGGTACGTTACTGGAGAAACACTAAAAGCATGAACTGCTGCAAACTTAGAAAACGCTTCACAGTGTCTGAGAAGCGAGCCAACGGATGGATGCAAGATTAACCCCACGTGACTGTATGGCACCAACTGTGGCTGTGGCTATTTTAGCAGGCCCCGTGCACTGCGGTGTGGTGCGGGGGCCCCGCCTTGGCCGCACCTCCTTCACGACGGTCTTGATGAGCCGGTTGGCCGCCTCCAGGTCCTCGGGGTGTGTGCTCTTCAGCAGCCGCGCAAGCAGCTGCCACGACGGTGGCACGGACGGGACAGACGCAACCCGGCGAAAACAACAGCAATGGTAAGAACGATGACAAACACTGTCCTCTCCCTCTCTGCCTCCATCTCTTTTATTTGCACTTTTTTTATTTTTCTCCCCACCTCGTGCGTTGCGGTTTTCCCTCACATCGCTTAGCTTTACCTCCAACGCTGAATCTTGACCTTTGCCTGACCTCTCCCACCCATCCCTGGCTGCCCCGGCTGTCCCTGGGGCTTATTGTCGTTGTTGGTGCTGGGCCACGGATTCTTCGTCCCGGTCTGTTCTGCGGTTTTTCTCTCGCTCTCCTCTCTCTCCCCATGTTCCCCCGATGTTTGTAAGTGTCTTGAGATGCCCTTGCATTTAGACGCTAAACTGTTGTCGTACGATTAAGATGATTAAGGTGGCGTTAAGCAACGACAGACATATGATGCAATAGCTGACACTGTTGCGATGAGGACGGAGAGGTTCTCACTGTGTCAAATGACTGGGGGCAGCAGTACCTTGGATTTCTCCTCGTCTTCGAAGAGGGTGTTGTCATGGCGGGGTGGAGGGGGCGGCACGATGTAGCGGATGTTGTCCTCGCTCAGCTTGGGGTCGGCCTTCACGATGCCTGCAACCCGCAAGGTCAAAGGGAGTGGCTTCGTGTCTGACTAACAACCGCTCACGGTCACTCACTATAAAATATCAATATCCGCACCTCCGATTAGCACGGTTGGCCACGTACGGTGCGAAAGAAGTTCATCATAGATACGCACGTCGAATTTGCTTTTTAACATTTTACAATGAACCACAAGCGAAAAGTCACTCTCACTGATACCCGCTGAAAGGGACACACAAGACAGATATCCACTCACCCTCACACCCAGCCATAATAGCCACTCGTTTTCCTGACACCCACACCCACCCTGCTCTCCCACAACGATTCGACCAGACCAATCATTCAACAATGCAGCGACAACCCAACCGCACAAACCATTTTTTTCTGGCACACCACCACATGTATGCACATTCACAACAAAGATAAAGAAACAGAGGGAGACTCGAGCGCCGACAAAAAACTCTCACCATCAAACGCGCAAACAACAAGACGTATTTGCACGAGACACACAAAACAGAGACAAAGATCCCCCGTGTAGCCTTAACAGACTGTCGGGGAAAGTGCTGTTAGCGAGTAGCACCTATGAAGGCCAGCACGGTACACAAGGGGGTGGGTGGCCAGCGATGTTTACAAACCGCACCAGGTACTCATTTGAGGCTGAATCAGCCGAGGGGAGGCCTAGGTGTTGGCCGTGAGCGGGAATCGAACACGGGTCGCCGGCTAACCACTAAACTACTGCTCCCCGAGACACATACATACACACGCATACATAGCAGGACACAGAGACGACACGGGGAGTGGGGGCAATGTGGAGGCGGGGGAGAGGGGGGGATAGGGAGGGGGGGTCCGGGGGGGGGGGGATTGGGGCGCAATGGCTACCCTGGCCCTTGAGCATGTGGTACGCGTCCTGGATCTTGGTCTCGTCGGGGATGCCCACGGTCCAGCTGTACATCAGCTCCACTATCTTGCTCTTCACCTTCTCCGGCGAGCGAGAGCCCAGGTACTGCGTGCAGTGCAAATCGAGGATCGCGACGTTAGTCCGCTGGGCGAGGGCACAGTCTTCAGCGCTGTGCAGTCAATGTTGTCAACATTTAAACAAAATTATTTTAGTCGTAGTCTTTTCGTCGAGTGAACCGCAAACCTGTGGAATTCTCGCCAAGTCGATGGATTTCATGCGGCCATTCTCTTAGTCTGATCGGCTAGTCCACTCCGAGTTACTACACGTTGGTGAGAGGGTTTGTGAAATTCTCCCCCCCTCCCCTGCCAGCACCTCGCAATATTATCCGTGTGGGGGGGCACACACCTTCGGCGACAGCACCTTGATGAGCTCGTTAAGGAAGCGGTACTTGCCCACCTCGTCGTGGAAACGCTTGCCACAGTTGCGCATGCAGGCCTCCAGCACCTGCCCTCATACACAGAGGGTTAGAGATTAAGGGTTAGGGTTAAGAGACAGGCTTTGGGTTTTGGGTTACTAGTTCGGGCTCGAGTTAGGGTAACAACTAAGGTTACAGCCTATGGTTAGAATTTGGTTTAAGGCGAAGATTAGGCGATTGACCCCGATTAGGATTAAGGTCAAAGTATGGGTTAAGGTTATGGTTAGGTTTCAGGATTGACTGGAGGTAATGGCTCTGGTTAGGTATAAGTCTGGTATATTGTTAATGACTAATAAGGTTAAAGCTTTGATAAGGGTAGGGCTCACGGTTATGATTTTGTAAGGTTCACGACTATGCCTAAGGCTTGAATGAGAGCCTAGGAGCTCGAGTGGGAGACTGTCGTGAACGCTCCGGGTACGTTCGCTTGCTCATCGTCGGACAGGTCTCTCCCCATCGTCTCTGCGCCGCTCACCGTCAGACTCTGCATGGCCTCCCACTCCTGCGGGGACTGGATCTTGTGACTGAGGAGACGCGTGGCGTGCAGAGGCCTGTGGAACATGCAAGGAGCGCGGGGGGTGGGGGGGGGGTAGGCGGAGTGGGTGCCGGGGGAGTGCAGTGTTGCCAAACTTAGTGATCTAGTGACTATTTTGATTTTTAAAGCAACAAATGTTTTTCCAGAGCGGCTTTCGGAGCCATTCCAGGTACGAAAGTGGATAACGAAATCCGCTGGAAATATCCAGCGTTGTTCATCGTCAACGGGCTGCGTCTTGGTGTTGAACTGGTGCGGGCCCAACTACGGGGCGGTTCGCTGATCGCCGGGACAGTTGGCTGTGCACGGAGAGCGCGAGAAACCAGAGAGGGCTCACCCTTCCAGCTCCAGGTTGACTTTGTTGCAGAATCCCATGATGTCCTCCCATTCCTCCTTCTTGTTCAGGGGGTTGGTGGCCTTGTCTGAAGGGGAGACAGAGCAAACGTTTTCGTCAACTAAAAAAACACTCAACACATTTGTCGATAACACTGCCTAAAATGGAAAAGTATATAACAGGCCAGGTTTCGTGCAATCGTCCATCTTCATAGCAACATCTGAAGCAACTGAACTAGGCACGTAACAACTCGTCGATTAATTAGTTCTTATACTCGCGACACACGCATAAATCCTGTGCGTGAGAAATGATTAATTTACAATGTACACAAATTCTATACAAATTATACGGTACTACATTTACAGCATACAAATAACTGTAATTGATATCAACTTAAAAACTGTTTACAATTGTGTTTATCTGCATTTTAATACTCTCTATTTAAAAATATATTTTATGAAGGTTCAATAAAAGTGTTCGCCGCAGCTATTATAATGAAAGCTATTACAGGTATGCTAAGGTTACGGCTTCGGCTAACGGACGAAGTGAGCAAATGAGACAAACATGAGTGAGGCACTGCAAACAAGAACACCAAATTACAAAACATGGAAGGCGAAACATGTGTGCGCCATGGATCACGTGACACTTTCCAACACAGGATTATCCCCCAGAAGCGATGAATTAGAGACAGTAACGGTAGCGCTCACGCCATGCGCACAGGAAGTAGCTTATGACCTTAGGCCACAAAAAACAACGCGGCCCGGATTGCGGCCCTGCCTGGGAGGGCCGGTTTTGTGAGTAAAGTCCTTCTAGCACTGGTTTTTGGCTCCAGGTTTTGGGAAACGCTTTGATCGATTTGGCCAGTTTTCAATAGTTCTGAATAGCAGCACAACTTTACACTCAAGTTTTCTCCATATTGGATCATCTTCGCGAGGGATATGATGACGCCCGACCCCCAACACAAATAATGAGAATGTATTATGTCGCAAGGAGAGGGAAAGCGAATCATAATATGGCCATCGTGAACATGCTATGCTTCACATTCACAGGGTGGCTGTGAAGTCCCTACACCCTTAATCTCTTCGAGTCTAGAAAAGTGGAACCAGACAGGGGTATTATTGGGGGGCTTCCCGCCCACCCTGCACAGTTCATCTCACATGGTGGCGTTTCATTTGCTTGGTGGGTGCCAGGCAAGCTCGTGTGCATGTTTGTCAGAACGTGCCGAATGACCCATCTATTCTCCCACCCTTTAATTAGCGCATTCCTGAAAACAGTGAAGGGCTTCACACGCGGCCCTCGAGTGTGGCCACATGTCGCACTCCAGTGATGAGAGTAAACAAAAAAAATCAATGCAACCTCATTGCCAGGGCCCAGCCAAGAGGGCATGGTGCCATTACTGCTAAGTTTTTCAAGTTGTGCTGCAGGGCTCTCCGATGTGTCTTCACGTTGTTCCGCGTTGTTTGGCGTGATGTCCAACGTTTCGCTTCAACCTGCTGGACAACGCGTGGTAACAACCCGAACACACGTCGGAGGGCCCAGTGCCATTGCCATGGAAGTTGTCGCGCTAAGGGGTGTTGGAGAGTTCCTTTCCAGCCATGGTTGTATAATTGATTAGACGTGCTCATGACAGATCATGTGAACTTGACAGCTCATGTTCACTAAAGTTACTGGCAAACATCTGTGAGCGGTCTATGGATCCGGAGGTGGCTTTAAGTTCCGTTTCGTGAGGATTTTTCCGATAATCTGTGGTTCCTTGATTAAAAATAACTCAAACGTTTCAAGTAAAAAAAAAACTCCTTTTCTTGCTGTGCTTTACACAGCGTTTCCAACTCCACCGAGTGCAAACAAAACTGACAGACAGCTGTGTTTCTGCATTCCTTTCAGAGAGAAAGAGAGAGAAAAAAAGTCCCCTGCAAACCACTCTTCCTGCCCAGGGCTCAAGACAAAAAATGGACAGAGCGGTTCAGAAGCGGGGGCGATGCTTGCTGAAGGGGCACTGTACGGCGCGCTCACGCCTTCTTTCGTACGCGGCGAGCATCTCTCGCAAGAGTCGGCGATATACCAGGAGCCCCAGGCAGGTTCAACCATCTTCTCGCCGCGACAACGTCACGTTGCATAAGTCGCGTCATTCTTTTCTCTATTCTCGTTGATGTTAACGGTGGCCACATGACGGGCGAGCCGAGCTGTGTGAACAATCCGGTATATAACGACGCAATGCCCTGATCCACAAATACGAAGGAGACACCACAGCAATACACGCCGCTGCCCCCCGACGCGGTTATCTGGCTTGACCACCTGAATGTGAAGTTGTAGTTGTTGCTCTGCATCTACATCAACCATACGAAAGAAGACTACGGCATTGGGCATCGAGGGTGAACGAAGAGCGGATTAATTTGTGGGTGACAAAGTGCCTCCTGAGAACCGGCGATTGGCTTTTCCCAAGGTCAGGAGCCTGGTTCTTGAGGAACAATCCCCCTAGGCATCCTGACATGGATCACCTGCTGCAGTGATATACAATTTATGTGGATCTGCGACGTGTTGCCGGGTTGTACCGTGTTATTTGGATTGATGTCTGACATTTCCCTCCACGTGCTGGGAGCCACTCAATCGCGTGGAGAGAAATGGCGGACATCATGCCGAACGACACACGGTACAACCAGAAAACACAGCACGACCGTCAAAACCGACACATTAATAAAAGTATCGTACACTTCAATACTCGGGTCTACAGGTTTTCAAAATCAATGCGGCCTAGCTCATGCTTTACCAAGTGAAGTCTGCTGCGTCCTTACTTGGCCAACGTATTGTTGCCGTGTAAAAGTTCTTGTCAATATTTCACCAAATGCAACCGAGCCCACGGGGTGGTTTGAAGACCCCTCTCTTCGCCAATTACTGCTCCAGCCATGCGATGATGTGGCCAAGTGATGCTTGGCAGGTGGTTATAAATAGATGTCCATGTCGAGGAAAGCACAGAGAAGTAACAGGTCTCCTTTACAAGGTACTCTTTTTGTCTCGACAGCCTCTCTTCCTCATTCACAAACTCCACGCTCCAAAGCTAGAACCGCATCAAGGAACGTGGCCATATTGACAACTTGAGATATCAATCACAAACTCGCTGCAGACATCGCGGCAGTTTCACGATCTCGGACATGCATTTTAGACACTTACAGACGTGGGTAAATCGTTGTGCGCACAACTACAAAGTGACTTTTTAGTTGGGTATAGCGTTTCAACCAATGAGGACTGTGATTCAGATCGCCATCGTTTGTACACCTTACCTAAAAAGGTTCAAAATGCTCATGAAATACACGGGTGTCGGACGCGCTCAGACAAACTGGCTTTTTCATCCACGCTGGGATGGCGATGGCGCGTTTAATTTCATGTACGTGTCAAAGCATTGCTTCATTGCATAAATAAGCCATATTTGATTTGAAAAAAAGCCAATAATTACTGTCGCAATTACACCTCATATCATTTTTTTTTTAAGTTGACACTGAGACGTTGCCGAATTTGTGCAAATGCCCATCACTCTCTGAAACCCACTCAACCGTACTGGCAACATCGCTCACAAACACTACCACCAACTCTGAAATTTCAAAACGTTACATGCCAACACGAAATGCAAACACCTTGAACCGCATAACCCCATGAAGCACAATCCCTGGAACACAACAATGGTACACGACCACATTGGAACACAACACCCATAACATACGTCAACACAAGATAGGAACCCAACTCTCACAAACACAACCCCGCCTCCCAAAGGCGACATGACCTACAACCACTCAGACCGTACTAAAAAAAAAACTACTTTTTTATTTTACCAGGTAAGGCCCACTGAGCTATATAGCACTTTTTCAGAAGTAATCTGGCCACAAATGAAAGCTCAATAAAGTGGCTTATATGTGGAAATGGAGATCAACCAAATACGCTAAATGCATGTTTCTAAATGTAGAGGGGAAAGCCGGATGACACGGGGAGAGAGAGGCACGCAACTCCAAATATACAGTAGGCGTCAGGATTGCGAACCCACGCACTCCTATATACCAGGCGAGGTAGTTAACGTCTCTTAGCCACCGTGATGATGATGAGAGACAGACATGTAAACTCCAAATATAGAACAGGCGTCAGGGTTAGGGATCGAACCGACGACCTCCTGTATACCAGGCGAGGTAGTAAACATCTCGCCCACCACTGCGCCCATACAGTACTGCTGCAAAAAAAACACACCACAAATAACAACAAAACACAACCACTATGAACAGAATCACCACACCGTGAAACACAACAGCTCGAACATAACCACTCAAACACAACGATTACACACAACCACTCTGAAACGTTGTAGCCCTGGGCCCGACCGTGTCTCTCTCTCTCGAGCTCCATCGCATGCCACGATCCTAACGCATGAAATACAAACTTAAAATACACACACACGTAAACACAACCACACCACCATCACTATAACGTTATACAAACAATGTTAAATACAGTACCAAGATACAAAATGACGCGGACACACCACCACCACCAAAACCACCACCAAAACAACCACCACGAGCATCAAAAATATGCAAACACGGCAACGTGAAGCCCCAAAAGACAACGCCACAACTGCTGTACCAACAACCACACATAACGAAACACACCCGCAGTGAAAACCCTAAATTAACACCCCAGAGGAATAATAAACAACTACACAACCACACAACTACCACCGAAACACATCCATCCTTAAAAACTTAACCACACACATCAACACACGACCACACACACGAACACACTAGCAAACACACCGACACGCAAACACACAGACACACACTAAAACACTCGCAAATACACTGACACACACACTGACACACTAGCAAATACACTGACACACAACCACATCACCACACTGACACACACACTGATACACAACCACATCACCACACTGACACACACTGATACACAACCACATCAACACACTGACACACACACTGACACATAACCACATCCCCACACTGACACACACACTGACACACACACTGACACACAACCACATCACCACACTGACACACACACTGACACACACACTGACACACAACCACATCAACACACTGACACACACACTGACACACAACCACATCACCACACTGACGCACACACTGACACACAACCACATCACCACACTGACGCACACACTGACACACAACCACATCAACACACTGACACACAACCACATCACCACACTGACACGCCACCACATCACCACACTGACACACACACTGACACACAACCACATCAACACACTGACACACAACCACATCACCACACTGACACACAACCACATCAACACACTGACACACAACCACATCACCACACTGACACACACACTGACACATAACCACATCACCACACTGACACACACACTGACACACAACCACATCACCACACTGACACACACACTGACACACACACTGACGCACAACCACATCACCACACTGACACACAACCACATCAACACACTGACACACAACCACATCACCACACTGACACACAACCACATCAACACACTGACACACACACTGACACACAACCACATCACCACACTGACACACAACCACATCAACACACTGACACACACACTGACACACAACCACATCACCACACTGACACACAACCACATCAACACACTGACACACAACCACAACAACACACTGACACACACACTGACACACAACCACATCAACACACCGACACACACACTGACACACAACCACATCAACACACCGACACACACACTGACACACAACCACATCAACACACTGACACACACACTGACGCACAACCACATCACCACACTGACACACACACTGACACACAACCACATCACCACACTGACACACACACTGACACACACACTGACGCACAACCACATCACCACACTGACACACAACCACATCAACACACTGGCACACAACCACATCAACACACTGACACACAACCACATCAACACACTGACACACACACTGACACGCAACCACATCAACACACCGACACACACACTGACACACAACCACATCAACACACCGACACACACACTGACACACAACCACATCAACACACCGACACACACACTGACACACAACCATATCAACACATTGACACACAACCACATCAACACACTGACACGCAACCACATCACCACACTGACACACACACTGACACACAACCACATCACCACACTGACACACACACTGACACACAACCACATCACCACACTGACGCACAACCACATCACCACACTGACACACAACCACATCAACACACTGACACACAACCACATCAACACACTGACACACAACCACATCACCACACTGACACACAACCACATCAACACACTGACACAAACACTGGCACACAACCACATCACCACACTGACACACAACCACATCAACACACTGTCACACACACTGACACACAACCACATCAACACACTGACACACACACTGGCACACAACCACATCACCACACTGACACACAACCACATCAACACACTGTCACACACACTGACACACAACCACATCACCACACTGACACGCACACTGACACACACAACCACATCACCACACTGACACGCCACCACTCAACTCGACCCGGAACGCCACAATTTCACGCAACACCCCATGGCGCCTGCCCTCCACCCACCGCCGCCGCGCGCCTCTTCATCAGCGGCTGCGTCAGGCGCGGGTTGGATGGGGGTGGGGGGCAACCAGGGCAGAGTCGGGGTTAGAGGGGCACGGTGGGAAGCAGCCAGGGGAGGGAGCGGGCGCGAACTCACTGAGCCAGAACTCGAGGGCGTCTCCGTGCTCCACCCGCGGGTCGTCCGCCGCCGCCGCCATGTTGATACTCCAGCTTCCGATCCGCACGGAAGACGGAAGCGTCTTCCGGAAGACGGAAAGCGTCTTCCGGAAGACAGATTTCTTCTTCCGGAGGAGGAAGAGGAAGATTATTCCAGAAGGGGAGCTGAGGGGAATATCCAATTCTTGATTTGAAGCTTTTGTGACTGCAAGGATTCATACTCTTAGTTTTTTTTCGGTAAAGTCACGTAGGTAAAAAAATAATAGAAATGAAATAATAATAAATGAAAATAAATAAAAATAAATGATTTATTTTCATTTATTAATAAATCAGAAAATGATTTATTTTCATTTATTATTATTTTATTTTGTATTATTTTTTTCTTACGTGACTTTACCGAAAAAACCTAAGAGTAGGAATATCCAAGTTAGACTGGAAGGATATTGCGCAATCATCTTCCGGAAGACGAAGATTATTCCAGAAGGGGAGATGTGGTGGATCTTCCAAGATAGATAGATTCTTCCAGTGGAGGGATACATCTTCAAGAAAAGACAGATTAGATCTTCCATGAATCGAAATAATCTTCCGGAAGATTATTCCAGAAGGGGAGATAAGGAGGCTCTTCCAGAAGACGGTATAATCCTCTGGAAGGGGGAAATAAACTTACGCAATTATTTCCAGAAGACGAAGAAACTTCCAGAGGAAGGACACATCTTCCACAGTTATCTCCCAAAAGACAGAAGAAACTTCCCAAGAAGTCAAATTTATCTTCCACAACACGGAGGCATGTTCCACAAGAATCTTCCAGAAAATCTTCTAGAAGACGGAATAATCTTCCGGAAGATGCTTCCGTCTAATAGGAAGTTTGTATTTTTTTCGGAAGTTGATGATGAGATGTTAACTACCTCGCCTGGTGTACAGGAGGTCGTGGGTTCGACCCCTAACCGTGTCCTTCTCTCTCCCCGTGATCGCGTGGATTTTTCTCCGGGTCCTCACCACATTTAGAATGAACATGTGTTTAAGACTATTTGGCTGCTTTAAATTTCCACGTGATAAGCCACTTCGTTGAGCGAGAATGTGTGGCCAGATCGCTTCTGAAAAATTAGTTATATAGCTCGGTGTGCCTTTTTTGGTCAAATAAATTAGACATTTTTGATTTAAAGCTTTCGTGACTGCAGGGATTCATATTCTTGGTTCTTTCGGTAAAGTCACGTAGAAGGGAAACAATAAAATATTAAAAATATAAAACAACAAAAATTCTCACAGCAAGAGCATTTTCTTGCTGTGGATTTCACACCTGATGATGATTGCTTGTGTTGCAGTCGAAACGTCGCGAGCATTTTTTTATATTTTTATTACTTTATTATTTCCCTTCTAAGTGACTTTACCGAAAGAACCAAGAATATAAAAAAAACATTGTTTTATCTTCCGGAAGATTATTCCGGGATTTAAGATTTTTTTTTAAATCGACCAGGTTAGAAGAATCCGTTTTCCAGAAGAGGTAGAGGACGTGACGTGGGCAGAGCGAGCAGCGCGTGAGAGCCACGTGTGATATTGATTGTGAAGTCACCGGTTCATGTAAGGGGCCATGCATTGAGTACGAACGCAAAAAATCTGTCAAAACTTGAACCCTCCTCCCTGTACGCACGCGGACTTTTAACCCCCCCCCCACCACCTGCGTACGTACGCTTGACGCACCCCCCCCCCTCGAATCCTATAGAACGGCCGATATTTAATCCACGCAGTAACGATCATGGATTAATAGGGGCCGTCCATAAATGACGTCACGCGATTTTGGACGATTTTTGCCCCCCCCCACTTCTTCACACGGCGTCACAAAAAGTCAGACCCCCAATCAAATATGACGTCACAAAGCTCTGCCCCCCCCCAAAATAAAACATGCTTCAAATCGCTTTAAACTATTGTCATTGTAGTGCGTATTTAATGTGGCGCTGCACTCTGATTTTGTAGGATAAAATATTTATTAAAAAGTATATTTAATTAAGCAGAACGTGTTGTCTATATTTATTTAAAGTTGCGCATTTTGATGTGAAGTCACATTTTTAACCCCCCCCCGTCCTCGTCGCACATCGTCTGACCCCCCTCCCCCCCCAGGTGCGTGACGTAATTTATGGACGGCCCCATATTAACGTGTTTAAGCAAACAGATAATCCACCGCCGGATTATCTAACTCATTTGATTATTAATTTAAATTTCATTTTTTTACCTACGAGTGTGTGTATGTATTTATGGGGAGAGTGGCGGTGGAGTTTGTTTGGCAACCCCGGTTCCATTGCCAATCAGGTTCAATATCAGTGGCGAGTGCTATTTGACCTTGAACCTATCCCTAGGCTTCTGTGATGCCACGCCACTGCACCTAGTTCTACTCAACCATAAATGAATACCTGGTGCAGTTTGTACACATCACCAATGTGGAGACACAGCCGTGCCGCCGGGCCTTAATCGGTGTTCACGAACAGCACTCGCCCCAATAATCTGGTCCGCCCAAATGGAGTTTATTGCTTTGGTTGGTTGAGCAAACACACTGCACTGTGGTTCCGGCTGCAGTGACCACCCTGTTATAGTGGGCACCTGAGCTTGGTTAACTTGACCTAAACTTAACGTATATATGTTAGTGGCAAAGACAGCCAGGTCTGTGTGTTACTGGCACTCACTGTTGTATTAAGTCAAGCCCGGCACGGCTCGGGAGGCTACAGGTTATTTTCTCCACTGCAAAAGCCAAGCCGTGTCACAGTTTTACCACTGCACAAGTCAAGCCGTGTCACTGAGTCGCACGTAATTGCGTGTCGGAGATGCTGTGTTCTCACGTGATTAAAATAGGTGCTCACCAACAGCTTGTCATAGCATAAGGTTTGTGCTCATGGGGGATGTTGTGTGTGCGTGTACATTGTTCTTTTTACACACGTTTGAGCCAGAAATATGGCTATTGGAATTAATTAAGGTAGCAACAGATGATTTATTTTAAATGTTTCAAATGTATATACGAGTTAACTTTTCACGAGGCATATAGTGGTTCGCCCCGACTCCTACTCAATTAATAACTAATCACAACTCGGCGTTGCTGTTCAAGTCAAGACTCGTTTATCCTGTCCATTGTCAAATTTGTCCCGTTTCATTCGCCCCCGTGAGCCTAAAGCAGTGAGTGGTTCTCAAAGTGTGGTGCCCGGACCAGCAGTGGTCCGCTGGGCTGTAATGCACATGCAGCTGGATCCAGATATAGACGTTTTTACCTTTTGTTTCTGACATTAATCTGAAAAAAATCACCCGTAAAAACAAAGTTTTTCACTATAAATCCTTTATATGCGTGGCATCGATTTTATTTTATTATTCATTTCTGTTTTTCTTGAGTAAGAGTTTCATTTTTATCACATTGGTATTTTAAATAAAATATGAATTTTTTTTTCATCCTAAAAAGTGTAAAATTTTGGAAAAATGTTTTCACGAAAATTAATTGTCACGCACAACGAGTCTGTGTGCAAAATGTCAGCTCGACTGGATCACGGGAAGTGGGTTAAAAACGACCGAAAGATTTGCACGGTCGTAAGCAAGCAAGCACGCAAGCAAGTGAACTTAATATAAAGGATTTAAAAAGGAAGTTCGGTAAACTATCCTGATTAAACTACTCTAACCCTAATATCTCAATGCCACCGCTCCCCCCCCCCCCCCACAAAAAAACCTTATAGCTGCCTTACATTTTTTTTATGTTCCGGTAGAGAAGTGAATGCGTTTTGTCACCAAGGTGGTCCGCGGAAATGTTTGCATCGGGTGATTGGGCCGCGGGCCAACACAAGTTTTAAGAAGCACCGGCCTAAAGGTGTGATTTGCACGTCATTTGAATCAATCTTTAAAAACAAATCGTCTTTGCACGCAAGATTCGCTGTACGCATCGCGAGAGTAGGAGTCGGTTTCAACGCAAGCGTCTACGCTCCACGTCACCAGCGTGTGCGATCCCGCGTGCCGCCCCTCCACCGCTGCCACCCAAGCCACTGAGAGAAGTCCAGATATGCATGACACGAGACTCTGCGCTTTTATACATTTATGTTTATAGGCAGTGTACACAGTAATAATTTTTAAAGAACCTCAAATTATTCAACTTAATTTACTTTCACACGACGTAGCATTTGTTTGTTCCTACGCATGGTCTGATGCTGTTCATGTTCATTACAAGTCTGCAGATAAACATTGCTCTACAAACTTGAAGAAATACCTGCATTTTAATTTCACAATAAATTAATACAAATAAATTACTGCTTTGTTAGACATTTGCATTCGTTATGAATGAATTAGTGACCTGGTTGGTTTCAACACTTGGTGGAAACCTTTACCGCACTTTTTTAAGTGTCAAAAATAACAATAACAAGTAACTTGATGTCTGATTTTGGTTCACAACACAGCAGGGGCTGTGTGGGCAGTACGTGTAAAGCAAAAATCTAAAGTCACCACCATCAGCAGCAGCAGCAGCACTGCCTTACAACAGAACCACGCTGCAGAGCTTTCGTTCGGTACGGAGAAGATTCACCCGCCCGCCCGCCCGCCCCGGTATTATTTTTGTTTGCAAAGGAAGGCCTCACTTTTCCAGGAGGGACTTGCCAAATTTTTGCAGTCGGGGCAATGGTTGCCATGTGTAATCCCAAATTAATCATTTGCAGTGTTAATTGTTCAGTGTTGGGATACCTTCTTACATCACTGCTTAGAAATACAGTATAAACTGGATATAACCACAACTAACATGAGCAACACATGCTTACGTTGCACTGGTTGGGGGGGGGAGGGGGATGGGCAACTTCTGATACGAACCCACTACTTCGGATATCAGCTCCCAAGGGCTGTGCTTATATCCAACCTTTCACAGCATCTATCAATGCGCCACCTTCGGTTACACCTGAATGGAGAGACAGCGTTATGAGTGCTGGGGCCTGGGAGTGCCCCTCAAAGCCTTGGCAGCACAAATGTCCTCCCTGGTTTTCCGAATGTGCATGAAAATCTCTTGGAACAGTGCCTTGTACTCGGGCTGTTCGCCCCGCTCCGCCCTCTGGACGTGTTGCACCACCACGTCTGCTGCCGTTCTCTCCGCCGGCTCCCCGCGGGCACCGCCGCCGGGACAAGCCTCGCCCGCGCTCCGGCTGCCATCGCTTGACACGGCGCGTCGGCGAGGACCGGCGGGCGTGTCGCTCCGGGCCTCGCGCTCGAGGGCGCGAGCGGCGCCGTGCTCCGCGCACGGCGCTGCCGCGCTGCCGGCTCCTGCGGCATCAAACGCGGCCCTTCCGCTCGCAGGCTCTTCGCGGCGGGGGAGTTCGTCGGGACCGTGTGAAGCACCGCAATCAGCCGCCGTGCCGATGTCCGCCCAGCTTCCCGGGACGTCCGAGGTTTCGGCGGTTGCCTGGGTGGCGGTGGCGGCGGCAGCGATCTCCCTGTTCCGCCCGACCGAGTGGGCGGAGCCGGTCTGGACGGCGCGGTGCTGCAGGCTCGCATTCCGGTCGTGCATCCTGGCCAGGAGATCCTCGTAGCGAGCCTGCAGGGCTGCGTACTGCTCGCTCACCTTCGCTCAGGATGGACACGGGACCCCTGGCTGTGGGACCTGGCTCGTCCACGGAGCCGTGGGTATGGCGCGCCGCGGTCTTGTCCCCGTCGGTGCCGTCCCCCAGCTCCCGGCAGCTCCCGGCGCTGGACCCCGTGTCGGCTTCGGGGTGTCCCAGCAGGCTCTGCAGCTTGGCGATATCCATGTCGCCCACGCCACGGTCCCCGTTCAGCAAAGATTCGGCCGCCAGTTCCGCCGTCGCCAGCAGCCGCTGCAGGCGTTCGCCCTCGGACAGCCGGATCCGGCTCATCTCCAGCAGCTCCTTCTCCAGCTCCTGGGTGCGCTCCAGCCAGGGCTCCAGGTCGACGAGGCGCTGGTCCATGTCGGAGTTTTCCGCCAGCGCGAGTGCGAGCTCCAGATCCAGGTTTCCGCGCCGCTCCCGCTCGCGAGCCAGGCTGGCGCTGAGAGACTTGACCGAGCGCTGCAGGCGCTGCACCTCGCTCTCCCGCTGGTCGGCGCCGCTGTCCTGGCCGCTCGCCAGGATGTCGGCCGACACGCGCTCCGTTCCTAAATACCTGTCGGTGGCAACAAACGGCGGACGATCATCACCGTTGTCATCAAAATCACATTGTAAAAAAGATCCAAAATAGTCCTCGCGTTCAAGTTCAAGGTCATTTATTAGGTATAGCCCTGTGAGCCGTTCGGCTCTTGAATCGGGTGCAACCGCAACAAACAAAAAACAAAAACACGAACAAAAAACATCTTAAAGTGACTATGTGACTAAGTGCAAACAGAAAATCCAAGAAAAGACAGCAAAATATTGCAGAAAAAAAATCACCGTACACCAACGCTGTGTGCAAAAATCCCAGTGGGATGCAAGTCAAACAACCAACAACAACCACAAGACAACTTAGATAAAGACCATCAGTCTAACTCTGTACTACAACAAATAAACATGGCTAAACCAATACACTTTTCGAAATCACCAAAATAAAGCCATGAAAGCAATGAAACAGTGATCATAGGAACTGTGACGGAATTTTCACAATAAATGGCATAAACAACATGTACTACCAAAACCCTGCAGCCATAGCTGGCTGCATGAGTCACTCCACAACAGCAGGAGCATCAATCGGAGTATGCGCGTGTGCGTTGACGTGTGCGTGTGCGTTGACGTGTGCGTGTGTGCGTGTGCGTTGGCGTGTGCGTTGGCGAGCTTGCCTCCGTATGTCGTGCATCACCGGCACGCCGTGCACCGTGCGTCGGCGCTCGCGCTTCTCGCGCCGCACGCTCGCCTCGCCGGACCTGCGCAGCTCCTCCAGCTGCTTCTGCAGCTCCTCCACCTGCGCCTGCAGGCCCTCCACCTGCTCCGACAGCCTGCGCCGCCGCCGCCGCACACGCACATACGCACGTCACGCGACGGCCAGGTACTCACTCTCTAGGGCTGCGGGGATGAGTCCATCAAGTTGATTCCTTGACTAAAAATTGTCTACAACCGATGCCAAAGGACCAGAACTCAGGTGGCCAAGTTCACAATGTAGTGCAGAAATCATTGTACTGCTGCTCCACCCCAGAATTAATGAAACTGTAGAGCTGGGACTATTAAATTATGAGGTCAATAAATCGACGAAAAATCGTAAATCTACTTTATTTGTGGTTGATTACTTGAACCCCTTTAACAATGAAGGCCGGAAACCCCCCACAAGCCATGCCCAGCGTGATGAGACTGATCATGCCGATGACATCACCGAGCCCCACCCATCACCTCCTGTCAAGCGGCATGTGTGTAAACAGAGGCTGAGACTTTTTTTTTCCCCCAACTACTTGTGTGCCGAGTAACTGAACCGATAAATATAATCGTTAGAGTCATCGATTACTTCACAAGTCGAATTCTTAATCTGGTGGTGGAACAAAACTGAAAACATGATTATCATCATCAGCGACAATAGATCCACTGCTGGACGAAGACCCTCTTCCCAAGTGGTTGTGACTGCGAGATGATGATGATTGCGATGATTAAGATGACAATGATGACGACAACGATGACGACGACAATGACAATGACGACGACAATGACGACAATGACAACGACCGCGCGGTTTTCCATTCGCGTTGGAGCATATTGTGCCACAGCGGTGACGACAGGTGATGATGGTGACGGTAGCGGTGCCTACCCGGCTATCCTTTGCTGCGAGTTGCGTCCCTCCAGCAGCAGCCGGCGGTTGGCGAGCTCGAGGTCACGTGACGCCACGTCCAGGTGCTCGTACACCTGCGCGTGTCGCTCGCCGTTTTCGCGCAGAAGCTCCAGCTGCCGTGTCAGGTGCTGCACAGGCGATTGGTCAAGCAAGGGGGGTGGGGGGGTGGAGGAACAGTAGTCAGATTGGGGTCACTGTGCCCCCGGCTTCACCCCCCCCCCACGTCCCACCGCATCTCTCTCACTCATACAGGCTGCCCGCCCACTTGTGGATCGTGACTCTTGCTCTCACTCGGTACTTTTAATAATAATTAATTTATAGTATTTGGCTGTTAGAAATTTCCACATAAGCCACTTCGTTGAGCTATCATTTGTGATAGTCAGTGGGCCTTACCTGGTAAAAAATAAAAGTTTAGTTTAATAATTATAGTTTAATTACCCAGGAAGCCAAATCCGAGTATGAGGACCCTTTCTTTAGGGGGGGTCCTGCATTTTGTGTTAAGAGTTTTTAGCCATGTGGGAGGAGACCGTAGGGCAGCGAGGAACAGATGAAATGAATCCAAATTTGCTGTACACCACCTTCTCTTGGGCAACCAGGGAATAGGAATCCCGACGCCCCAATAGGAAAGGAGAGTCGCAAAAATGTGCGTGATCCATCCGAACCCTCGCTGCCTCCACAATGCCAGGTCACATGCGCACGCGACACCACCGTTGCCGTCTTTCAAGTCACGTAAATGGATGGTCGTGGTTCTTAACCGCGTGGCTTTCACAGGGAGCCACAAGCACAGACGGAGGCTACAGAGGAGATGAGCCCGAGCTCATCGTGAAACTCCGGCTGCTCGTTAAGTGACCATTAACGAACTGCTCAGACCAGAAAAAATAATAATTCCCCACCCGCCAGGTCACCGTGGCAATGGCGAGGCCGATTCCCCAAGTCTTGCATGATTCTCAATTATTCATTTGCTAACACAATGGTTTCACTGAAAGCCGAGCGAGGTCGTTCATAATGAATGCTTGTCCTGGCCGTGACGACTGAGACCATTCGCTTGAGAGAACCGCATAATGCCGCACAGATTATTTTATTAAAGCGATCCGTAAACTCACGCTACGCGCATCATGTCATACATGTAAGTATCGGTGATTTACTATTTATTAAAATTGCATGTAAAAGCTATGCTCATTGGTGCCTTTTCAGCTAATGCAGGAAACAACATTTTCATTGTCAGCTATGATTAATCCACTATTAGAGGAACGCCTCCCCCGTTCCGCGATGCAACGATGCACCCAGGACCTGCACATGAGCAGCTCCCACCACTCCCAACTCCACGGGAGACCTCCTCCTTTAGCTGCCACATAGGTAGTTATTCTCACCCACTGGCCATCAAGCAAGGTTGGCTACGTACGATGCGAAAGAAGTTCAACATACATATCCCTTCGAGAGATGTGTCCTGCCAAAACCCACTTATTTTAATTAACAGTCAAATATTATACCTTTACTCTGCATGCTTCTAAAATCCACGCTATGCTCTCTATATATCCCGGTGTAACACCAAGCTTGCAAAGAAGAAGAAATTTGCTCCATCCTCTTCATCATTGTCCACATTTCTAATCCATATATTATAGCAGGCGAGACGCCACGATTGAAAACTTTCCTCTTCAAGACACCCTGTGGTGATGCTTTTTATTCAGTTCGTCGGCTCTCATCCACCTTTTCATTTCAGTATTTTCATCTTGGTCTCCCTTCAATAACGAGGTACGTGTATTCTCCTGTGCATTCCAGTTGTGTCCCTTAAACAGATATCGATGATTGTTTAGCGAACTTTGTGCCGGACAAAACAATATGTAAAAAAAAATTTTGATTCTTAAATCGAATCGAGACCTCTAAACGTCTAAACGTGAACATTTATCGAGCCACTGGGTGGTACAGGCTGAATAACTGCATGCCTAATCAGGGCCATGGAGAGGTTCCTGGAGTCTCAAGGCCTGGGGGCTGGAGGCTATGTGAGGCCCCCTAAATCAAAAGCAACAAAAAGAAAACAGGTCCGTTGTCAGGGCTCTCTTTTGTGTGAAGCCTGGGGCAAATTGCCCCTTCTGCGGCTTCCTTCTCTTCTGCCTCCTGTGCGCCGAACAGTTGTGCCAACACGCAATCAGGACGATGTATTTTGTAGGATGGGGCGGCTCGTTTTTTTCCGCAACAAGCAACCAATCTGAAGCAGCTTCAGCTCAAACTTGTTTCTGCAAACGTGACAATAAATCCCCCTAACCTTCCGCACAACGACGGACTTGGGCGCTCTTCCCAAAGCCGAACGGACACCGTGGGGGACGCAGGAGCCTGGGAAAGGCCGCAATCTCCACGGTGCAACCTTCACCTTGGCCCCCCCATCGCACGAGCACACCGGTGTTCACCAATCAGTGCCCTTTGACACCCGAATTGTTGCCGTCTGAAGCAATAAAATGTCATAAGCGATAAAAAACCCCGGTGTTTGCACTTCACGTTTGACGGCTCGCTTATCGCCGACGCGACTGTACACACACACAGACATGCACTGCTTCCCGCGCGGCTCCACCAATGCCTCCTCCCCTTGTGAGTGAGGGTAGAACTCGCGCCGTTGAGAAGTTTTACTGCTGCACCGAGCGCTGGCAGGGTGCCGCACGCGGTAAATATGAAAGCCTTGGCAAGTTTGGGCGATTTCCATTTAATGAGTTTGTCATCTTGCGGGAGAAAACTGTCGTGTCAGGAGAAAACCTACCCGTAAGGTGGTACTTCTCTCAACCAGGCTCGAGACTGCTTAGCCTCCCAGAGCTGATGATATCGAACGCACTTTGCATGCTTTGCTCAAAAGCACATCACGTGTGCACTGTATACATACTCTCCACTTGTACCTGGTGAAAACCGCATCAGTGAAGGGGATGGTAGAACAGTAAGTAGGTTTACGAAACCATGTGTTTGGGCTGAGAGAGTGATCTAATCACATTATGAGTGGACTTTTTCTAGGTACTCCGGTTTCCAGCCGCACATAAAACTAGCCAAACATCCCAATGCAGGACCCTCCTCCTGAGTAGGAGTCCTCAGACTAGCTGCTTATTAGATGGTCAATTAAATGTTACTGTTATTATTATAACGAACCAAGAAGATACCTCAAGAAGCACTTTTTGCAATTTTACTGGCTGCAATGTTCATTGAACATTTCTAGAAATATGTTTTAAAACACCTCATTCGAGACCCAAATATCACACCTCCTGGCTTTAACATTCTTCCTACACCAACTCTCTCCTAAAGCCCTCTTGTCATGGCCAGCAGACTTCGACATTGGCATCTGAACATATTGCTGCCATCACCCGCAAGAATAGTGCAAAAATAAAACGAGAAATCACGAATCCACACAATGTGGTAGATTTTGCCATGTGAACCGACACCTTTATCACGGCACACCTGGGCTTGACAGACACACACACGCAGCGCGACAAGACGCACAGCACAGCAGACACACGTACGGCGCGACAGACATACGCACGGGGCGGCAGACACGAACAGCGCAACAGACACACGCGTGACAGACACGCGCACGGCGCGACAGACACATGCACGTTGCCCACCTCGATCTCCAGCACGTGGTCCTGGTTGGTGATGTACAGCTGCTGCAGGGAACACTCCAGCTCCTTGTTCCTCTCGAGCAGCGACTTCCCAAGCTCGGCAGCGAGCTGCAAGTCTGCACACACCAGTGCATGGAACACACGAACGCAACACGCATGCACACACACACACGTCCCGTTAGCGCCCGCAGGTGTTTCACAACTGAGCGCGAGCGCGCAGTAGCGTCTACCCATGATGCTTTGCTCGGCATCGCCGGCTCGGCGTTGGGATTGGAGCCTCTGCGGGCCAGCACGTCCCGTTAGCGCCCGTCGGTGTTTCACATCTGAGCGCGAGCACACAGAGGCGTCTACCCACGGTGCTTTGCTCGGCATCACCGGCTCGGCGTTGTGATTGGAGCCCCCGTGGGACTGAGCATCGGTCCCCGGCGGGGGTTTAGCGGCGTCATGCGAAACAGACATTTCACCGTGCGGAATGCGCTCCTCTGGATCAATACAGCCTCAGTGTGATTTTATTAGCAGTGAGGCCAATAATGAGTGAGGTTGTGTTTGCAAGAACAAAGTTGCACTCTAGATGAGTTGTATGCCAACGAATAGCAGCCAACTTCACAAACTCGGGGAAAGTGGCTAAATTCGTTTAACTCACTAGCCCAGGGGTTGGAAATCCAAATAATTCGGTAAATAACTCAATATTTTAAGAGCCGCAATGCATGTGAATAACGTCACGAAGCAGTCCTTAAAGAGCCGCATGCAGCTCCGGAGCCGTGGTTTGCAGACCCCTGCACTAGCCGACTCACTTTCACCGCACACAGGGAAAGCGTCGCTGACGAGCAATGCAGTATCGCTGGGTATTTCACTCGAGCGCTCGTTAGTGGAATTGGCCACACGTGCCAATGCAAGAACCTGCTTGCTGAAAATGGCCTTTGAGGCTCAGTGAGACTTTCCTGTATTGCGAGTCCATAATGCAGATTCTGGTTGAACGTGTTGCGTTGGGAAGGCAGAAACTGTTATGTTTACATCCACGGCAGTTGGCAAAAGAGGACTCCTTCAAACATGGAATTGGCCAAAGCCGACACAGCACAGGCACCTCGTGAAAAAAGTGTCTTGAGACTTGCCGAGCCTTTCCTTGATAAATATTCTCGAGGATTATAAACACTAGTTCGGGGATTACTGAATGAATGGACTAATATTCAGGCTGGTATGTTAAGTAGTTGCACAATCACGAGAACGGTAATTTAAATCCCACAGGATTTGTCAAATAACAAAACGAAAATCCGTCTTTACAAATGGCCAAGCGCGCTTGGATATTGCACTGGAGTGACTACGACTGTCCCTGCAGATGCTGCAAATAAACAAAGTTCTGGTTCGGTGTTGGTGTTTGAGGTCTGGGTTTGCAGTTAGGATTCATGGTTAGGGTTTATGCTTAGGGGCAGTAGTAGGTAAAACTGTTTTTCTTGTCCCACATCTGCGGGGACAGTAGTCCTATCGCATTACATGAACACAAAGCCAGTTAAATACACAGTGTTTTCTGGAACGCCCCAGTGCCGTTAAGCACATGTTACACAACGCTCGCAAATCAAATGTCAATTTGCCAAAAGTGCCCAACAATTGGCAACTTCCAAAGCAGTACCCCCGCATGACAACGGTATATTATCATAATCATCCATGATCAATCCACTGCTGGACGAAAAACCTTCCCCGAAACAGTCACAATCTCGCGTTGTTTTATCACGCATTGCTCTCCGAAGCACCTGCGCAAAGTGCCGATTCCATCGCTCCATCTCCGTGGAACGCATCGCCCCCCTCTCAGGCGTTCCCCCTCCCTCGGCTGCCGCTCCATCGATTTTCAAATTGAGACTCGGGACTGTATTTCAGCTGCCAAGGTCCACCGAACTAAACCGGCTCTTTTACAAGGAAGACCACAAGCCCAAGGACGTCGGCAGTGATGGCAGTTACCGGATGTCACACGGATCGGAATGTGCAAACGAACACGAGCAAAAACAACAAAATATTTACACGAAACCCACGCCAAAACTTACTGCAAACAGGATACAACATTTATAAAGAACGTTGTGCTTTGATATAAATCCTGTCACACTTGTAAATAAGCCGTGTACAACAGCCTCGGGCATAACTGAGTTTAGTTAAAGCGTTCATTGAAATTGTGACAGGTAATTTGGCAGGAAGGCAATAAAACCGTTACATTTATATGTGGTGTGATGTATGCTATCCCACCTAGACTTTCTATACTATCACAGCTAAGATTGTCACTCTTTCCACAATAAAACACATTTCTCAGGTCAGCTTGGTAATATTGTCAAAAATGTGAAATATATTGTCATAAAGTTCAACACAATAGCACAAGCTCTGGGTGCAAATCAATCCCTGCCATTGAACAAGGTTATTGTGCAGCGTTGTGCGACGCATAGGGGCCCAGTCGGTCACCAGGAGGCCCCAAATCAACAGATAAAACTTTAAAAATATATATATTAATAAAAAAAATACCTGCGGTCTACTATGTACCAAGCACAATTAACTTATCTGTGGCTAGCTTATAAATTTAGCAGCATAACGCTGTGAGACAATCCTAGACCGATGGAACTGGCATGAAAGCAAAACGCATAAGTTAATTGTGAGTATTGTACCTTTCAATATATATATTTTATTAATACTGTACTGTCACTGTGGTGAGACTGTCTTCCTCTAAACCCAATACACTGTGCAACTAAGATAACATAGTTATAGCCTACGTACTATTGCATACGGGTCAAACACATCCGGAGCTATTTCAGTAAAAGGGAGTCGGGAGGAAGGAGAGAGGAAGCAGTCGTAGCTTGCATACCCCGGTTGAAAATAGATCCTTGCGTCCCTGTACGTAGAACTTCCTTCGTACCGTACGTAGCCAACCATGCCAATCGGAGGACGTGGGCCAACATTGTGTGTACACTGTGCGTGCTCGCGGCTAGGCAGGCAGTGGTCTCTTCGTGCGGTTTCGTTTTGTGCGCCCACATTTTTTTTGGCACGCATCTACTACCAACCACCGCATAAAGCGAGGGAGGGAGGGGGGAGGGGGACCTGTACAAGATAATATATCTAATTCAGGGCCAGTCATTGTGACCGCGTCGAGTTATTTGAGATATGCGCCTGCCTGTCTCTGCCTAGCCCTAAAATCCGGAATGCACCCTCGTCACTAGCGAAGCATTCAACAATGACCCCAATGACAAAGAGGGGGGGGGTGGCCAGCAACACACGCCCGGCCGCCTTTGTCTCCCGAGTGGCGATGTTTACTACGCATCGCACCAGGATAATCATTTGAGGCCGAGTCGACCTAGGGTAGAGCCCAAGGACCGGTTCAGATAATCGCCAGCGGTGTTGGTGGCCGTGATTGGGAATGGAACACGGGTGGCCGAATTCGCTCCCCACCACCACCATCACAACCAAGGATCTTTATTTAAGTGAGATGACACTGGATGAAACCGATGAGCTATGAAGCAAACGATATGGGGGTGCAAAAAAATGTGAGAAAATGCCATAAGGAAATGCACTAAATATAGATACACAATACGTACATTTAGTCCGATTTATCGCGCTTAGGCGAGGCAGCAAATAGCAAAACAGAGCACACCACGATAACGCCACAACAGTAGATGTCCATCAATAGCACGGCACATTAACGTCGATCTATCGATAACGCCACAACAGTAGTAGCCCCTCAATAGAATGGCACATTAACGTCGATCTATCGATAACACCACATCAGTAGTAGCCCCTCAATAGAACGGCACATTAACATCGATTTATCGATAACACCACATCAGTAGTCCCTCAATAGAGCGGCACATTAACATCGATTTATCGATAACACCACATCAGTAGTCCCTCAATAGAACGGCACATTAACATCGATTTATCGATAACACCACATCAGTAGTCCCTCAAAAGAGCGGCACATTAACATCGATTTATCGATAACGCCACACAGCAGAAGTCCCTCAATAGAACGGCACATTAACATCGATCTATCGATAACACCACAGCAGCAGTAGCCCCTCAATAGAACGGCACATTAACATCGATCTATCGATAACGCCACATAGTAGCAGTCCCTCAATAGAACGGCACATTAATATCGATCTATCGATAACACCACAGCAGTAGTCCCTCAATAGAACGGCACATTAACATCGATCTATCGATAACACCACATCAGTAGTCCCTCAATAGCGCGGCACATTAACGTCGATCTATCGATACAATGCCGATGCGCGCCATCGATTGAACGGCCACCGACGATGGCACCAAAGCGACCGAGAGGAGACCATGGGAGCTGGATGAGGTGCGCTGCGGCAGGGGGAGGGAGACGTTCATCCAGCAGGGGATCGAGCATGATGATGGTGGTGGTGGTGGTGATGGTGGTGATGGTGGTGGTGATGATGATGGTGGTGGCGGTGATGGTGGTGATGATGGTGATGATGGTGGTGATGATGGTGTTGGTGATGATGATGGTGTTGGTGATGGTGGTGGTGGTCATGATTGTGGTGGTTGGTGATGATTGTGGTGGTTGGTGATGATGATGGTGGTGATGATGGTGGTGGTAATGATGGTGATGATGGTGGTGATGATGGTGTTGGTGATGATGGTGGTGGTGGTAGTGATGGTGGTGATGGTGGTGATGATGGTGATGGTGATGATGATGGTGTTGGTGATGGTGGTGGTGGTGATGGTGGTGGTGATGGTGGTGATGGTGGTGGTGATGATGATGATGGTGGTGGCGGTGATGGTGGTGATGATGGTGATGATGGTGGTGATGATGGTGTTGGTGATGATGATGATGTTGGTGATGGTGGTGGTGGTCATGATTGTGGTGGTTGGTGATGATTGTGGTGGTTGGTGATGATGATGGTGGTGATGATGGTGGTGGTAATGATGGTGATGATGGTGGTGATGATGGTGTTGGTGATGATGGTGGTGGTGGTAGTGATGGTGGTGATGGTGGTGATGATGGTGATGGTGATGATGATGGTGTTGGTGATGGTGGTGGTGGTGATGGTGGTGGTGATGGTGGTGATGGTGGTGGTGGTGATGATGATGATGGTGGTGGCGGTGATGGTGGTGATGATGGTGATGATGGTGGTGATGATGGTGTTGGTGATGATGATGGTGTTGGTGATGGTGGTGGTGGTCATGATTGTGGTGGTTGGTGATGATTGTGGTGGTTGGTGATGATGATGGTGGTGATGATGGTGGTGGTAATGATGGTGATGATGGTGGTGATGATGGTGTTGGTGATGATGGTGGTGGTGGTAGTGATGGTGGTGATGGTGGTGATGATGGTGATGGTGATGATGATGGTGTTGGTGATGGTGGTGGTGGTGATGGTGGTGGTGATGGTGGTGATGGTGGTGGTGATGATGATGATGGTGGTGGCGGTGATGGTGGTGATGATGGTGATGATGGTGGTGATGATGGTGTTGGTGATGATGATGGTGTTGGTGATGGTGGTGGTGGTCATGATTGTGGTGGTTGGTGATGATTGTGGTGGTTGGTGATGATGATGGTGGTGATGATGGTGGTGGTAATGATGGTGATGATGGTGGTGATGATGGTGTTGGTGATGATGGTGGTGGTGGTAGTGATGGTGGTGATGATGGTGATGATGATGATGATGGTGGTGGTGATGGTGGTGATGATGGTGATGATGGTGGTGATGATGGTGTTGGTGATGATGATGGTGTTGGTGATGGTGGTGGTGGTCATGATTGTGGTGGTTGGTGATGATTGTGGTGGTTGGTGATGATGATGGTGGTGATGATGGTGGTGGTAATGATGGTGATGATGGTGGTGATGGTGATGATGGTGGTGATGATGGTGTTGGTGATGATGGTGGTGGTGGTAGTGATGGTGGTAGTGATGGTGAAGGTGGTGGTAATGATAATGATGGTAGTGATGATGATGGTGGTGATGATGGTGGCGATGATGATGGTGATGATGATGGTGGTGGTGATGATGGTGATGCTGATGATGGTGGTGGTGATGGTGGTGATGATGGTAGTGATGATGGTGGTGGTAGTGATGGTGGTAGTGAAGGTGATGATGGTGATGATGGTGGTGGTGATGATGGTGATGATAATGGTGATGATGATGGTGATGATGATGGTGGTAATGATGATGGTGATAGTAATGATGATGATGGTGGTGATGGTGATGCGCTCCCTCACTCACCACGCTCCAGGTCGCGCTGCTCCATCCATCGCTCCTGTCCCGCGGCGCTGCTGCTACTGCTGCTGCTCTCGAATGTCTCCATCGGACAAGATCCCCTGTGGGGGTCCCCTGTGGGGGTCCCCGCGGTCCCACTTTGCTGCCCGTCACATGAGACGACGGTCGGAGACGATCAATTACATTTGCCAATTTCGTTACAGGTCCCAATGAAACGCACTCGCGCGATCTTTATTGTTACGTCAAACTCTGCAGCGCCGCTGTGAATGAAATAATGATCGAACCCCGGGGGTTCTGGGCCCGCTTCGCTGAGACTCTGGTCCGATGTGACCCCAGTCCGATGATACTCTGCTCGTATCTGGTCCCCCTCTGCCCTGGTACCCCCCCTACCCTCTCGTATCGGTGCACAGAGACCCCGCTCCGCCGTGGCCCCGATCCCCTTGCGGTCTCGCCGTAGTTCCGGCACGGCTCTGTTGCCGGCGTGGGCCTCCTCCCCCTACACACACTGTGGCCCCGGTCCGCTCGGCGTGTCGCTGTGACCCCCCCAGGGGATCGGCCGCCACCCCCCACGCGACTCCGACCTGGACCCTGAGGGCGGCGCAACGTGGCAACGGCCTCCGCCCCCAGCGCGGTGACGTCAGCACGCACGCATCTCCCCCCCCCCCCCCCCGGAGCGAGATGGGCGATGACGTGATCGCGTAATAGGAGCTACCCTGCGTGATGATGTCATCACGCACGCATCCCCCCCCCCCCCCCGGAGCGAGATGGGCGATGACGTGATCGCGTAATAGGAGCTACCCTGCGTGATGATGTCATCACGCACGCTTCCCCCCCCTCACCTACCCCCCCGGAGCGAGATGGGCGATGACGTGATCGCGTAATAGGAGCTACCCTGCGTGATGATGTCATCACGCACGCTTCCCCCCCTCACCTACCCCCCCCCCCGGAGCGGGATGGGCGATGACGTGATCGCGTAATAGGAGCTACCCTGCGTGATGATGTCATCACGCACGCTTCCCCCCCTCACCTACCCCCCCCCCGGAGCGGGATGGGCGATGACGTGATCGCGTAATAGGAGCTACCCTGCGTGATGATGTCATCACGCACGCTTCCCCCCCCGCCTTTCTCCGAAGCGGGATGGGCGATGACGTGATCGCGCAACACGAGCTACTCTGCGTGATGATGTCATCACGCACGATTCCCCCCTCCCCCCCCCCGGAGCGAGATGGGCGATGACGCGATCGCGCAATAGGAGCTACCCTGCGTGATGATGTCATCACGCACGCTTCCCCCCCCCCGTTTCTCCGAAGCGAGATGGGCGATGACGCAATCGCGCAATAGGCGCTACCCTGCGTGATGATGTCATCACGCACGCTTAACCCCCCCACCGACCCCCCCCCCGTTTCTCCGAAGCGAGATGGGCGATGACGTGTTCGCGCAATACGAGCTATCCTGCGTGATGATGTCATCACGCACGCACGCTTAACCCCCCCCCCCCCGTTGCTCCGAAGCGAGATGGTAGATGACGTCATCGCGCAACAGGAGCTACCCTGCGTGATGACGTCATCACGCACTTGCGCGATAACCGCTGCTTGGGTGCGTCATCGCCCTTGTCGGGCAGCTGTGGCTGGATGAAGGCACCTGGGTGGGGAAGGAGGGGCTGGGTGGGGAGGGGAGGGTGGGGAGGGGCTGGGTGGGGAGGGTGGGGCTGGGTGGGTAGGGGAGGGTGGGGAGGGGCTGGGTGGGGCTGGGTGGGGATGGGGGGAGGGAGGGTGGGGAGGGGCTGGGTGGGGAGGGTGGGGCTGGGTGGGGAGGGGAGGGTGGGGAGGGGCTGGGTGGGTAGGGGAGGGTGGGGAGGGGCTGGGTGGGGAGAGTGGGGAGGGGCTGGGTGGAGAGAGTGGGGAGGGGCTGGGTGGGGAGGGGCTGGGTGGGAGGGGTGGGGCGGGGTGGGGAGGGGCTGGGTGGGAGGGGTGGGGCTGGGTGGGGAGGGGCTGGTCACCCCGTAGTGCCCTTATAAAACTCAACGTTTAACCTACTCACGCCGGCTTGTGCCCACCCTCACAGTCGGGCATATTTGCAGAATACACCACGCCGCCGTTGACCCTGGCCATTGACCGAGCAACCCAACGTTCCTACCAGCTCCCTCCGCAGGAATGTGTTGTCTTCACGTTTCGACAATGACGCCAGCAACACACGGCTAAACTATTTTTTTTTTATCAAAACAGCATCCCGCAGTGTAACTAGTCACAAGTCCACGCCTGTGTTTTTATTAGTCATGGGAATGATTCGAGCCATATATCTAGTTAAGTCACATTCCATCATTGTATCACACATAACGTTTTCTAAAAACGGCAGGATGTACATGCATGGTGTGTGTTGATTATCCCTTGAATAACCCAACCGGTAATGTATATCCATTGTAATTTATATGCATACCTTAACCACCCCCCCCCCCCCCCCCATTGGCTCACAAGTGACATCACATTTATATCTCTGGCTGTTGCCTGATGATGCTAGTTGTAATTACTGGCAAAACGTCGTACTCGAATTGTAAATGTTGTGGGTTTACTCTCCAACACACCGGGTGTGCCGAACGAGTAACGAATTGGCATGTTCTGTTTACGTGACAAACCTTCGTAATTGGCTGTGTCGGGTGGTGGCGGGATTAACGACGCATCTATATTTCCGTGATCTAACCCAAACACCTCTTATGGATAACGTTGGTCGCGAAAGCCTGCTACGTGTTAAACCAAAAAGGCAATTGGAAAATCTGCTCAAATATTTAATGCTTCCAAAGTACCATCACTCCCCACTCCTCTTAACATTCGACGCCTAATGCTGCACAAATAGTCATGTACAACGCTTGTCGTAATCCACTGTTGAATGAGGATCTGCCAACCGCACACCATGCAAGTCGTGGGGGTTATTTCACCATACTACGCCACGCTGGTCAGTTCAGACCATTGAAGGTGGGGAGCGTAGACTTTGGAGTATAGTAGAGTACAAGATATTGTTGCACCACCCCCCTGTTTTAAACATAGCCCTTGTACTCTCATCCAACGTTAAATGTTACAGGTGCCTTCTGGATATCTTTAGGTAAACTAATTTAAGACTCCATTGGAAATCTAAATTAATGTCAAGTTCATCTGTAACTGAATAACTAAATACATGTCAATAATATTAATTGACAGATGCTGAATTTTTGTTGTTCTGCGTGTGCACCAATGCCATCGCAGCAGCAACATCAGCAGCATGAAATAATCTGTTTAACCGAATAAGATGGATACTGCACCTTACAAAACACAAAAAAAAGATCTTTAAAATTTTCCCGCGTTTTATTTTGGTAGAAATTTATAATCCACAATATAACTTGAACGCGTGAAAACAAAACGCGGAACAAGGTTACATTAAAGTACACAAAATATCGACCGTAAATACAGAGAGGGCACAGGGCAGTCGTGTTGCTGCTGATAACTATTAGGAGCAGAGCGATTATCTCGCCGGCAATCCACTCTATTATCGCGATTCAGGATTGCGATTCGATTATATATATTTTTTTACAATGTGATGAACGTAGCGGCATCGAGCAACTGCAGGGGATGATCACGTAAAACTATTACATGCATGTAGGAATCGAAAACACCTCGATTCTTAGACACGTTATTCGATTAAATGAATCGCACGTTCAGAGAACCGATCATGAATCGGTGCACAATTCCAACCCATAACCACCACGCTTTGGGACGGGCGGCTCCTGGACAGTACCGCATGGCCAGGGTTGCCACCCGTCCTGGTTTTCCCAGGATCGTCATCGTTTTGAGGTGGCTGTCCCAGATAATGTCTGCGTCTCCCCGTGACATTAATAGTCCCAGAATTTTAGCAGTTGTAGGCAATAATACACCACTCACATAGCTCTCCCCTCTTCCAATATTGTGAAATATTCCGCTTCCCATGATAGGTCCCGTTTTTTTTGGAACTCTCAGGTGGCAACCCTGCGCACGTCAGTGTCTGTTCCCATCGTTCAGGTCGCCGCACAGCCGAACCCCGTGATCGGCGCATCCTCAAGCGCCAAACTACTGGAGTTACCATCATAGCTAAGGTCACTTGCCACAACTGTCACACGTGCAGCCTGCGTGTCAAGCCACTGCCGGATGAGGGTCTACCCGCATCATGGAGGCAGTGAGGCTTATTTAACCGGACTTCACCGTGCACTGTCAGCGCAGATTGATGAAGATGGGGGGGGTGTACAGAACAATGGACTTTGCTGCACTGCTCCCTTCTTCCCACAACACTCGATGGCGGTGGCGGTGCAGAGACGGAGAGAGGGTATTGGTGGGCGGACGAGTGGTGCTCGCATTGGCACCTTCCCTACCACCAGCGGTAGTGCGCGAACGCGCGGTTGCCTTCGGCCATGCGGTGCAGGTCATGCTTGCGCTTGATGACGTTGCCCTCGTTGGTGAACGCTCGCAGGACCTCCACGGACAGCCGCTGCTGCATGAGCGAGCGGCGCGCCTTGTTCTCGCGGCACTCCGTGATGAGCCACTTCATCGCCAGGAATCGCCGCCGGTTGTCCTTGAGCGGTGTCGGCACCTGTGGGAGTGGGAGAGGATGGAGAATGATCATGGCACAGAGGTGGGATGCGACGGAATGATTGATGTAAGCAGCTTCCATCTTTTGTGCAAAAAGAACGTGGTAAATTACTTAAATCGGACGAAAGCTTGTAAATGTGGATGTATTCTCAGCTTGTATCTTATTTTTGTTCCTACACCCCAGCACTGCCTCCCCTTGTTATACTACAATGTTTTCGTTATTATTCAGAACTCTCGCAGTTTGTAGCACATCACACAACTACTTCTGAAATCACATCAAAAGGCCTCTGTTGCATGCTACGGACACAATCTATTACATGCCCTGCAAACAGTATTCAGTACATGCAAATCTAACTGAACATTTTAAATTCTCAATCCAACATTGAGTTGAATTACGTGTATACAAAACATTATTGGTTCTCATTATGAGTCACTTGTGACCAGGTTCTCAGTGGTGTCAGCTCGGTCCTCTGACATGGTATCAGTCGAGCGCTCACCTGGTAATTTTTTCCTCCCTTCTTGACCGTTACGAGGCCGATGACCGGTTTGCAGTTTTCCATGGCCGTGTGGAAGATGGTGTAGGGGTTGCACTCAATGGCGTCTCGCTCGGGCTCCGGCGTCTTATAGTATGTCTCCAGCTGCTTGCGCTTAATCAGCTCCAATGTCTGCACACAACGGGGGGAGTGCCATTTGAATCGTCGGCGCTTCCCGCTGGCCTCGAGTCTTGGCGTGCGAGCGTGGTCATTTCTCCGGACTGTGGCTGTTGCTCCCTTACCTCTTGCATGATGGATCTGGCCAGCACCTTGTTTCCACCCTTCATCAGCATGTTGATGAATTTGCTGTGGATCAAAGTGAATCGCAGATGTCATTAAACAGAGGACAGAGCGTTTCTCCAGTTACACACTCTCATCAGAAAAAGGCAGCACAGAGCTCTCCAGATGAGGTTTTGGGGCTTTGAGATATTTATGCCCCAATTTTCACACGATTATAAGTGAAATGTCCCTAGAGTGATGAGAAATCTTGTTACACAAAGCAATTTGGATTTACATAACATCTCCATGGAACCGTATCTCAACACACAACAATTGGGAATACTTGTTATGGAGCAGGGTGTCCCCTAACCCAGGGTGGTCCCTAAACCAGGCTAGTAAGGGCAGGAGCCCAGCAGTCTTGAATGGGGGGAGTGTGAGGGGTGGCGCCACACCAACATTGTTGAAACCTATCGATTTAAAGAAATATAGTGCACCAAAACAAATACAAGCACACAATTAGTTAGTAACACTGCCTTCTTGGAGGAAAACAGACACGCGTTAAATACTTTCCCCCATTAATTTTATGCGTTAAATCATAAGTGTACTCGCTATTTCTTTATACGACATCTTATTTTGTCAATCTCGCCTATACTGTCTCACCCGTACGGTATATGTCTTCTCTCTACCGGCGGCGGAGGCAGAACGTGACGGTGGTGCTTGCTCACCTGACCGTGTCATCGTAGAACACGGAGCTGGTGAGGCTGGCCGGCGCCGCCTTGATGGGCCTCACTGCCTTGAGCTGGTCGAGCTCCCGCTCCTCTGCGCTCAGCTCCGCAGGGGGCTGCTGCTGCTGCAAGCGGCTGCGCTCTCCGATGGGGTCTGGCGGCAGGTAGTGGGGGTTGTACTGCGAGCCACGCACCTGCATCAGCCTGGCCGGGTGGGCGAAGCGCACGGAACAACAAACTCCGCTTTAGAGATCCAGATTTTAAACCAGCGGTTCCCCAACCTCTGGGTGGGATTATTGAAAAAAAATGCACAAATCCACTTTAATCCGATTGCCTAACTAATGTCGGACACCGCTCATGAACTATGTGGTGACATTGTGGCATTAGTAAGGGCAGGAGCCCAGCAGTCTTGAATGGGGGGAGTGTGAGGGGTGGCGCCACACCAAAAATGTTGAAACCTATCGATTTAAATAAATATAGTGCACCAAAACAAATAAAAGCACACAATTAGTTAGTAACACTGCCTTAACGGAGGAAAACAAACACGCGTTCAATACCTTCCCCCATTAATTTTAAGCGATAAATCATAAGTGTACTCGCTATTCCTTTATACGACATCTTATTTTGTCAATCTCGCCTATACTGTCTCACCCGTACGGTATGTCTTCTCTCTACGGTGTCGTCTGTACTGTCAGTCTCATCTATACTCTCTCGTCTGCACTCTCGTCTGTACTATGCATCGTCTGTACTGTACATTGTCTGCAATGTCTCATCATCTTTACTGTCTGTCAAGGATGTACTGTCTGTACGATAGTGTCAGCCTCGTGTGTGTATTGTCAGCACGAGGCTGTCAACCTCGCCTAGACTGTCTCCTCTCCACTGCCTCGCCTGCAACAGAACCCCGCAATTCGCCATTCAAATCCGACACACCGAACAGAGACCCGACAGAAAGTCATTCAAGGTGCAACTGAGCACGGGGTGGGGGGGGGGCTGTCCCTCCTTTCCCTCCAGGCCCCAGGAAGTTCCTCACACAGGGGGGTGGAGGTGGTGGGGGGCACTCACACGGGCGGGCACGGGCCAGGGAGACGGCGGAGGAGGAGCGCGACCCGGCCGAGAGCGGAGACGCGTGGCCTCAGTGAGGACGCGGCCATGATGCAGGTATCTCCTCCTCCTCCCCTCCAACTACTTCCGGGTCGCGGAGGTCGCGAGGTCAGCTCCGCCCACCCGGCCCCGCCCCGCCCACCTGGTTCTTTCGGTAAAGTCACGTAGAATGGAAATAATAAAATAATAAAAATAAAACATAATAAAAATAATTCTCACGACGTTTCGGCCACATCGCAAGCAGCCGTCCTCAGGTGAAGAACAGGTCTGTCGAGACGACAGAGTCTGAATGACACACCCCAGGCTGACACATTCAGACTCTGTCGTCTCGACAGACCTGTTCTTCACCTGAGGACGGCTGCTTGCGTTGTGGCCGAAACGTCGTGAGAATTTTTTTATTATGTTTTATTTTTATTATTTTATTATTTCCATTCTAAGTGACTTTACCGAAATAACCAAGAAGATGAATCCCTGCAGTCACGAAAGCTTTAAATCGAAATCTGTGACGACTGTTCCCCGCACGTGGTTTGGCAGCGTGGCGTTTGCGATGTCAACGAATGCACGCGACACGATGATTTGATGTGAACGCGCGGGTGCTGTCAATTAAACGACGTGTTGTTGTTTGTTGTTCGGGGAGACACGAAAAAAAATAGAAAGAGAGGGAAGAACTGACAGCGAAATGGCTTGACCGGCATTATGACACCGGTGCAAGAAAGATGTGGTGGCACTACAGCTCTTGAGCATATTGGCACAAGACAGGAAAGTGGTAACAAATGACGAAATGTGCAGTGGACACCTTACGGGCTATCTGCCTTATGGATCGTGATTATGTTGATAGCTGTACTATATAGTATGTAGGTTGTGTAGACATATCTATAGTCAGACACGACTGACTTATTGTATGTAGGGTGTGTAATATATGCCTACAAAATAAATAAATATAATTGGGGGGGGGGGTCGACAATTGTTGAAACCTGTAAGATCAATCTTTTACCCCCACGTCTGGGGGGGGGGGGGTCCACTTTCTATAACGTTTTGATTCAGGCCTTCTGAAAGGTTCTTATCATTCAGTTGACGGATAAACGGAACGTCGGGCTTTTATAATATAAATACAAGTGCGTGCAGTATACACGAGAGGCTGACCACTCTCTACGATGCTGCAATAGCGTTTATTTCTGGGGTGTTTATACACGGGCAGAGACGTTTCCAACTCGAGGCATTTGTTTGCAATTCGTCACCGTGACCTGCCCGACTTTGATCCAACGGCTCACCGCTCGAGCCACTGCGCACCTAACAAGTGCGCCCCACTCAACGGAGGAGAGAGCTCATCTCAAGGTCACGAGGAGTGACCTTGAGATGGGGGGGGGGGGTGGTGTGAAGGGCGTTGAACAAACGGGCTGGGGTCGTAACTTATCCGCCCCCTTTGTGTTCCTCTCCCCCCGTCACCTCCCTGAGCTTCGATCGAGGCAACCGCTCGCGACGACCAAGCTACTCGACGCAACAACCACGACTCTCGTTTAGTATTTGGGCACGCGGTGATACAGCAAATCTGGCTGTGACGGTCCCACCTGATGACGGAGACTTGTGTTGCCTCCGAAACGTCGTGATTTTTTATTATTTTATTTTTTATTAATTTTAATTTAATTTTTTACCTACGTGACTTTACCGAAAAAACTAAGAGTACGCGCGGTGTGGGGGGTTGGTGGCCCTGCACAAGAGACGAGCGAGATCGTGACTCGGCAGCCAGAGCGGACGCGTCTTCAACTCCCACCCACGCGCTCCACGAGACTGCCCATTCAATCAACAAGAACAACATAGGGCTTTATTTTGGTGATTTCGAAAAGTTTTTTGGTTTGGCCATGTTTGTTTGTTGTAGTACGGAGTTCGACTGATGGCCTTAATCTAAGTTGTCTTGTGGTTGTTGTTGTTTGACTTGCATCCCACTGGGATTTTTGCACACAGCGTTGGTGTACGGTGCTTTTTGTGGAATATTTTGCAGTCTTTTCTTGGATTTTCTGTTTGCACATAGTCACATATTCACTTTAAGATGTTTTCTTGTTCATGTTTTTGTTTCATGTTTTTGTTTGTTGCGGTTGCACCCGATTCAAGAGCCGAATGGCTCACAGGGCTATACCAAATAAATCAAACTGGAAACAACAACCGCCGTTCACCACGAGGTGGCGAGGACGGACACCGCGCAGCGCTTGTGCCGTGCTCGGTGCGCAATGTTGAGGCCACGCGAAGTGGTCCAAGGCGAGCTGGCAGGAGCGTCACGGAACCGAGACCCAGGTGCCATGGGGTGACTGTACCAAGGCTGTAGCCATGGAGTCAACATTGGGGGGGACCAAATGTTCTAGGGGGTCTGGGGACCCCCCCCCTAAAAAAAAAATCTAAATTTGAAAACGAATTTCCTCCTAGAATATTAAAAAAAAATCACTAACACGTATGATGGATTTTATTTTTTTTACAATAATGTCCAATAGTGTATTGTATTACATTGCTCTGTTTTTTCTTTTTTACATTTTCTTGTTTCTTTGTATGTAATGGCAGAAATTAGGGATTAATAAAGTACAACCATAACCACAATCATATAAATAGAAATCTATTTTATAGCATAATATTGGGGGGCACATTTTGGGCATATTTGAATTTGGGGGGGGGGGTGTCCCCCAATATATACCATAAATACGGCCTTGGACTGTACGTATGTAAAACTTCTTTCGCACCGCACGTAGCCAACCGCATCCATCGGAGATGACTGAAAGATGCACCACCTGTGCCCCCGCCTCCTTTGCTGGGCCAATTCAATCGCAGCCCCCGCTGACGCACCGCAGACGAAAGGGGACCGCGCACGCGCAAGCGACTGCCCCCGCCCACACCACAGCGTGAGGAGCCCCCGGCCGCACCCCATTGGCTGCGGATTCAAAATGTCACGTGTGGGTCGTCGCGCGCAAACTGACACGCCTGCTTACACAAAATGGCGGAGAGAAAAAGCGTGCGTTTGCGTGAATTTCGGAAACGCTTTCCAAACACGCGTTTGCCCTCGGAGGTATTTAGCGAGGATGATAGTAATAGTGGTTGCGATCGCACGGGGCGTGAAGGGGGCAGGTCTGTAGGCCACGACGAGACAACGGTGATCGGATAGCGGCCCTGCCCGGGAGGTCACGCCTCGGCCAGCAGGGTCGTGACACCGCGGTGTGTTCTGACAGTGCCGGATCTTTGTGTCCAGGGGAAACCCATTGATCAGTTTCGATGGTTTTTATATCGGTTGAGTCATCAATCGAATCACTTTACAATGCAGTTGAGTTCATCGTGGATCATCTTTACAAGAGTTGGACAGACATGCAGACGAACGGGCAGAGCTCATAGATTAACGTGGTAACGGTTAACTACAATTACAAAAAACGTACATTGAGTAATGGCACCAAGGTTCTAGACGTAAAATAATCTACTACAAACATTCTCATGCTGTGTAACCTATGTGTATGTACATTAGTGAGATAAAACAGCAGACCTGGACTGTGTTCCCCAAAGACGACAGACCATCCCTTGCCTCTCCCCGGTTGCGTGAGTGTGACATTGTGAGTGTCATAATATCCTGCGTGTGTGTAACATTGAGAGTGTGATAATCTCCTGCGTGTGTGGTCACCCAAAGGAAGTGGTGATTTGTTTCCCAGTGGCGATTGACTTCCCAAAATTTTGCGTCGAAAATCACTTCTCAGTCCCATCCACCCATTTGTCCATTCATACGTAGGTTGTTCGTCCGTCTGTCCATTCATAAGTCCGTCCATCTGTCCATTCATCAGTCCGTCCATCCATCTGTCTAGGATGAACGTTGGCAACTTTGGTCACCACCGTTCAGAGCGACTCTGAAGTGTTAAAGGGAATGACGACGACACGGAGATGCGAAGTGAGTGCCGTCGCGCCTGTCCATCCGTTTATTCGTTCGTCCATCCAGCCATCCGTCTCGGATGAACGTTGACGACTTTGGGTCACCACCATTCATAGCGATTGCGAAGTGTTACAGGGAAGGGCGACAAGGAGACGCGAGGCGAGTGCCGTCACGCCGGCCACGCGGCGCGGGCGAGCACAAGCGAGAGGGCGCACGTCCACGTCACCGCTCCCACGTGTCGAGTAGCTGCTCCAGAGTCCGTCGAGGTGGCACCTGCGAAGGAGGAGGAGGCGGCACACACACGGAACCATGCAGTGATCGGGCAAACCCACCCACCCCAGAGAATAACCAAGCGCCGATAGTTGCCTGAATGCCAAATCCAAAACAAAGAGCACTAGTATTGAAACTGACCAAGCAATTGTACTGTACATTGCAGGAGTAACTGATAAACTAGCCAAATTTTGGGGGAAAAAAACATCTGAGTCAGATTTGGCAGGATACATAAAATACAGAAACTAATTTGTGGTACTAAAGATGTATTACCAAAGCTATCAATATAAGATGTGTACTGGATTCATTGCTCTGTGGCAAATGCTATGTTGGTCACACAGGACGAATGATCAGCACGAGACTAAAAGAACATCAAAGGAATATTAAATACTCCAAAATACAACTGTCGGCAGTGGGAAAACACACGTGCCAACAAGGACGCTCAATTGATTTTGATAATGTTGAAGATCTGTGCTAAACTAGTTACTACTGGCCAAGACTAATTATATAATCTATCGAAATTGAGATAAATAAAATAAAATTAACTGTTCGGATAGCTACGGGCTTGGTGCTGCTTGGAAGCAAATCATTCAGTAATAGTACTACACTGTTTAACTGCATGTCTATACAGGTGATTAACTGTGAGCAGACAACAACAGGTACTGCGATTTTCATGGACACAAAAATCGTCAGAATGTACAAGCATGGTGTGCATGCATAATGCGCATGCATAATGTGGGTCTTAATGGGACATCAGGTTTGTGAATCTGTGGCAGCCCACAAAGTCATGGTGGTTTTGACGCCCTTGGTTTGTAATGAATTGGCATGTTTTGTTTACGTGACAAACCTTACTAATTGGCTGTATCGGGTGGTGGTGGGTCTAACAACACATTTGTATTTACGCGATCTATCCCAAAAAAACTCTATTAAGGCTATACGATGGATCTTTGTCTTTGTTTCAGATGGTGCGGGGTTGGTGTATTATACCCTCTCTGTGTCTCACGTCTTGGCACTCTAACGCTCTCTGTCTTGCACCTCTTTTGCCACCTAGTCCGCGGCAAGGTCAGGTAAAAGGTAAAAATAACGAGCCTACCTTTACCCTACCTTTTACCCTTACCCCATACTAATTACCCGATTACAGGGTAATTACCGGGGTACTACTACACATGAAAAAGGTTATTAACAGGTAAATGCGAGGTAGAGCGCTGTATTCCTATAGAATACTCTCGAATCGGGCGTTGAGGCTGTCGACGACACTGTCCTCAATAACCTCATCCCAGTCGTCTTGGTCGATGACAATCTCATCAACAACCTGATCAAGTTTGTCATTGCCGTCGTCCTCGGATGAACGACAGGCAATAAGATCCTGCGCCGCTCCGGCCCGGTTAGACGGGGACCTTCAGGCAACCAGCCGTGATCCACGAGCGCAAGCACATGGACTTGATAAAGAGCGTCGACAACGGCGACTGGCGAACGCACGTGAACTCCCGCCCGGCTCCGCTATTCGCGCGTTCGCAGGGAGTTGACATCGCCGGCGCTCCCAAGTAGTCGCAGGCCATCTTGTAGTGGGCGGGGAGCAGATATTTGCGGGGAGACCACCGCTGCATTACGTCAATGAAGGCGCTGGCGGTCGTGATGCCCGTGCTCAGAAAACGATCGACTCCATCGCCGTCGTCTATGGAGTTGCCGACATTGCTGAACAGGGTGCTGAACAGCGACCCCTCCTCCATATGGGCAGCGACTGCCGTTGGCGGGATCGCGAGCACGTCCGAGTAGCGATGCTGCAGGACAGAGCGGATCATGGCTTTCAGTGTAGCCAGCTCATCTTGGTCTGTCGTTTTTGGCAGCTGTGGATTCAAGTAGGATGCCACAATGGCGGGTTCCTGAACCAGGAAGTCGTGGTACTGCACCAGCTCGGCCTTTATCCCCGTCGCGGTCAAGGACTCATCGATCGCTCTAAGGGTGACTTCACCGCGATCGCAATGACGGATCACGTGCTCCATCGTCACCGGCACGAGATCCAATGTCGACTTGCGGTCCGCCGACAACGAGGTCATGACCTGGCACGGCATTCGCAGGAATGCTGTCACGCCCTCGATGTTTGCCCACTGCAGTTCAGAGAAAGCACCGACGCCGATCACATCCTGGAAGCGCGCCATGATAATGTCCAATGGGACACGCTTTTTGATGGCGTCGTCGCCCATGTCAAACGTCGAATTCCACCTGGTCGGCGAGTCCTGGTGCGTCGGCTCTCTGTTGGCGAGCTTGGCGATCTCGGCCTCGCGGCGGTACTACTGCCAGACGACTTTGCTGCGCCTGATATTGACGAGCGCCTCGCGCAGTTCGGCGTTGGTCGACTTGATCGGTTTGAGAACTTGGATGACGCCGATCTGGACCGAATGATCCGCGCAGCGAATATGGTGGCGAACCTGCAACTGCTCATATCCGGCATCCGCGTTGACCAGGGCGAACGTCTTGACAGCACTGATCACATCGGAGCCATTGTCGCTGGTGACAGCGAGCAGCTTGGTCGAGATATTGTGCCCAAGGCTTTGGAGGTGCTCAAACAGAGCGGTGCCAATGCGCTTGCCGACACCCCTTCCGGACTGCACATTGAGGATTGTCAACAGCATGGATTTCGACCCACCAGATTTGCTGTCGATCCAGTGCACCGTGACCATCCAAAATCCCTTCCGGTTGCGGTTCGACCACCCATTGATGGTGAGCGAGATGGCGAACGTTCAGGTTGGAGAAGAACGCCCCGACGATGGGCAGCATGATGGCGTGATGCTCGACAATCCTGCGAATGATGGTGCGGGTCGACGGGCCCTCGTATCCCTGCGTCAATGTGTGGACCAAGTTCTTGAAATTGTCGCTGCCCGCGGCTCACAAAGAGATTGCACCTTGGATAACAAAATCAACCACCGCGTTCTCAAACATTACCAGGAGGCGATCTGGGATTACTGGCCGGCTGAGCGTTTGCTGCGTTAGGCGGCTCGCCAACGTCGACGTCCCGACCTCGCTGCCTGGGGCGAGCATGTTGTGCTTCTTGAGGTGGGCTTTCCACCCCAACGCGTTCGTGTGGGAGGAAAACCACTTGCGGCAGTGCACGCACTGCCGCTTCCCTTGCTGCACACGGGGATCACCCTCCATCCAATCGTGCGTGTGCTCCCACGGGAACGCATGCCGCTGCCTCTTTCGATTGCTGTTCGCAGCGACCCCGGGAATGCCATTGCTGGCATCCTCGACCTCATCCTCTACCTCAAGAACGTGGTCCGTCTCCATCTGGTCCGACATCAATGATTCCAATTTAAAATGGAGGCCACGGACTGCGCCACAGAGCTATTAGCGAGCGGTAAACAAGGTATTTACCAGGTAATACTTAGCACTACCTTTACCCTACTGGGTAATTCTTCTGCGCTACCTTTACCCTACCCTTTACCTTACCCCTTGGCATGGTCGACACCTTTACCTTTACCCTTTTACCCGGTAAAAAGGGTAAATTACCTTACCTTGCCGAGGCATATTGCCACCCTAAACGCGTTCTTTCACTATCTCTCCTTTGTCTCTGTCTCACAGTCATGCACTCTCTCCCCTCGTCCTCTCTCCGTGTGTCAACGTCTCCACTCACTTTGTGAGACGTGAGGAATAAGCATATAGCCAACGCCAGGTTCTTTGGGCTTGGCGGCCGTAGTGGTGGGGGTCCTGGCAGTCGTGGGGGTGCTGGAAGTGATGGGCGAGTTAGAACTCGTGGAGCTGCTGGAGCCGTTGCTGCTTGTGTTGTTTGTGTTGTTTGTGTTGCCAGAGCCAGAGGTGGTGGTGGTGGTGGAAGAAGCTGTGTTGGAACTCGTGGAGTTGCTAGAGCTGCTGATGTTTGTGTTGTTGTTTGTGCTGCCAAAGCCAGAGGGGATGGTGGTGGTGGTGGTGGAAGGAGCTGTGTTGGAACTCGTGGAGTTGCTAGAGCTGCTGATGCTTGTGTTGTTGTTTGTGAAGCCAGAGGGGATGGTGGTGGTGGTGGTGGTGGAAGAAGCTGTGTTGGAACTCGTGGAGTTGCTAGAGCTGCTGATGTTTGTGTAGTTGTTTGTGCTGCCAGAGCCAGAGGGGATGGTGGTGGTGGTGGTGGAAGGAGCTGTGTTGGAACTCGTGGAGTTGCTAGAGCTGCTGATGCTTGTGTTGTTTGTGAAGCCAGAGGGGATGGTGGTGGTGGTGGTGGAAGGAGCTGTGTTGGAACTCGTGGAGTTGCTAGAGCTGCTGATGTTTGTGTAGTTGTTTGTGCTGCCAGAGCCAGAGGGGATGGTGGTGGTGGTGGTGGTGGAAGGAGCTGTGTTGGAACTCGTGGAGTTGCTAGAGCTGCTGATGCTTGTGTTGTTGTTTGTGAAGCCAGGGGGGATGGTGGTGGTGGTGGTGGAAGGAGCTGTGTTGGAACTCGTGGAGTTGCTAGAGCTGCTGATGCTTGTGTTGTTGGAGATGGTGTTGGAGGTGGTGTTGCTTGTGTTGCTGGAGGTGGTGTTGTTCGTGGCGGGAGTGGGGGTGGGGGTGGGGGTGGCCATGAGGACTGGGGTGTCTCCCCAGACTCTTGCGACTGAGTTGAGCTGCGACTGATTGAGCAGTTGAAGCAGCTCGTCCGCGATGGTGGCGACGCTCTCCACGCGCAGAGATGACAGCACGGCCGGACTGAGTGCCTACAGTGAGCACACACACACACACATAGCCTCAACAGACTGTTGCGTCAAGTGCTGCTCGCAAGCACCTATGAAGGCCGGCACAGCACACGAGCAGGTGGTTGGCTAGCGGCGATGTTGACACACCGCACCAGGTACTCATTTGAGGCTGAGTTGACCTAGGGGAGGCCCAGGACCGGTTCAGATAACAGTTACTGGTGTTGGCCGTGAGCGGGAATCAAACTCGGGTCGCTGGGTTTGTAGCTAACCGCTATGAAGACAAAGATCCCCCGTATAACCTTAATAATAATAATTAAAATGTATAATGCACATTCCATGCTAGGATCCCAATGCGCAATGCATGAAAAGCAGGAAACAAAAACCAAAGTGAAGAAAGAAGTCCAGTTTAAAGAGATGGATTAAAAAAAAAACAGACTTGAATATATCTTCTTGGTTCTTTTGGTAAAGTCACGTAGAAGGGAAACAATAAAATTAAATAAAAATATAAAACAATAAAATTCTCACGACGTTTCGATTGCAACACAAGCAATCATCATCAGGTGTGAAAAACACAGCAAGAACTTTTTTTAAAAAGTGGCGTTTTTTTTCTTAACGTTAGCACCAAGGACAGCGATTTTGGCAGTTGTTCAGATGGACGAGTTCGAACATAGATGAACTCGTTGGTCAACAATGTGCCCTCAAACTAAGCCAGAGGCAAGTATAAGAAACAATCATTTGGACATGATAATGGACATTTTATCGTGAAAAAATGGTTTAATTTTAGTATAAAATCAGCAGAGGAGTGGGATATTACGTTTAATTCCTTATTCAAAAGTTGACTGATACAGGAAAAAAAAGTCCGAGGATTGTTATCACTATTTGCAATGCGACCAGGAATGCAAGGGGATTTAGCCAGAGCAACGTTGAAAAATAAGCGCAGTCCGGCAAAATAGAAAAGCCAAGACCCGTGCGATGGTGAGCGTGCGAGCGTGAGCGCGTATCCCACCACGAGCGTGTTCGGCGGGGTGAGGAGGAGGACCACCGGTTTGATGACGCCGACTTGATCGCTTTGCAGGGTATTCCACTCGTCCACAGACGCTGCAGCTGTTCCCCAGGAAAAAAAAATTAACCCATAAAAACTAAGTTTTTCACAATAAATCCTTTATATGCGTGGCAGCTAGAGTCCTCTCGTCCTCTGGCTTGAAATGGCTGTCACCTATGGGTCAGATGATTGCCTGCCACCATTAAGAAATTGGTAATTAAATATATATATTTTTTTCCTAAAAAGTGTAAAGTTATGGAAAAAAATTTTCACGAAAATAAATTGTCACGCACAACGAGTCTGTGTGTAAAATGTCAGCTCGATTGGATCACGGGAAGTGGGTTAAAAAACGACCGAAAGATTTGCACGGTCGTAAGCGCGCAAGCAAGCAAGCAAGTGAACTTAATATAAAGGATTTTAAAAAAGCACCAGGAACCACGCTTCGTCAAACCATCCCTCCCAGGTCCTCTCCCCCCCCCCCCCTTCACAAAGAAACCATTCATCTCGCTGGGCTTTCGGCCGGTGTTAGATTTAGATTTTCTGCCACTGGTATGACTGGAATGTGTCCCGAGAGGACGTCCACCGTGGAGATGGAGTGACGAGATCGGTTCGTGTGCAGGCGCTGGATAGATCGCTGCATCGCAGGCTTATGTCGGGTGACGTCGTTTTGGAGAGGCCCCTCATCCATGGCTGATGAGGACTTATACCATCTTCGCTGACATTTTACAATGTAAAATTCCAGTTTTAAAAGATTTCGTAGCTAAATAGAGTAAATAAAACATTAAGATGCTACGGCAAGACACGTATTGCATAGTCGATTATTCATATCACTGCTCGAGTACACGAGCAGACAGATTAATTGTTGCATCTCAAGAGTGTGGGAGATTCCCGATTACAAGTCGGCCAGTCCCTCTGCCCTCTCTCTAGCTGCTGAAGGAGGCTTATTGCCTGAAACGTCAGCCTACTAAATATCATTCTATTACAAGGTAGCGTTGATGGTGAATGTGGTGAGATTGAGTCTTCCTTTTTTAAACAATTGTTATCGGCGTTTTTTTGTTGTTGTTCCAATAATATCAGTTGTAATGTCACGAGATGCAGTATGCACATGGGATCTCGTGTACGATGATTTGTATCCCTCCGTGTTAGAGGAAAGGCCCGCGGAAGGAGATGGCAACAAAACGACTTCTGAAAGCCCTTCAAGCCACGTTTATTTATCCACATGCGGGAAGGACGCCGCGCTTTCCCAAACGTCCCGCTACAAAAGATCGCCACACGACATCCAATCCGAAATGGTTGTCATTCTCAGAGATGGAGTTTTGCCAAATTTGGGTGAACGATCACATTGAGCGTGATTTGTTTGCGCAGTCATTGGCGACCGGGCTGAGAACCATCGTCTCACCGCACTCAGGTCCCAAGCCAGAATTCTCAGCAGTGCCGGCCGGCCCAGTGTCTCTGACCCCTGAACCCTAACCCAGGCAATACGTGCGTGTGCGCGAGAACTAGGGTTGCCACCCGAGGTACAGAAACCACCAGGACGCACCACGTGAACGATAAAATCTGGTGATACAGGAGGAGGGGAGAATCAAATGTAAGCGCATCGTTTTCAGTGGTGTATCGATGCACCACCGACAAACAATTGGGGGGGGGGGCAATTACTGTGCCAACCACCTCAACAATAGAATGATCTCGATGTAAAGCTTTCGTGACTGCAGGGATTCATCTTCTTGGTTCTTTCGGTAAAGTCACGTAGAATGGAAATAATAAAAAATTAATAAATAGAATTTTCATTATTTTTATTATTTTCGTTCTACGTGACTTTACCGAAAGAACCAAGAAAATAGAATGATCCTGGGCGGGTAAACAACCCAGCGAAGGTAGCAACCCCAGGTGAGCTCCGTCGCGAGTTCACGCCGGAGCTCACCTAGCAGGCATCCGGCCTGGTTGATCGTTTCGGGGGTCCAAGCCGTGAGGTTCGAGCCCCAGACGGTTTTCGCCACGGAGAAGAGGGCCTGCAACTGCGCGGGGCTGAAGGTGTCCACGTTGCCCACGCTCTCCGCCGCCAGCCTGCGCGCACGCGCACACAACCATCTCGCCAACGTCAAACCACACCACCAACAGGGCCCACGGAGAGAAGCGTGGGGGCCCCAGTGAAGTAAATGCTCACGGCGGTTCGACGGCTGGAAGAGCCCCCCCCCCCCACAATCCCTTCCATTCCCATCCTTTCCCATCCCCCGTCTTCATTGTCAAAAGCGGCAAACTTTTCCCGGGCCTAGATTGTACCCCGAATGTAAATTATTTTTTTCATACGCATAGAAAATTACCACTGTATTGGTTTTCCTCAGTGCAGTACAGTGTCTAATTAATAACGCTACTAAAATTATCTTAAGTCTCCACCTTCATTCGGACATGTTTTGCTTTCGTCAAAGTCGGTCGTGCGTTGGCCTCTGGTTGCTAGTCGTAGCCATCGTCACGCTCGATGATTTCCATCCAATTAAAGACTCGCCGTCGTCGTAATGGAGAAATAAAATAGGCGCTCAGCTGACAAATATTTCCCACGTCGCTAAATGTTCGTGGATGAAAGGAAACTTGCTCACTTGTAGGCGTCTTTGTTGATGCCCGAGAGGTCCGGAATTCCTGCCAAGAATGTCCCCAGGGAGGAGATCTCGCGGGCAGTGAGCGAGGACACCGCGCGTCCAGCCAGGAAACCCTCGGCCACGGCCGCCAGCTGTCAAAAAGCGCAGCAATCGCAGAGTCGCACGTCATTGATTTTATTCCTACTATTGCGCTAGTTTACCCAGGAAAACCTCACTGAGCATCAATAGTGTTTTTTATTAGGAGGTTCCACCCATGCTTTTCCACGTATAGAAGGGTACTGTTCCTACTACGTACGATCCCAATTGAGTAATTCGCGGGTCACTTTTTCAAACGTTGCAATGTTTTGGCCGATGCCAGTTGCGTTGTGTTATTTATCGCCTAGAGAGATAACCGCACTACGCGGAGGGAAACCTATTTCAGAAGTGTGGGAGAACATACACAGACTCCACGCAGAAAGGTGCCTGAGTTGGCTGTCGAACCCAGGCATCGAGCCGTCGCGATTCGGTGATACGGTACGTCGATGGATCGTACGACATGAGGTCCACGATAATCGTATCGCCTGGCTTGCAAATGCGCGTAAGATCGCGATTATTGTTGCTCACGTTGATGATTTCACGCGTAATTTCCCGACAGAAATATTTCTTAAATAGCAATGGGGATGACAACGTTCAAAGTTAAGCGTTTACTACCCGTGAAATTAGTGCTTTGCAAGATGTGTTCATGAGTGAATGAAGGCGCGGTGTTCGAACGGTAAAGGTGCAACCCTGAAATTGCTTGCTCACACCACCACTAGTGGAAGCGCCTCCCGCTCGTGGGAGCTCTTAAAGGGCCCCCCGTCTAGAGGTTCTTTGGCCTACTCTTCCACGCTGGCCAGACCACTTGAATGAAGTGGGGAACGCCCCAAACTTTACCCCACCACCCATGACCTGCCCCATCGACTAACTTCGCCAAAACCATTCGCAACAGCTGGGTGGACGACAAGAGGCTGGGGGACTTGAGAGACGTTCCAATTGTTTAGCCTGCCGCTCCGGGAGACTGAAGCGGCGGATCGCCCCGAATCGCAAACCCCATTACGGGCCCGCGAGCTGTGCCCGGGGGGGGGGCGGAGGAAGAGGGCATGTGGATGGTCGCACCTGGTCCTGGCTCCAGCCGGGAATGGTGGCGAGCACGGACACGAGGTCGAGCTGGATGAGGTCGAGGGCCCGCAGCTCGCTAGGGCTCAGCGCCAGAGCCAGGCGGCGCAGCGCCACGGCGTCCACGTTGGTGCTGGGCGCCCCCAGGGCCTGCACGGACATACACGCACGCACACGGCGCACACACGCAGGCACATGGCGCACACACGCACGCACACGGCGCACACACGCACGCACACGGCGCACACACGCACTTTCGCACGATTAGCGAGATTTGTTGTCATTCCTCCCCCACCCGCACTTCCGATTAGCACGGTTGGCTACGTACGGTGAGAAAGAACTTCAAAATATGATAATTGGTTTTTTTTTACCCTTCTATCTGGCAACAAAACTGACACCTTTTTTTTTACAAGGAGCCATGTTTGCATAGACCACAATACCTGCAGCCATAATGCAAACAAAAAACATAACTCCGATAATGTATGCACTGTCCTTGAAGTTGATTGGTCGACACCCGAGACAGCTTTCCTTAGAGCCTAGGGTAAAAAAACAATTATCATATTTTTTACTGGCAAATGAGGTTCCAATGGTGTAAAAGTTCAACATACATAATACGCTGTTAACTCTGACGTGTTCATTGATAATATCCTAATATCTTTTGAACTCTTGATATCCTTCGAACCCTGGTTCCCTTTGAAATATACAGTGATACCTCGGGTTCACGAACGCTTCGGTTCACGAACAACTCGGTTCACGACCAGAAAATTTCATAAAAATATGCTTCGGTTCACGAACTCCGCTTCGGTTCACGAACAGGAGCCGCGCCCATTTTTATGCTAATTCCAGGCTGTCACATGGTCGTGATTTATTGTAACGGGAGCGAGCAATGCAAAATCAGCCGAGGGAGTACCCGCCTCCTCCTCGGGGGCTCGCGACACGTGGTGCGCCCGCCTCTTCTGCCCTTCACGCGCAGGCTACACGCGCGCGCGCACGCACGCACGCGCGCGGACGCACGCACGCGCACGCGCATGCACGCGCGCGCACCCCAGAATGAGCGGAGAGGCACACATGCGCCAGCTGTGACAGTCATCCCTCTTCACCTAAAAATAAAAAAACCCCGAGCGATGGATTTTTTTCCACGTATTTTCGTCAGCGTTGACCACAGCCCCCCGAAACGATCTCTCCTTGAAAAATCCATTATGCAAAAATGGAATGAGTGCCATGACTTTTTTGAAAAGCACCACCCCAACATAGCTGTCACGAACAGAGTGTTAAATCTCATGAATGATAATGTGGTCTCTCAAAAAAGGTCAGAACGGATTAACCGGATTTACATTGAACCCTATGGGAAAATGTGCCTCGGTTCACGACCAATTCGGTTCACGACCAGAGTCATTTCACGAATTAAGTTCGTGAACCGAGGTATCACTGTAATACACTTTTCCTGATATCCTTTAAAGTTTTGATTCCAACTGAACCGTGATGCCCTTTGAACCCTAATACCCTGGTACCCTTTGACCCCTAATGCCCTTTGACTGATATCCTTTGAACTCCGACACCATTTGAACCCTGATACCATTTCACCAATGCCCTTTCAACCCTTCTAACCTTTGAACTCTGATCCCCTCTGAACCCTGATCCTCTTCCATTGAGAGTGTATTTAGAAACATGCGTTTAGATTATTTATCTGTTATAAATGTACACGTGATAAGCCACTTCGTCGAGTTAACATTTGTGGCCAGGTCGCTTCTGAAAAAATAAGCTAATAGCTCAGTGTGCTTTACCTGGCAAAACAAAAATAGTCAAATTGTATTTTTAATTACCTTTTCTATACTTTGCACTCCGTACTTGTTTTTTATTGTTTGTTGACCCGCCCGGACTGCACATTTGTGGAAAAGGAGCTCTGCAGCTCATCGGATTCCTCCATCTTCTTGGTTCTTTTGGTAAAGTCACGTAGAATGGAAATAATAAAGTAATAAAAATAAAACATTAAATAATTCTCACGACGTTTCGGCCACAACGCAAGCAGCCGTCCTCAGATAAAGAACAGGTCTGTCGAGAAGACAGCGTCTGAATGACTCTGTCTTCCTGTTCTTCACCTGAGGACGGCTGCTTGCGTTGTGGCCGAAACGTCGTGAGAATTATGTCATGTTTTATTTTAATTATTTTATTATTTCCATTCTACGTGACTTTACCGAAATAACCAAGAAGATGAATCCCTGCAGTCACGAAAGCTTTAAATCGTATTCCTCCAGTTATAAAATCCAAATTCCTATGACGAGACTGCCGTGCCCACACACCCCTCACCGTCTTGAGGGCCTGGAGCTTGTCGGCGGAGAAGTAGGTGGCTCCCAGCGTGTCCAGGCTGTCGGCGATGGTGGCCTGCGCAATGCAGTCGACGAGGTCGGCGAGCGACAGCCAGGGCAGCCCGGAACCCAGATCCAAGAGGTCGGCGCGCGTGTACGGCGTGCCCGTGCACGCCGCGCGTCGGACTGCAGCCGCACGCACGCACAGAGAGGACACGCGCGCGCGTGTACAGACAACATACGCACGCACGTGTGCGCGCACGTGTACACTCACGCAGATACGACACGCGCGCGCGTGTACAAACAAACACGCATGCATACATAGATAGATACAATACACGCGCGTGTGTACACCCCAACAACAACCGCCATTCACCAATAAGTGGAGGTGACATCGCCGCGGCACTTGTGCTAGGCTATGTGCACTTTAAGGCCACGTGAAGCGTCGAAGGCTCGCTGGTCGGTCACGGGACAGACCCAGGTGCCGTGGGTTGACTGACTGAGATGACTGGCAGACACACACAGACGCAAATGCGTACGCACGCACACGTGTACACACACACACGAATTCACACAAAGCACAAACACCCACGAGCAATCAACAATGTAAGCACGAAACGCACACGCGTGCCCGTGACTTCATTACCGTATCGCACCTTACACGCGTAAAACCGTACAATGCCCGGCCTTCGAGGTGGGCGAGGAGTGGTGGCCAACGAGGGCGCAAGAGCTGTGACGAGCACGGGAGCTGCTGCTTGATTGCCATGAATAGATTCTGCTGATGTCGATGACGACGGACGATGTAGGTGCGCGGGGGCCATCGTCGGTGAAGGCACCAGCAGCACGATCGAGAGCCCAGCAGGCCGAAATGTGGCGGAATGGTCGCTCACCCCTGGCTTTGATGGGCCTCTTGACGAGCCGGACCCCCAGGTTCTCCACGCTGCGTCCCCTGCGCAGCCGCACCTGGGTTCTCAAGCGTTTCTCCTGCACGTCCCTGAGCAGCAGGTCTTGGCTCCCCTCCCGTATCACGTCCTGCACGATAACGACGCTCGGTAATCGGCATCATTAACCAAACTGGCCGTAAATTGCCCCCCTCTCTCCAACAGTGCCGGCCCCCCGCCCGTCTCGCCAGTGGTGGTGGTTGTGCACGTGGTGCGTGATTCAGCACTGTGGAGGCAGCGCAAGGCTTGGTGGATCGCAGCACTGATGCCGTCAAACTCATGGGCAGTCCAGGAGGTGCCACCCCCCTGGCTCGCTGAGAGAAGCCGGTACTGCAAGTGGACTCACCGCCACGTGCTTCCATCTCTACAGGGATAGAGTGTTGCCCCCTCGCACGAGTGGGTTTCCTCCGGGTGCTCCAGTTTCCTCCCACGTGTGTAAAAGCTCAACATTAAATTGGCGAACTAACGTCTTCAAATAAAAACCCCAATGCGGTAGGAACCCCCCTCCTGTGTGGCTCTCTTGGATTAATAATAATTTTTGCCGATTGAATTTCTTCGACAACAGTGCTGCCCCCTCTTCCAACACTGCTGTCCCCTTCTCATAAGAAGTGTGTTAAACTAAGGGCGCATTATTAACGTCAAATTATTCTAATTGCAAGTGGTGCTGGCCCTGCCCCCCGGCCCGGCCACCCGGTCCTGCCGCCCAGTCCCTCCCGTCCGGCACTGCCGTCCGGTCCCGACAACCGGCCCGGCCGCCCGGCCCTGCTAATCGGCCCTGCCACCCGTGTCGTGTTCCCGGCGGAGCCTCACCGTGGGAATCGAGTCGAGCATGCTCATCTTGAGGACGGTGAGGAGGTCGCTCAGGCCCTTCGCAGTCTTCCCGCTCCACCCGACCGCGTACCTGTTGGGCCAAATGTCAAGTCAGTTGCAACACTTCACAAAGGAAACTGTGGACATATCAGTTGGTGAAACTTGTGGGCAACGCAATCGAACCTGCGACTTCTGGATCGCACGTTCACGGTTCTACCGATCGCAGCTTGGGGCATAATTGTAATAGGAAAAAAAAAGTATGCACATGCAACAGAGAGTCGATCGGCAGGCGCCAATAGGACAAAATCCATAGGTGATGGGGGTGGGGGTGGGAGGTGGGAGGGTGGGTGGCACACCCGTAGCGCCGCGTGAGGAGTGGCGGGAGCGCGGCGACTTGCTCGCTCGAGTAGTGGCCGCATGCGCTCACTCCCTCCAGCACGGACGAGTCGGCGCCCTGCAGCTGGGACACCGAGAGGCTGCACGACATCCAGCCCAGCACGGCCACGTCCTCCGCCCTCAGAGCCTCGCTCCTGCCCTGTGGGAGCACGCCCGGGACGCGACAACAGACAGCGGCGGCCGCCGTTCGCCACTTAGCGGGGGGGTGACGTCGCCGCAGCGCTTGCGGTGACGTTTTGTGGCCACTTGATGCGTCGAAGGGTCATTGACATGTCACGGGGACACACTCAGTTTTTGTGGGTTGACCGCCTCGGATGACTGGGTACACGTAACGAAGATCCCCCTATAACCCCACCAGACTGTCGTGCCACGTGCTGTTAGCGAGCACCTGTGAAGGCCGCCACGGCGCACGAGGCGGGGTCGTGGCCGGAAAACCACGCCCGACCGCCTCTGCCTCTCCAGTGCCATTGATTACACACTGCACCAGGTACTCATTTGAGGCTGAGTCGACCTAGGGGAGGCCCAGAACTGGTGCAGATATTCGTCACTGGCGTTGGTAACAAGCGACAATGAAACTCTGGTCTCCGGGTTTGTAGCTCAGGTGCACTGACCGCTGCACCACACGCACACAAGCCCTGTGGGCAGTCGGACACACACGTGGGCACACGTGGGCACACGTGGGTACACGTGGGTACACGTGAACACACGTGGGCACATGTGAACACACGCGAGCACACGTGAACACACGTGGGCACACGGTTCTACGCCCCTCTCTCGCCGGAGTCTTAATCGCTCTCCAGACACAGGAGGCAAAGGTCAATCTCAGAAATATATACTCTTAGTTTTTTCGGTAAAGTCACGTGGGTAAAAAAATGAAATTAAAATTGATAAAAATAAAATAATAAAAATCACGACGTTTCGGAGGCAACACAATTCTCCGTCATCAGGTGGGACCGTCACAGCCAGATTTGCTGTTACAGAGAATTGTGTTGCCTCCGAAACGTCGTGATTTTTATTATTTTATTTTTATTAATTGTAATTTCATTTTTTTTACCTCCATGACTTTACCGAAAAAACTAAGAGTGTGAATCCTTGCAGTCACGAAAGCTTCAAATCTAGAATCAATCTCAGAAAGTCCATCTTTTTGATTAATTTAAGTCGACCCCAGCGCTTTGACGCGAGTCAACCGCGGCGGCGTCGTTGTCATTGTCGTGCGTCTTCTCACGAGGCAGTGCAAGGTGGCGTTCAAGAGCCGTTTTGGGCGACTGTGGTTGGGAGGGAAGATCTCGGGGCTTGAGCCCCCCACGCGTCTCAGCACCTCCCGGCACTGCGGCATCCTCCTCATCTCGTCCGGCCTGCACTCGTCCGCCACGCACAGAGGGGGGGGGGGGGGGGGGATGGTACCACCTCTATCACCAGGTGCGCTTTGAGGCCGCTTGAAGTGTCGAAGGCTCGCTGACAGGAGGTCACGGGACAGACCCAGGTGCCGTTGGTTGACTGACTGAGATGATTGACAGATGCACCGTGACCACCACCACCACCGTCACCCTCACTACCACCCGACCACCGCCACCTTTAAATTTGCCATAGCCGCAAGGGGCTGGACAAAATTCACGAAAGTCATGGCCGTCCCACGTACACACTCGGGGTGGATGAGCCGGAGAAGATCGCACGGTCGACACAAACAGGTCACATTGTGTTACTTATTCCATTTAGCATTTATACATTTGCAGAAAATTTGTTTCACAATAACTCTGTTCTGGTCCCCCCGCCCCACCCCCCCGAGTTTTTGTATAGCCCCCTAACTCCCACCACTCCTTCTCCCTGTAAACACACTCACGCTGCAGGGATGTGGGTCCTGGACGCCCATTCACTCAGGGCTTCATGTCACACTGGGTATGTTCCAGAGCGCCGCTTGAACGGCTTGGCTGGGGAGTGGGGATTCTCGGCGTAAGGCACTACCACTAGAACACAAGGTGCGCTTGTCCATAATAACCCTACGTCATCGCATCCAATCTTCCTCCCGTACTCCTACGAGGATTGCCCGGCCCGGCGTCCCGGACAGTCCCCGGGTGAAAGCAAGCACTGGTTGGCACGCTGCGGGGGGGGCATCGGGGGTGCGTGCGCTCATCAGCCTCACTCGACGTAGGCGAGGACCCCGCTGGGCATCAGCAGGGCGTCGGTCTCGCTCAGTGTCCCCGGGCCCGGCGCCACCGCCTCCGCTATGCACTTGAGCTGGAAAATGGCGGGAAAGCGAGTTGAGCAACGACGAGGCCGAGAGGGGTGGTGGGTGGGTGGGGGAGAGGTGTTGCCCCAAAATATTATAAGCCACCGATTTATGATACAAATATTTTCCTCAAGTCTCTGTCCCAAATAAGGATTTGGTAAAGTGTGCGCGTAGTAAACACCGTGTCGCTGTGTTACAGGCCATGCCTGGGCAGAGTTGCTACGCTAGACAATGCATTACAGGCGGATGGGAAGCGATGGGACCCCCAGGCAACATAATTATTGCTGCCACTACTGCGTACCGAGGGCACCGATATTTCCCTAGATGGGCTCAGTCAGCGGCGTCGGTTGACACGAGGGTTGCCGCGTTAATCGCTGTTCACGACGTGGCGCTACATATCTCAACGTAATTACAATGTTTAGGTCGAAGCAGCATCGGTGTCGTCCATTCGTGCAGATTGCGTCTCTCGCAATCGCCGAGGAACCACAGGTGCGAGTTGGTAGGCAGCAGCCAGAGAGGCGGTGAGCCAATGCTACCGACAATTCCCGAAGCTCTGTAGTCCTCTACACATTAAGATGTTTTCAGGCAATCAATGAGTGCACGGAGGTAAACGCACACGCGTGAGGAGGGGGCATCACTCCATCCTCCTCGCTGTCTCCACAGCACTGAACTACAGGCCACGTGCGTAGCCATCACTGCCCGGCTATGAGTGGTGATGCGGCGATTGTTGTCGTGATTTTTATTTCACCATGACCCTGTAATTGAGTTTCACGTGAATTCTACGTCCGTGCTATTTCTGTACTTCCAGTGCGAGCAGGGTCACTTGACGCTTCTCCAGACAGAGTTCACTCACAGCAGGGCCTGCGTAACGCCATTGACGGGGCACAAGCTGTCCACCACGCGGATCGTCGTGAAGAAACGAAATTAACTACGAAGACGTCCTATGCTCTATAGTATGAAAATTAACAATAGGTTTTACCTTTTCTGTCAATACAAAGGACGTTAAGATGTTCAAGCACCAAATGGATACTTTTTTCAAGGAATCCAACTTGCATTAAGCACACACAGCACTTCTGGTGAACATGCAAACAGACGTGGCTCTGATGATTATATATGATGCGTTGTCTTTGAAACTGATTCGCCTACACCAGAGACAGCCTTCTTTATGGCCTAGTCACCAAACGGCGAACAATATAAAGACAATGCACTGTCAGAGCATTTATACCTCGGGGTGAGTAGCTATATCATGTGACTTTTTTGCTAGTATCAAAGTATACAAAATAAGAATAGGTTTCACCCTTTTTGGCATTAAAACAGGAGGTGTTAAGATGTTGAAACACCAAATAGATACATTTTTACAGGATTCAAGTACTGCATTAACCACACACAGCACTTGTGATGAAACATGCAAACAGACACGCTCTGGTAATGTATAATATGCGACTTGTCTTTGAAACTGGCTTACACCGATCGCCATGTCGTCAATTAGTCCGGTGAGTAACTTGTCGATGAAATCGAGCACATCTTCATACCTGTCAACCCCTTACCAGTGCCTCCTAACTTATTACAGACCAATCCAGAACTTATTGGTTACCCCGTGCCCCCTATAACTCTCAACGTTCATCCTACAAAGTCCCATCACAAGGGAGAAACACAAACAAATAGACACACGTTTTTTTGGTTGTTGCCCGTATTGAAACGGCTGTACGCCGTATGGACCTGAAAACTCAATTTCCCTGTTACAAGAATACGGGTTAGACCGTATGGGTTGACACGATGTGTGTGCATCTTCTTTGCATCCAACTTTTCGTTCCAAGGCTGGGGAGTGCAGTACCTGGGAGCGGGTCATGTGACCCTCGCTGCCGTTGACAGAGGTGGCGAAGTCACGCGCGTCCACCTGTCCAGACAGCTGATTGCAGGTGAAGCCCCTCAGGAGGCTACCAAACTGCCTGTAAAATGATTGAATAATAATTCATAAAACATGTATTTTAAAAGCGCCTTTCCAATTGTACGTAAAGAAATAAAATAAAACCACACTAAAACTATTAAACCGCTATTTTTATTTTGCCAGGGTAGGCCCCACTGAGCTACGGAGCTACTTTTCAGAAACGGACCTGGCCACAAACGATAGCCCAACGAAGTGGCTTATCGCGTGGACATTTATAGCGGCCAACTACTCCAAACGCACGTTTCTAAATGTGGAGGGAAAACCCGGAGGGCACGGAGAAAAATCCATATGACCACGTGGAGAGAGACACACGCAAACTCCAGATATACAGCAGGTGTCAGGGTCGGGATCGAACCCACGCCCTCCTGTATACCAGGCGAGGTAGTTAACATCTCCTAGCCACCGTGGCACCCACTCACAAGTACAGATAAAATCTAAGCGAATGAGAAAGCCGATAATCACAATATCAGTGACTACGTTCAAATCGCTATCGGTCAAGTGCAGGTTTCAGCCGCCAGTGATTGAACCGGGTTCTCGAGTGTGGCGAGTTGATGGTCTCAGCCCGGTCGCCAGTCACTGCACAAAACAATCACCAAGTTCACGAGGGATCTACATTACTATCACCATCACTACCACCATCACTATCACCACCATCACTATCACCATCACTACCACCAACATCACTATCACCACCATCACTATCACCATCACTACCACCAACACCATCACCACCGTACCTTCCGGTCTCAGTCCACGTGTAGCCTCTCTTCATACTTTTAAAAATAATCATCGACTGAAATGAGAAGTAACATTTAATTAGTAACCTTAAGATGATTTTTTTTTCTCTCAAAATAACAAGTTGTCTAGCTGAATGTTAGAGAGGCACGGCGTGCGATGTAGCGACATCGCGGACACCACGTTGATGTGGGTGTAGTACCGGCCCTAGAGGGGCTCCGTGAGCGCTGGTTGATAGCGCTGGATGGCACCACGCTTGGCGTGCAGTGCCAGCCCCTACAGGATAGGGTGTGGGTGTGCCGGGGTTACTCAAGGCCATGGCACTCCGGTTGACCCGAGAGGACACGTGACCGATTAAATCTACAAAGGGGCCCCAAGTGGGGGCTAGGGGGTGGTCACATGGTCCGGGTCCAGATCCTGCTCGAGGATTCTGGAAGGTAGGCGTGGCCAAGGGTGGAGCCAGCCATGCCGCAGAGAATATAAGCCGGGTCCCCCAGAGGGACCGGCGTTGTTGGTCATCTTGAAGAAGCCTTCGTCTACGTTTTACGTTCTACCGAGTCTCCAACACGTGGACCTGAACCCGAGCTGCGGTCCGGTCCGTTGTAGCAGTTACGTTGTAATTAGTGTAGTTAGCCTGTTGGTCACCACCTGACTAACTACACCAGTTACGTTGTAATTAGTGTAGTTAGCTGATGGTCACCAGCATAGGCTGTTATTCTGTTAAGGGGCAGTTACCCTGTGTGTTGATGTAAAATAAATGTGTTACCTCCAAGAGTAAGTCTGCGACTCAGTTGAACTCACTACAACTTTCATACAATTGCAATTTGGAGCATAGGCAGAGTCGACAGCACTGACAGCTGGGGGAATGTAACTCCAGACCATGGAGGAGGCAGAAGACAATGAGCGACTCCCCACCGAAGTGAAGACGGACTGGGGGCTTTGAGTGAACAATGACGCTAGTGAGTATAGTGGGGGAAGCGGGTGAGTGAGCGGGTGAGTGAGCGGGTGAGCGAGTGGGTGAGTGAGCAGAGGAAGCGGGTGAGTGAGCGGGTGAGTGACAGGGGAAGCGGGTGAGTGAGCGGGTGAGTGAGTGGGTGAGTTGGCACGGGAAGCGGGTGAGTGAGCGGGTGAGTGAGTAGGTGAGTGAGCAGGGGAAACGGGTGAGTGAGCGGGTGAGTGAGTAGGTGAGTGAGCAGGGGAAACGGGTGAGTGAGCGGGTGAGTGAGTAGGTGAGTGAGCACGGGAAGTGGGTGAGTGAGCGGGTGAGTGAGTAGGTGAGTGAGCACGGGAAGTGAGTGAGTGAGCGGGTGAGTGAGTAGGTGAGTGAGATGGGGAAGCGGGTGAGTGAGTAGGTGAGTGAGATGGGGAAGCGGGTGAGTGAGCGGGTGAGTGAGCGGGTGAGCGAGCGGGTGAGTGAGCAGAGGAAGCGGGTGAGTGAGTAGGTGAGTGAGTGGGTGAGTTGGCACGGGAAGCGGGTGAGTGAGCGGGTGAGTGGGTGAACAGGGGAAGCGAGCGGTGGATCGGAAGTGCGTACCGCACCTGTGTCTCCGTCCACTCCTTCGAGTTGATCTGACCCAGGGGCACGGACGAGGGCAGGGTCCGGATCGTGTCGAGGGGCAGGGCCCACACCAGCCAGCCCGGTGTGTCCTGCACAAGGGCCACCGGATCTGTCGAGACCCTCACCGCCTGTTGGCAAGCGCACGCTCACATCGTCACATCGCCTTCACTCGCATCGTCACATCGTCTTCACTCGCACCATCGCATCACCTTCCCGCTTGCTTGTGGTTTCTCGCACCTCCGAATGATGGAGTGAGCAGCGTTACAAATGAACAAACGTCAAAGGGGAGGAAATGCTTCACTCTGGGAGCAGCTGTTAAGAATCCCCCCCACCATCCCCCCCCCATTGCGTGCTGACAAACCGTCAGCGAGCACCCAACAATGAAGCCAGCAAGGGGCACGGCACCACCCGGAGCGGGAGTGCAACCCAGGGCCCCCCACCTTCTCCATGATGGCGGCGGCGACCGAGGGCGGCATGGCGCTGCCGACGGCGGGGTCCTGCATCCCGGACAGCGTGAGCAGGCTGCGCGCCTCCGAGTCCGGCAGCGCCAGCACGGCACTGCTCGGCAACCCGGACACCAGCGTGCCGAGCTGACCGATGGCCGCGCTGTCACCCAACTTACGACGGCGGACGGTGAGGGGGGGTCGGGTGCAGATCGATGCAAGCGTCAGCGCGTCAACACGCGGGGCACTCGAAGGTAAAACAAAAACCCACGATGCTCTCGGCAGGTTGGGATCCATTGATTAGAGCTGTCGCGGAGAGACAGGGATATGTGGTGTGGCGCATTTCCACCAACACCCCGACAGCTTTTACATGGTGGCTACAAAACGCAGGGTTATGGATTCACTGAGTCACTGGTTCACACGTGGTCACACGGGTTCACACCGGTTCACGGGTTCACACGGAGGTTACAGGCTAACATGGGCGTCATAGGTTCACACGAAGGTCACAGGTTCACGTGGGGTCACAGGTTCACACGGGGTCACGGGCTCATACGGTGTCACGGGTTCACTCGGGGGTCACGGGATCACGCGAGGTCCCGGGATCACGCGAGGTCACGGGTTCATACGTAGTCACGGGTTCAAATTGGTGTCATGGGTTCACACGGGGGTCACGAGTTCATGCGGGGTCACCGGTTCACGTGGGGTCAGACGTTCACACGGCTAACACGGGGTGTCACGGGTTCACATGGGGGGGGGGTCACAGGTTCACACGGGGTCACGGGTTCATATGGGGGGGGGGGGTCAAAGCCTAATTGGGGAACAGACCACCGCGTCCGCTGGTGCCACTCACGTAGACTCCCATGTCGACCAATTTATTGACGAACTGCTGGGCCTGTGCAAGACTCCACCCGCTCTGCTGCCCCAGGGTGGGCAACGCAGTCAGCACCGCCTGCCCGCTCAAGTTGGTGATGGCGGCGGGGCTCAGGAGCAGGGCAACGGGCCCCAGCTGTACCAGCTGCGCCGCGCTCAGCTGCTGCCCGGCACCCGCGAGAATCGCCAGGGCGATCTGCGGCACAGAGAGGCGGCGAGGTGACGCGGCGGGGGGGGGGGCATGTTGTTTTTCTGAATCTGTCCCCTCGGGCGTGATTATCAATCCACTCGCAATCGGTGTCTCGCGGCGGTCGTGCGTCCTCAGTGTTGGGCGCTGTCTCTTCGTATGCCTGCGGGGCTTTCTCAAACGTCCTCCGGTTTTCTTCCCACTTTTGTCAAGAACTCGCCAAAGTTGGAGTGCTCCGTCTGTGCGGAGCTTTGAGTGTTATCCCTTTGTACGCACGGTGGGGGTGTTTATAAAATGGGCTTTTTGGCTTTCTCACTGAAGGAATTGGCCAAACGTCCTGACGCCGGACCTCCTTGAGAGAAAGAGAGAGTCTTGATATGAGGTTAGGTTTTCCCGGATACACAATGTTATTGTGAAAAACATTTTGTAAACCTCTGGGCCAGCTCCAGAGCCTGACAAATGAATAAGTTGTTTCATATAAAAACAACGAGCACATTTGCTATCCGCGCCATTCGTACGGCGAATGGGCTGTGGGTGCGCGCGGGCAGCTTTTGTGAACGATGCCATCCTGAGTGGATGACTGCAGAACGACAGTTACGAGCACGGCCTCCCACTTCATCTGTCCTCATTGCTACTCCCTTGTGCGTACCGGTGCTTTACACAAAAAAACACGACACCTTCATTGCATTATTTTTTTCCCCGACGAGTCCCGTGCCCGGAGGATTTTTAGTTTTATTCGACTCCGGCCACCACCACCCTCGCCCCCTCACCATCCCCGACGCGGTGGGGATGGGGAGGGGGTGAGGGTGGGCAGCGGTGGGTGGGGACGGTGGCACCAGTACTTTCTGCTGCTCATAATCATCGTTTTTGGGTGAGATCGCGTTGTTTATAAACGTGTCGTAACCCTCCACCACCCGACGCGGCCAATCAGCAAGAAAAAAAGTGTCACGTTGACAAAAGACAAATAGTTCACTGCCTTAGCCCACCGGTGTGTTGAAGCGTGAAACCACAACATTTACAAAAAAATGTTTTTGGTTTCACGCTTCAACACACCGGTGGGCTAAAGCAGTGAACTATTTGTCTTTTGTCAACGTGACACTTTTTTTGCTGATTGTCCATGTCGGGTGTTGGAGGGTTACGACACATTTATAAATAACGCGATCAAACCCAAAAACGTTGATTATGAATAATATTGGTCGCGAAAGCCTGCTACGTGTTAAACTGACCTTCTGCTGCTGCTGCTGCTGCTGGGCACTGGCGGAGCCGGCGCTGGCGCTCTGGAGGCACGCCTTGAGCTTGGCGACGAGGACCGCGTCCGTCGGGGGCACGGTCGTCACGTCCGGGTAAACGCAAATCACGGAATCCGGAATCCTGGCGGGCACAGGGGCAGTTGGGCGACTTTGGCCGTTGCGATTCAGACACTGTATTCCTCCGGGTCTAAATCGAGATTCTCATTGTGATGCACCATAGAGGTGCGAGTAATCCTGAGTACGATCGTGCGGTGGCTTCTTGGCGTGGGGAGAGTACGTCACCCAAAATAATTTGCATATCAAGAGGAATTTTACATATTTATGGGAAATGCAGATATGGGATTAGTCACTACTTGTTGAATGTGTAGGAGGTGGGCGGGGGGTTTCAAAGTTATATTATGCCCGTGCATTATGCAGGATTAGCAGCATCAAAGGGAGGGAGTAGGGTTAGCATTAATAAAGGGAAGGAATGTCAAGGCGCTCTTCCCCCTCCAACCCGGCTTAAATATACGCTGCCAAGCCTGGTGGTGTTTCATTCAGACGCTGTCTTTCCGACAGACCTGTTCTTCACCTGAGGACGGCTGCTTGTGTTGTGGCCGAAACATCGTGAGAATGATTTTATTATGTTTAATTTTTATTATTTTATTATTTCCATTCTACGTGACTTTACCGAAAGAACCAAGAAGATGAATCCCTGCAGTCACGAAAGCTTTAAACCAATTAGGACTAATTCAGGGGAATCTAGGCCCTCGTGATTTTGCCCTCCCGGTCACCCTTGGCCCCCGGTGCCCGGACCACCGGGCAATAGGGCCGCTGGCCTCACTTGTCAGCAGTGAAGTTGCGGTTGAGCATCGCGCCCAGCACCAGCTTCTGGAGGTCGGAGGGCAGATCGCGCGCCGCCCGGAACGTGTCCACCACCGCGTCCGTCGTGAGCGCCGCGTCCAGCTGTGCGACGCGGCCAGCAACGACGGCACAAAGTCAGCGAGGCCACCTGGTGGCCTGAGACCCGCCCGGCCTCAGAGCCAGTGGGGGTCCTGAGACCCAGGGGTCATTGGGATCCTGAAACCCCCCGCTTGGCAATCGGTGTTCTCAGACCCCACCACCGTGGGTCGTCCTGTGACCCCCACGGCAAATTGGGTTCCTGAGGTGTCGCAGCAATAGGGGTCCTGACTCGGAGATCCTACAGCTACTGGGGTGCTGAGACCCCGCCCCCCCTATGGTCATTGGGAACTTGATCCCGAGAAGCGCCGTTGCTGGTGTAAACTAAAACTAGACCCTACATTTTTATTTGACTAGGTAAGGCCCCACTGAGCTATGTAGCTCTTTTTTCAGGAGCCACCTGGCCACAAATGATTGCTGAACGAAGCGGCTTTATCATCACGTGGAAATGTATAGCAGCTAAATACTCCGAATGCACGTTGCTTCTAAATGTGGAGGGAAAAACCAGAGGACCCAGAGAAAAATCAACGTGAACACGGGGAAAACATACACACTCCAATTATACAGCAGATGTCAGGCTTGCGATCGAACCCAAGACCTCCTACATACCAGGCGAGGTAGTTAACATCTCGCCACGGTGGTGTAGGCGACGGAGTTACCTGCTGAGCGTCGGTGAGGAAGCCCTGCAGGTCAGAGCGGCTCGCGAGCAGCACAAAGTGGCCGAGGTTGGCGGGGATCCATCCCGAAACGGTGCCAGCAGGGACCCCACAGCGCGGGGCCTCTGTGGGGAGGACTGGACGAGAGATAGAGAGCACGCGATGGGGAGTTGGTGATGATGCAACGGGAGCATTGTGAGGACAGATGATGCGAGCGAATCGACGGGGGATGGAGACGGACAATACAGCGAGACCGGCGGCGGACAGAAGGCAGTGGAGAGAGAGGATGGCACGAGACGAGAAATGAAGCCGGTGGTGCAGATCGGGGCGAGGTCGCTGGCGGCGTTTGCAACTGAAGGCCAGCGAACTCGCCGGAAGGTCGTACCGGAGAGGAAGCGAGACATCCACAGGTAGGACGCACGCCGTGCGTCCACGCTCAGGGAGCTGTAGGCTCCGTCCAGGCCTCCCACGCTGCACGCGGCACGAGACATCGAGCCATCGAGTTTCAGGAAACGGTCTTTCGATTGTCGCAGACGGGGGCCCCCTTTCACCGGGGGAGGTTTGGCACCGCGCGCGGGAATTCAATACGAGAGACTCGTCGGAGTTCGGTGCCGTTGAGCAGTTGGCCTCTTCGAACTGTTTTTTGTGTTTAGTTTGTTGCCCCTTCCCCCGCACCTCCGATTGTCCCGGTTGGCTACCTCCGGCACCAAAGAAGTTCAACGCACGTACGTAATCTACCCAATAACCCAGGGGGAGACGACCGCTGGTGGCACAGCACAGACACCCGCCGTGTGCCTGCGCCCCTGCTTGACCGACTGTCGCCGCGGAGCCTCACTCACATGGCCTGGAAGGCGGAGCAGTTGAGCGAGGGCGGCAGGGAGGCGAGCTGGGCCACCGTGGCCGTCGGCAGGAGCTGGGCGAGGTACCGCGAGAACCACACGGACACCTGGGCGTCGGGCAGGGTGGCCAAGCTCGGGCCCAGCGTCCCCCACACCTGGCTCATCATGCGCGCGCGAACCTCCACGCTGGGCTGCGACGTGCTCTGCGCACACAAAAGACAAAGATCTCCCTCCATGTAGCCTTCGACAGTCTGTTGGGGCTTACACATCGCACCAGGTGCTCATTTGAGGTTGAGTCGACCGAGGGGAGGCCCAAGACCGGTTCAGTTAATCGTCACCGGCATTGGGCGTGATCGGGAATCTAGCTCTGGTCACCGGTAGCGCTAACTGTTGGACTACTTCTGTAACCGCGTGTTCGATTCCTCCTCCTTCACGGAGGAACAGAAAAGAAGTTGGCAGGGCCCTTGCTCAGCAGCGGGAATTACCAGACAACAACTTGCCGGCTTAACGGTGTCTTCATTGGCACCGCAGCGGGCGATGGTGCCGGGACACGTGCCTCAACCCGAAAGGCTCCGGGGCCGTGGCCTGTGCCTAGCCTTCGTGGCTCACCGCGTTGGTGTAGCGCTCCATGAAGCTCGATAGCTCGGCCATGCCGTGCACATTCGCCAAAATCTGGTCCACGACGGCCGTGCTGTTCAGCAGCCCAGGCACCCCCGCCAGGTCACCGAGCTGCGCAGGGCTCAGCTGCTCCAGCACCTGCAACTGGGGAGAGCAGCAGTCAATGGGGAGGGGGTGGCAGGGAGGGGGGTTAATTGTGAACACGCGCGTGCGGCGCAGAGGAAGGTTAAAGGTCACGAGGCGTCACCGAGTGCACGTACGGGTTGAAAGGTCGGCAGGATCTCCGTGAACTCGGAGAAGGCGGCTTGGCGGCTGAACTTGCCGAGGTACGTGGAGAGGAAGGTGCCGCTCGTCACGTTTTCCAAGGGGCAGCCCTTCGCCACTGCGCGCCACGAGAGAGAGCGAGGTCAGGACAAGACACACATCGATTTCTAATGGATTACTCTGAAGGTCGAAAGCCACCGACACGCCACAGGCGGACGGATGACGTCACCGACCCTCGCCTGCCACCTCTCCGGACAGCGGCACAAGTGGGAACGGGGGGGCGAGACTTTTGTTTTCCACCGATTTTTCGTGCTCACCGATTAGTCGAGTAAAATTGAACCGATGATCGTGATCAGAGAGAGAGTCCAGCTCGTACAGCCCAGCTCGGAGAGCACGGCTCTACCCATCGGTAAACATATACACACACGGCGGCCTGAGGCTGGGTTTGGTGGGGGAAGTGGGTCGGTGGGTCGTGCTGAGGCCTGACTCAAGGCCACGGGCACGGAGCTCTCACCTTTCAGGTACTGCTTCGTCTGCAGGTAAATGCTGTGCTGGGTGGATGCGGACATATTGTCGTAGGAGTTGTTCAGAGCAGCCATCCTGTTGGGTGGCAAAAGGCGACCGTTAGCCTCGGTTAAACGAGACGGGGCAGCCGAGGCTCTCGTCAATTGGCGAGGTGGCTACGCGGCTTAGGAAGCTAAACGGGCGCATCTCAACCCCCTTTTTCCACTGCCACATTCGAGCCAAGCCGGTGTGGGGCATTGGACGGCAATGGGTTTGGTTTTCCACGCTGGGCATTTGCCAGAACCGAAACGATGAAACCCTAAATCTGACTTGGGGCCAAGCAGGGCCTGGGGGCGGGGTCAATCAACTCGTTGATCGTGTTGCGACATCATCGGCACGGCACTGCTTCTGCAGTGGAAAAAAAAACTGGCACCTGCTGAGTCGCACTGGGCTGGCCCGGCACGGCCAAGGAGCAGTGATTTTTGGGGAAATAAAGGTAACTGCCTGAGATTAAACTGGATTTTCAAGCATCATGATCTCAAGTCACCAATGACTGCACTCATCAACTTGCTTGAAAAACTGAAAAATCTGCAAAAGCAGCAAGGATTGATATAGACATTTTTAATTATGTTGAGGGTTATAAAAAGGAACAGGTGGAGTGCAGCTTAATCGGTAGTGTGATTGGCTGCTGATGCATCTATAGGCAGTGTGAGAGCTCACTGTGATTGGCTGCTGATGCATCTATAGGCAGTGTGAGAGATCACTGTGATTGGCTGCTGGTGGCTCTGTAGGCAGTGTGAGAGATCAGTGTGATTGGCTACTGATGCCTCTGTAGGCAGTGTGAGAGCTCACTGTGATTGGCTGCTGATGCCTATGTAGGCAGTGTGAGACATCACTGTGATTGGCTACTGGTGCCTCTATGGGTAGTGCCTGTGCACAGGGCAGAAACCCAAGAGTCGTGCCCCTGATGAAGACTGAGCTGCATCTCACATGATGAGGTATGACGAGCAGGTGAGTCCGGCTGGGAAGAGCTGGGTGCTGGGCGAGAGGGCAGGCAGCAGGGGCCCAAGGAGATGGCCCATCCACGTGCTCAGCTCCACCTCTTTCATCTTGACGAGGTGAGGAGTCAGGTGCCCCCACAGCCCCGTCACGAGCTCGGATCGCACCTCGTCGCTCAACTGCCCAGCACCCTGCGCAAAGACAATGGTGGCGGTGGTAGTGGTGGTAGTGGTGGTAGTGGTGGTGGCAGGAAGAGGAGGTGGAGGTGGCAGGAGGTGGAGGAGGAGGAGGCAGGAAGAGGTGGCAGAAGGAGGTGGAGGAGGCACCAAGAGGAGGCAGGGGGAGATGGAGGAGGTGGAGGAGGCAGGAGGAGATGGAGGAGGCAGGCAGAGGTGGAGGAGGCAAGAGAAGGAGGAGAGGGAGCGAGACGGGTGCGGACGGCGTGGCGACGCTACTCTCACCTGGCCGATGCGCTCTGTGAACGCGACGAGGTCCGACGAGGGCCACGGCAGAGTGCTGAACTGCGCCAGCGCCTGGGTGGCGTCGGCCCGCGTGCCACGCGGCCCCAGCGAGATCAGGAGGTCGGCGAGCTGCAACGCGGTCAGCTTGGTGGACGACGTCATCATTGCGCTCTGCCGCGCGCGCACGCACCCACAAACGCACGAGTGAATGGGCAAGCACGCGCAAAACAAAGGCAAAGATCACCCTACGTTATAGCCTTCAACAGACCGTCAGGGCAAGTGCTGTAAGCGAGCAGCGCCTATGAAGGCAGGCACAGCGCGCAGAGGGGGCGATGTTGGGGGGACCACTGTGGCTCCGCAATGTTTCGCAAGGATCTGTTTCAGATGCAATATTCTTTTTGACATCTCACAAAGCATGGTGGTCCATCAGAATTCTCCGAGAGCTAACGGTGTTCTATTGTCCCAGAGATTTGGGAATCGCTGGCCTAAAGGATCCTGCCTTGACTGGTCTACACACGGGCCTTGATCTAAAAGGCTCTGGGGCCTTGGCCTGGACCTAGGCTTGCGGATCTCGGCCTCGTGGATCCGCGGCCTCGAGTCCGAGATGGCCGCTCACCCCGTTGAAGCTGGGCAGGAGCTGTGTGAAGTCGCTGAAGTTGGCCTCCCGGTAGAACAGGCCGTAGTACTTGAGCAGCAGATCCTCACTCGTCACGTTCTTGCCGCACCTCTCGGCCACTGCCGCCACGCACCAAACACAGGACAAACAGCGCGATGTCATTTGAAGGCTTTGGATGACCTCGCAGGAACCTGTGACGTCCACTGTGAAGCAGACAGGCGCGAAGCATAAATGGTTTCTAAGCACTGCAGCGTTAACCGGCGCAGCCGCTGGGCTCGAACCGTGGACATTTGCAAAGAGTGACAAACACGCTACCGTTTCGACAAGTTACCGCCCAACACTCCAGCCTGACCACGCCAGGGTGGCGGGTAGTGGGTTGTGGGTAGAGAGTGGTGGGTTGGAGGTAGTGGGTAGATGGTGGTGAGTAGAGGGTGGTGGGTTCTGGGTAAAGGGTAGCGAATGCAGGATGGAGAATGGAGGGTGGTGGTTTGGGGGTGGAGGGTGGTGTGAGGAGGTGGTGGGTGGTGGGTGGAAGGCGGGTGGTGGGTAGAGAGTGGTGGGTAGAGGGTGGTGGGGGGAGGATGGTGGGTGGCGGGTTTCCCATCTCGAGTGGGCGGTGGCCACCTGTTGGCTGCAGTAGCTGCGTGATCTTGCGGGCGACCTCGGTGCGCACGGGCACAGGCAGGCGGTCATAGAGGCTCTCGAAGCTGTCGTAGCTGCGCACGGGAGGCAAATGTGATACTTGGAGACACAGGGCACAAGGGAGACACGGGCACACGGGAGATACAGGACAGCAGGCCTATTAAGCCTATGTGGCAGTCCAGGCAAATGCTTCAGTGGGCCGGTCTATTCCAGGGAAATTGCCAATGTGATCAGAACAGCAAAAATGTGTTTTATTACCTCTAGTGTGTACGCTTCATTGCTTATTTATGCTCTTAGTTGGCATTAAGTCCCCATATATTCGGCAGCGCCAAAGATTATTCCTCACAGGCCCATTTGTTTTTTGGACCCAGCCCAAATGGGACCAATGAGATCACATGGCAAAATAACGCAAACGCGTCGTCACATCGCAACATCTAGCTACTCGTATACAGTTTGTCGCACAACCTATGAAAAAAATTACAAAAAAATTTTTGCCCATAGATCCGATGTGAGTTTATGAGTGTCTGGGCCGACTTTGAGTCACGGTCCATCACTGCAGGACAGAAAGATGGGAGACACCATAGTTGACCCCAAGGCCACCGCGAGATGGGCCAAACTGACCGCTCGCCGCCCCTTGTCCAAACCGTGACCCTGACCCCCACGCGCCCGGCGATGATCCACGCAATTGCCCCCCCCCCCACCCCCCTGTTCGCGGCCGCCCCGCTTACAAGGCCTGGAAAGCGGAGCAGTTGAACGAGGCCGGCACGGAGGCCACCTGATGGGGCTGGATGGCGACGAGGAACGGCGGAAGGCGGCGCGAGAGCCACGCGCCGCCCCACTCGGCCTCGCCTAGCGTGGGGAAGCGCGGCTCCAGCAAGGCCCACACGAAGGTGAGCACCAGGCGCTTGGAGTCGAGGTTCAGGTCGGACAGCGTCGAGGGATTGGCCTGCGTGGAAAGGCGGGTGGTGGGGGGGGGCAGCCCACGTTGAAATTATTTTGCACCGTGAAGTAAGCCGACCGTGCTACTGCAACACATTTTAGAAGCGACCTGGCCACAAGTGACAGCTCAACGAAGTGGCTTGTCGCATACAAATTTATCGCAGGCGAATACTCTAAACGCGTGAATATTGATTCTAAATGAAGAGGGAAAAGCAAAAGGACCCGGAGAAATATCCACACGACTACGGGGGCAAGAGAGACAGAGACATGCAAACTCCAAATATACAACAGGCATCGTCAGGGTCTGGATCTAAGCCACGACTTCCTGAATGCCAGGCGAGGCGGGTAACACGTCGCCAAAGCGCGAGCGAGGGGTCGGGAGCTCGAGCGTTTCTCACGGTGGCAATGAGCTTGTCCAGGAAGGTGGCCACGGACTCGTAGGACAGCAGGGAGAGTTCAAACATCTTGATGACGAGGCTTGAGTTCCCCAGGAAGCCCGGCTGGGCCGCCAGCACGGCGAGCTGCTCGGCCCCCAGGTAGCCCAGCGCTTCCAGCTGCAGGACGACGAGTGACACGAGAGCACGAAGGCGACGCTTAATGCCGCAAGGGGGTTACAGGGGCTAGCAGCCCGGTGGATCTGGAATTTCACTGAGGGGCCCGGAAATACCCGCTAAACGCTTTACGACGGCCGAAACGCAACACCGTGGCGCGCGGTGAAATCCTACAGGCGACGCGGCCCTGCGGGAGCGCGTCCCGCCCGCCGGCCGCTCGTTGCAGAGGTTCGCGGGTGGAATGCGGCGTGGGTCGCCCTAGTTAATACCGCGGGTGTGTTGATTGTAGCCGTAGGCCGCCATCCGATTCACAACGGCTGCTGCGCTTTCCGATTATTTTTCTAATTTGGGCCACGATGCTTCGCCGGCCCCCCAATCGATTCCCGTGCCCCTCCAACCCCACCCCCTTAGCCTCCTCCCAGCCCAACTGACGGTAAAAGTAAAAAGCCTTCGAATAATGGCCGCAGATGATGCAGGCCATAGTCTCAAAATTATTTTGCACGCCAAATATCAGCGCTGGCGGCAGAGAGACCTCCATGTGTTGGGATGTCCCTCTGATGAACTCCGTAAGCGGCCGTGCAGTGTGGCGTAGTGGCACGCCGTTCACCTACAGGAGGCTACCGAGTCCTTTATTTAAAATTTTCCTGCACGGTATGCATGCCGCAGCCTGTGCCCCCCCTCCCTCCCGTCCACCCACCCTCACCCCGCCAGAAAGACCCACGGGTTGAGTGCCGCCGTCTTAGGAGGATCGCGGTGACTGGACCCCTTCAGCCCAACACTGACACTGGAACCTACGTCGCGTCATGACGTCACCTTGTCAGCGCGCCGCACAATGCCGGGGCGCGAGGAGCCGCAGGCAAGCGGGGAAAGGCGGCAGCCAGGCAGTGAGCCGGTGCCCGCAAGTACCCCAAGCTCTGCGGTCCCCTATATATTAAGAATGTTTGCGGCCGAGTGTTGACACGCGGGAAGAGACCGGAGCACCCGGGTGGGGGAGGGGGGACAAACGCACGCGTGCGAGGGGGAAACACTTTATCCCGTGCAGACGAGGCGAGGCGGAGTCCACATTTTGTCGTTGTTGTTGTTGTTGTCCTGCCGACTCCCGGGGCGAGCCGGCGTACGACGCCCCACGGGAATGGGATTCTCACGACGATTTGCACGACGATCCACCGACACCCCATCCCCCCTGCTTCGCTGCCTCCACAATGCTGGATGACAGGCCACGTACGCGCATCACGGCCACCACGGGCGTGTTTTGGCAGCGTTGGGGGTGACATTCACGAACACGCGCGTCACGCACCACCCCCCCCCACCGCCCTCTTGGCACCACCTGGGTGGAGACTTCCCTTGCCCGCGGCACAACGCTTTGTGCCGCAACTTGACCTTTCCTCTCCGAACAAACAAGCAAATTGATTAAATAAATATGACACAATTGCTGACATTTGTTTTTTTGTGTATATATATAGAATCACGGTTGCTGAGCACAAGGTGCCAAAGGCCCAAAACGCCCAGTGGCCAGCAACAAGCAGCGCCACCGTAGGTGTAACAGTGAAGAGCGGTAAGCGCGCTGCTCGAGTCGAGCGCAGTGCGGTAATAGCTCGGGGGGTGGGTGGGGGAAGAGACGATGGGAGCGGAATTCCAAACTTCCGAGGGAATTCCAGACGGGAGAGTTGTGACGGGCGGTGTGGTGCAGAGGTCGCAACCGGGTACCCAATACCTGTACCCTACCCGATACCCGGTTACCCGTACCCGGCCGGGTACGGGTACGGGTAGCCGTTTGCGACCCTGGTGCGGCCGGGTACGGGTACGGGTAGGCCGTGAGTCACTGGTGAGTAACTGTTTGTCACTCATTTCCCAACGTCTTGTCTCTTCTCACAATTCAAGTTCCTAGAATCAACCCACCCACGCCTGCAACATGGCTTCATCCCAGAGATTGCAATCAGGTACCTGATACCCGTACCCTACCCGTACCCGGCCGGGTATGGGTAGGGTACGGGTACGGCCGGGTACGGGTACCCATTTGCGACCCTGGTGCGGCCGGGTACGGGTATGGGTAAGGAATCAAAACCGGTTTGCGACCTCTGGTGTGGTGGTGGTGGTGGACGAACACGGTTGAGGCAGTTGAGACGAAACAGTCCGTGCGACTGGCTGGCCGAGCCCCTGCTGACACGGGCGGAAGGGACTAACGACCGTCGCCGACGAGGAACGGCGGCGTCGGTAGCCGCGGCGGCAGGGGAGCGAGCGGCTGCACGTTCGGATCATCGATCGATCACCCGAGACGCCTGTGACGTTGATCGGAACGCCAGCGCGCTCGTGCGGGTTGAGTTGCGGAGTGAAGCGGCGTGCGTGCGAGCGCACGCCGTGTGAATTTGCTCCTCCGCTGTCGCACGCCGCGCGCTCACGCCCTCCCCTCGCTGCGGGCGGAGGCAAAATGCCTTCGAGGTGGAGGTGGCCGGCTGGCTCGAGAGGTCACAGCGCTGAGCTCGCACCGCTCAGAACCCGGGGTTCGAACACCAGGCTCTCGGCCACGTGTGTTCTCAACTGTAACTGAGCCAGCCCCCCCCCCCCCCCCCCACCGCTGAGATAACCTGGGTTTGAATCCAGGTTTCAGCTGCCCAAACCTGGCTGAGTTGTGATGAAGCTGTAGTGAGCTTGTGGCCCCGTTGCTAATGACTGCACACCACAAAAATGCATCGCGTTCAATTTGGTTTTGCATTTTGCCGCAGGGGGCAGGTGAGTGATGAGTTGAGTGGGGCGGCAGGGTTAGGGTCGTGGGGGACAGGTGAGTGGGGCAGCAGGGTTTTGTTCGTGGGGCATGGGTGAGTGGTAGCGGTGAGTGGCAGCGGTGAGTGGCAGCGGTGAGTGGGGCAGCAGGGTTAGGGTCGTGGGGTATCGGTGAGTGGTAGCGGTGAGTGGTAGCGGTGAGTGGTAGCGGTGAATGGTAGCGGTGAGTGGTAGTGGTGAGTGGTAGCGGTGAGTGGTAGTGGTGAGTGGTAGTGGTGAGTGGTAGTGGGTGACGACAGTGGGGGCAGCGCTCACCGGCTGGAACGTGGGCAGCAGGCGGCTCAACTCCGCCAGCTCGGCCTGCTCCCCGAAGAGGCCGAGATAGACGCGCAGAAGCTCCTCGCTGGACACGGCGATGCTGCACCTGGCGGGGACTGACACGGGGTCACACCGGGGTTAAGCAAGGTCACGCCAAGGTCGTGTAAGGTCACAGCGGTTCACACGCGGTGGGGGAGGGGGGGGAGGGGGGGAGGGTCACACGGGGGTTAAACAAGGTCACGCTGATGTCGTGCAAGGTCACAGCGGTTCACACACGGTAGAGGAGCGGGGGAAGGGTCACACCGGGGTTAAGCAAGGTCACGCAGAGGTCGTGCAAGGTCACAGCGGTTCACACACGGTGGAGGAGGGGGGAGGGTCACACCGGGGTTAAGCAAGGTCACGCAGAGGTCGTGCAAGGTCACAGCGGTTCACACACGGTGGGAGTGGTGGGAGGACTGACACGTGGACATGCGGTGTCACGCGGGGAATTGTCGCGGGGTCGTGAGAGGGGTCACCCAAAGGGGCAACGCGGGGTCACGAGGAGGTCACCTGGCGTCACGTACACGTTACGTGTGTGTGTGTTGAACTTCTGTCGCACCGTACGTAGCCAACCGCGCCCGCGTACGAAGTTCTACTCGGGGCGTAGAAGCTCCCGGGGGCGTGGAGCGGAACGTCGTGCCTTGAGGCCGAGCGTCACGCGGCTGCCCCCCGATTCCCCCGCTGAGCTGGGTGGTCATCGGGGTCCCCTGGGCAAAGGGGATCAAGGGGGACCTGCGGTACGAACCCGTGGGCTGGTAGAACTGCAGGCTCATGTTGACCACGGCCCTGCGCACGTCCACGTCCAGGCCGCTGTAGACCTTGCGGCTGAACGCTCCCACTCTGCGGCACAAAGTAGGTGTGCGTGTGTGTGGTGTGTGTGTGCGGTTTGTGTGGTGTGTGTGGTGTGTGCGTGTGTGGTGTGTGTGTGGTGTGTGCGTGTGTGGTGTGTGTGTGTGGTGTGTGTGTGTGGGGTGTGTGTGGTGAGTGTGGTGTGTGTGGTGTGTGCGTGTGTGGTGTGTGTGCGTGTGTGTGGTGTGTGTGTGGTGTGTGTATGTGTGGGCATGTGTGGTGCGTGTGTGTGTGTGGTGTGTGTGTGTGGTGTGTGTGGTGTGTGTGTGTGGGCATGTGTGGTACGTGTGTGTGTGCGGTGTGTGCGTGTGGTGTGTGTGTGGTATGTGTGGTGTGTGTGTGGTGTGTGTGCGTGTGTGTGGATACATCCTTTAATCAATGAGGCCGGTCTTCTAACATACAAGTCCCAAATGGCAACCCCGACTTGTTAATGGGATTATTTGCGACACTGTGTCAGCAGTTGGTGCACAAACAACAAACAACAACAATAACAAAAAACGCAACACGTCTGTCAAATACCTTTGTTGAGAACACTGCGGCCTTGAAAGGAAAAATACATGGTAGGGATATTTTATATATATGTATAGGATTTAGCCCTTAATGTGAATATTGTGCAGCATTCGTGAGATGCAATTTAGCACGAATGACACTAGAAAAATTTTATTTATTACATTAATTTATATAAGGGAATGGATTTGGAGCTCAAAGTGGAGGCTCGTCCACCAGCCATGGCATGAGGAAGCAATTGCAGGGCTGCATCTTTGCCTCATCGATTAGGTCAGGTAAAGTTCCCGCCGTAGGCTAAGAGATGTCAACTCCCTCGCCTGGTACGCAGGAGGTCGTGGGTTCGATCTCGACCCTGACGCCTGCTGCTGTGTATTTGAAGTTTGCGGTGCCTCCCTCACCTCTCTCTCCCCGTGGTCGCGTGGATTTTTCTCCGGGTCCCCCCCCGTATTTCCCTCCACATTTAGAATCAATGTCGCACGTTTCAGGGTATTTGGCCGCTGTACGTTTCCACGCGATAACGCCGCTAATTTCGCGGCGCTATCATTTGCGCTGGCCAGGGTCGCTTCTGAAGAAGAGCTACATAGAGCAGCTTGGTGGGGGGGGGGGGGGGGGGGGGGTAGGTGGGGGCCTTACCCGGTGAAATACACAAACACAAAAAAAACAGTTTGGTAGTCGCTTGTTTTAGTTTAAACACTATAAACAATGGCACGTGTCCAGCCGAGGCCCTCACATGGTGGCAAACTTGTTGCAGCTGACGGCGAGGGGCACCGAGAGGGCCGTGTCCGCGTCGAGGCCGGGCAGGAGCGGCCCCAGTTGGCTCGCGTTGAACCACAGCGCCACGTCGGCGTCGCCGAGGGCCGTCACGTTGACGCGGAGGATGGCCCAGGCGCCCTGCAGGAGGGCCCTGCTCTCCGGGACGCCCAGCCGCAGTAGGCTGTGCACCACCTGAGTGGGAGTGGGTTGGTCGGTGGGCGGTTAGGCGAGAGAAAACTGAAGCACAAAGTGCAGCGCCCCCCCCCCCCTTCACTGCCCCCCCCCCCCAAGTAGGTTCAAGCGGTTGTCGGATTCGTGAATCCATTACGGGCGAATTGAATGTCAGCTCAGATTCAAATTGCAATAAATGTGTAGTGAATGTCACTGTGTGGTGCCGGGCTTACGAAGCCACGGCGGATAATGTGTTGGCATGAAGTGTAGCCCGCTTACTGGACGTAGTACCAGCCCTAGTGGGGCTTGGGTGAGCGCTGGTCAGCACGGAGGCACCGCGTACAGTGTGCGGTGCGGGCTCCCGGTGAGGGAGCAAGAGGGAGCGTCAGCCAGCCAGGGTTACGTTAGGGCATGGTACGCTGGCTGACCTGCCGACACGTGACCGGATGATATTGGAGGGGGGCCACCGGTGGACGGGGGCCGCTGAGCGGTCACGTGGTCTAAAAGAGCTCTTTGGGAGCCTTCGGGAAAGAGCTCGAGAGATCTAGAAGGTGGGCGGGGCGAGGGGCGGAGCCAGCCCCAGCCTAGGCCAATATAACGAGGGCCCCGTGAGGGGCTCGGGGTTCTTCGTGTTGCTGGTGATGAAGATTCACGTCGGGTAAAAGAAGCCTCTAGCCACGCGGTCCTGGACCCAGCTTGTGGTCCGGGCCAGGATAGCGAACCGTGTCTAGTTCTGCCGTAGCGTGGCTAGATGGGCGTTCAACACCCGAGTGTAGGTTGCGTTGTGTTATGTTGGTGAAATATCTCCCAGTGATGATTGGTTACATGACAGATGGAATCAGGACCAGTTGAAATCATCGTCACCGGCGTTGGCCGTGAGCGGGAATCGAACTTGGGTAGCCGGGTTCGTAGGGCAGTGCGCTCACCGCTCCACTCACAGACACGCACACACTCACACCTGCTGGGTGATAAGAATCATCCCCAACCTTTGATTTAAAATACAGAGGGGGGTGGAGTGCGTCTTGAAATCTGGACAATACGCTAGTTATCGGTAGTTATCGTTGCATCGCAGCAACGTTCAGTGACACGCGACGCGGACTCGAACCTCATTATTGAAGCTTTCGAGGAAGTCGGAGAGTGGTCCCAGCGAGTAGCTGGGCTCCTGCGGCTTCAGGCGGGACACGAGCTCCCGCAGGGCGGGGGGCTCCCGCAGGAGGCCGGCGCTCGCCACCACCTTGCCCAGGGTGTCACTGCTCACCTGCGCCAGCACGGAGTCCTGGGGGGGAGTTGGGGGGGGGCACGGGAGGTGGTGGAGGAGGATAGGGACACGGGGAGGAGAGGAGGTGGATAGGGACACGGGGAGGTGGAGAGGGACACGGGGAGGGGGAGATGGACACGGGGAGGAGAGGAGGAGGATAGGGACACGGGGATGTGGAGAGGGACACGGGGAGGGGGACACGGGGGGAGGAGGGGGACACGGGGAGGAGGAGAGGGACACGGGGGGGAGGTGGAGAGGGACACGAGGAGGAAAGGGACACGAGGAGGTGGAGAGGGACACGGGGAGGAGAGGGACACGGGGAGGAGAGGAGGAGGAGGAGAGGGACACGGGGGAGGAGGAGAGGGACACGGGGAGGAGGAGAGGGACACGAGGAGGAATTGGAAAGGGGCAGCAGCTGGGGGTTCAGTGATGTCACAGAAAGAACCGGCTCTGCTGCTCTAAATCGCTCAGCCCCCAGGGTCCCTTGCGCTGCGCGTGGGGACTCCGTGTCCACAGGCGAGCACGAGACGGAATGTTGCGACGGGCCACGTGGTTGCGCGAGATGGATGGTGACGACACCGGGCTGTGAGGGATGGCGATGGTGTGGATGGCACTTTATCCAGCAGTGGATAGCTCTACCTGTCAACCCCTTATCAGTGCCCTACCTTATTACAGACCAAATCAGACCGTATTGGTCACCCCGTGCCTCTTATAAATCTCAACGTCCATCCTACAAAGTCCCATCATCGCAAAGGAGAAATACAACAAAAAAATTTGTTTTTTTTTAAATATTCAACGTCCCTGTACAAGAATACTGGTAAACCGCATGGGTTGATTTAACATGTAGTTGTAGGCTTTCGCGACCAATATCATCCATAATACGTGTTTATGTTTTTTGGGTTAGATCGCGTAAATATCAATGCGTCGTTAAACCCGCCACCTGTAATTTCTATGCATTCATTAATCATCTCCCCCCACCCCCCCGCTATTTACGCGATCTAACCCAAACAACTCCTGCATTCTTACACATGGGTTGCCACGGCAGGGGATAGACCATGGCCACACTCACGGAGAGACAGGCGAACTCCCGTGCCGAGAAGGCCCTGAGCGTTGACACGCTCGGACGCCCCCCGGTGATGAGCGCGCTGAGGCTGCTTCTGGCACACGGACAGCACACACGGCCAGGGTCAGGCCTCGGGGTCAGGGTTAAGGGTTCGAGTTAGGGTCAGTGTTAAGGTTAGCGTGAGGGTTTGAGTTAGGGGAAAGGTGAGTGGCTAGCGTTAGAGTCCGAGTCGTGATCAGGGTCAGAGTTGGGGTCAGAGTTCGGGGTTAGGATTAGGGTTAAGGTTAGGCATTTAGGGTCAGCCTTAGGGTCAAGGTTCAGGTCAAAGTTAACCTTAGGGGTTATATTTCGATTTCAAGCTTTCGTGACTGCAGGGATTCATCTTCTTGGTTATTTCGATAAAGTCACGACAGACCTGTTCTTCACCTGAGGACGGCTGCTTGCGTTGTGGCCGAAACGTCGTGAGAATTATTTTATTATGTTTTATTTGTATTATTTTATTATTTCCATTCTACGTGACTTTACCGAAAGAACCAAGAAGACTTAGGGGTCATGTTCAACAACAGGGTTAAGATCAGACCACGTGCGGTGGTGCACATCTGCGATCAGGCGCGTCGGAGGCAATGGTTGGTGGGTCACAGTCGCTGTCTGTGAAACGCGCCGACCCGCCCGGCAGTAAGGCGGCGTGGGTACCGGAGTCAGAGCCACTTGGATTCCTGAATCCGTCTGTGTGGACCTGTGAGTACTCTCCCCTGGCCGCCCGTGGCGCGGTGTTCTCCAGCCATTCCACGCAGCACGAAACGACAACCCCGTGTCGTGAGAAAAAACTAAATTGGAAACTGCGCCAAGCATCTCAGCGCGAGACCCTCCCGAGAAGCGGTCTTGAGACTCGGTGCGGCTTGCCTGCAATCGATAAACCAGGGCCGGATGAAGGTTCGTGTAGGCCCCAGGCACTTCTGCTTCGTGGGCCTTCAGTGATAACTTCTACAGCTGCCACTGCTGCTGGTCCAATATTACTACCGCCGCTGCCACTCGCAGAGAGCGACATTGGTCGTGTCAGCTGATTCTAGATTTGAAGCTTTCGTGACTGCAAGGATTCATATTCTTAGGTTTTTTCGGTAAAGTCACGTGACTTTACCGAAAAAATCTAAGAATGTGTCAGCTGATCTTTAATTGTTCTTTCGGCCTGCGGCGGAATCAAAGGGGTTCTGTGGTGTGGACTTGGGGGTCATGGGGACAGCATTTGAGTGCTTTGTTGTTTATGAATGCCTAGCGTTGGTAGATAACACAGTTGTATCACTTTCACGGGAAGGACAATAACATGACGAGGTTTGTCGTAATGAGAACACCGTCTTCTCAGAGGTCACTCACAACAGCCCCACCCAGTGGGATTGTCACGAGACGCCACTGCATTCGCTAAAGCTGATTTTTTTTAAAATATAAAACTGTCTCTTGCCCTGCTCTCTATTAACAATGAGATTGTGCGGGGAGGGGGGGGGGCACCATTTGAAGATGTTGTTTGCTGATTTTGCAATAAAATAAATCTCGAAAACGTAATCTCCGGTGTCAATTTCACTCTCACCTTATGAAAAAAAAACATTGACATGACTCTGCCTCTCTGTATATACACAGTGCCTATTCTTGCTATATATAAATACATCTTTTTTTTGTTATTCAAGAAGATATCCTGGTAAAAACTAATTGTTATCATACAAATCAACAAAAAACATGGTCACATTTTTTTCGTAGTCCCTAAGCACAATGCTGACTGTACCTACTGGATATTACGACCTTGAGATAAAAAAAACTAATTACAAAGTTACTATGACTGCGTTTAGCGTGGAGTAGTGGGCGCAATGGTTCACACACTGCACTATGGACCTGGTGACCAGAGTTATATTCCAGGCCACGGCTAACATCACGTGGCAATCTTGATTTGAAGCTTTTGTGACTGCAGGAATCCATACTCATGTGGCAAGTGCTGTCATTAAATCTGAATCTGGCATGTTACCCCATCGCACCCAACCCGCACTGACCGGCGTGGTGAAGTATGGTCAAACATCATGTTATTATAATTATTCTAAGTAAGGATGCTGTATATAAATGATGATGATGATCACGTGTCGTGAGATGTGTGATGATGCTGGTCTCTGCGTCACTCACGTGTCCACAGCGGTGCAGTTGAACACACCTGGGGGGCAAGGGGCGGGGTGGAGGTTGTGAAACACGAGGGGGGAGGGGGGTGGAGTTGTCAACTGCGTTCTGTGCTCTTAACGAATAGCACAGATGCCGAGCCAGGGCGCATTCCACATTCCCACGGCGGGGCCCAGTCTGTCTACGCATTTCTAATCAACACAATGTATCCATCCACTTCCCTGCACCACGCGTTATCAGCGATGGAGGAGATGACGCTTGCAATCGATGATGATGAAGAATAGAATGATGGTGTCGATGTTAACTATAATGATGACGATTGTTATAACGATGGCTATGACGATGGTTATTAGACGATGATGCGAATGGTCGCCGATGTATTTTATACAACGATGATGACGACGACGAGGAAGATTATGATTGTTTGGGAGCCCCCCCGTTGTCTGACTCAAGGAGTAAAATGATCCCGTGTCAGAGTAAAGTTCGTGGTGTGGACGAGAGAGGAGAAGGCTGTGTTTGAATGAAGGCCGTGGTGAGCGAGCGGTGGTGAGGAGGACGGGTCACTCACCCGTACTGGGCTGAGACTTGGGCCACACCGACACAGACAGGGAGAGAGGGAGACATCAACCAGAGCAGCGGTTAGAGGGGGGGGGGCACTGCCTGTGTATCCGAGTCTCATCAGCAGTCTCTCATCACCACCACCACCACCACTTTCCCATCAACACCTTCCCATCACCATCACCGCCACCATTACCAACCCTCCACCATCACCTTCCTATAACCATAACCACCACCATCACCACCACCATCACCACCTGCCCATCACCACCTTCCCATCACCACCATCACCAACCATCCACCACGACCATCACCCACCATCTATCTACCAACACCTTCCCATCACCCATCATCATGCCATCACTGGGCTATGCACGTAAGCATTTTAGCATTGCACAGCCTCCTTGCCAAGCAACGGCTGGATGAAGACCGCCTCCCTACGCTGTGTCCGTCGGTCATGGGGGGGGGGGGGGTGCTGGTTTTTGACCATACTTCACCGCGGTGGTCATTGCGGGTTTATGAAGGCGAGGGGAGAGATAGGGTAGGGGGGTGGTGATTCCGCATGCAGATGTCACTCACCACTGATGGCAAGCCGTGGCTGGAATTGGAACTTAGGGCGGCACGTTCAGAGCGCCCTCATTCCACATGCAACATCGTGCCAGCGTTCCACGTTTACTCGGCAGCGCGCTAACCGCTGCGCCACCGGTCCCTGACCCCCATCGATTACTCTTATTCTTGCCATTACATTTACACCCGCACCACGTGCACAGGTGTAAGGCGAAGCGGTTCCTTACCTGGCCACGCACGAATATTGTCCCTGAACGGGATAAAGACAAAGACACCCGGTTAGCCCTGGACTGCCGGGGAGGGGAGAGTGGCTCAAGCGTCGTCTAAGCAATGCATGACGCTCGTGCGAACGGAGTTATGTGGCCGGCGTAACACCAGCGCCCGGCCGCCTTTGTCTCCCCAGTGCCGATGCAAAAATAAAACACGAATTTATATTTGCCGCTGATTTCATAGCGCATTGAACTCCGTCACCCGCACCACCACCGGACACATGAACAACAGCAGAGTCAGCGTGCGTCGACTGACCGAGATGACTGACAGATGCACCAGCTGTGACCCCCACTGAGATGACTGACTGATGCACCAGCTGTGACCCCCACCGAGATGACTGACAGAGGCACCAGCTGTGACCCCCACCGATATGACTGACAGATGCACCAGCTGTGACCCCCACCGAGATGACTGACAGAGGCACCAGCTGTGACCCCACTGAGATGACTGACTGATGCACCAGCTGTGACCCCCACCGAGATGACTGACTGATGCACCAGCTGTGACCCCCACTGAGATGACTGACAGAGGCACCAGCTGTGACCCCCACTGAGATGACTGACTGATGCACCAGCTGTGACCCCCACCGAGATGACTGACTGATGCACCAGCTGTGACCCCCACTGAGATGACTGACAGAGGCACCAGCTGTGATCCCCACCGAGATGACTGACAGATGCACCAGCTGTGACCCCCACCGAGATGACTGACAGAGGCACCAGCTGTGACCCCCACCGAGATGACTGACAGATGCACCAGCTGTGACCCCCACCGAGATGACTGACAGAGGCACCAGCTGTGACCCCCACCGAGATGACTCACAGAGGCACCAGCTGTGACCCCCACCGAGATGACTGGCTGATGCACCAGCTGTGTCCCCCACCGAGATGACTGACAGAGACACCAGCTGTGACCCCCACCGAGATGACTCACAGAGGCACCAGTTGTGACCCCCACCGAGATGACTGACAGAGGCACCAGCTGTGACCCCCACCGAGATGACTGACTGATGCACCAGCTGTGACCCCCACCGAGATGACTGACTGATGCACCAGCTGTGACCCCCACCGAGATGACTTACAGAGACACCAGCTGTGCCAACAGACACACGCAAAGACAAAGATTCCCCACCCCGATAGCCTGAACAGACTGTCGGGACCAGCGCTGTTAGCGAGCGCCTATTAAGGTCGCACGGCGCACGTGTCAGGAGGTGATGCGGCCGAGACCGCGCAACTCCCGAAAGTCCGGGGTCCTCAGTGCTGCTGTCCACAGCCCACTGTGGGATGTGCCTATTTTAGGCTGAGTATACCTAGGGGAGCCTCGGGCCATGATCATACGGATATAGCAATTGCCATCGGTAAGGATGAAAAGCATGATGGCCTATGGTCTTCATCTTCTTGGTTCTTTCGGTAAAGTCACGTAGAAGGGAAGTAATAAAGTAATAAAAATAAAACATAATAAAATAATTCTCACACGGAGACAGCTGTAGACAGCTGTAGAGCCCAGGTCTCACACGGAGACAGCTGTGGAGGTGTACGGAGACCCTGGTCCTCACCTGGAGAAGGAAGCAGCAGCAACAGGAGCAGCGGCGCGAGACGCAGCCCCATCGTTCCCCTTCGCGAGACGACGCCGACGAATTGACGGTCCGATTGGCGCACCAAAGGCCAACCTCGCCCGGTCACTGCTCAGGCGATGTCCCCTCCGCGTGGCTCGCTCGGCACCCCATGGCAAACGGCCGTGACCGGCTCTTGATCGAGTCGGGTCAGTGGTGCGATGGGGGGAGAGTTCCTTGATTCCAATTTGATGAGCGGCACGAGCTGCCCCGAGTTTCTAAGTCCGTGCAACAACAAGAAGAAAAAAATACAAAGATCTCCCGTGTAGCCTGTAACAGACTGCTGGGGGCAAGTGTTGTTAGCGAGCACCTATAAAGGCCGGCACGGCACACGAGGGGGTGTGGGTGGCCAGCACCACGCCCGGCCGCCTTCGTCTCCCCAGTGGCGATGTTTACACACTGCACCAGGTACTCATTTGAGGCTGAATCGACCTACACACACACACAGACAAAGACCCCCCGTATAGCCTTAACAGACTGTAGGGGCAAGTGCTGTTAGCGAGCACACACACACACAAAAACGCACCACACAATGACTCCCCCCCCCCCCCAAATCGAACTCCACCAACCGCTCACCCAGCCAGCGACCACACGAGCGAGCCGGTGATGAAGACGCGACGGGGAAATGCAGAGAGCCCCCACCCTCTCCTCCCCCCGCCCCCCTCTCCTCCCCCCCCCTCTCCTCCCCCCGCCCCCCCTCTCTTCCCTCCCCCCGCCCCCCGAGGAGAGTCGCTCGCCCACTCGAGGTTCGCGACGCGAGCAAAAATCTGGTCGGTGCGCGAGGCGAGGAAATAAATAATGAAACGGGGTTAGAAAATGTGCACCGGACGCCCCTGGGGAAGGAGTGGTGGGGCCGGGGAGGTAGGGGGGAGGGGAAGAGAGGGGTGGGGAGGGAGGAGATGAAGGGAGGGAAGGGGGGTTCTTGGGGGAGTAGACCAGCTCTCACCTGTGGACAGGTGTAGAGGTGGAGGGAGATGCTCTCACCTGGGGACAGGTGTAGAGGTGGAGAGACCAGCTCTCACCTGTGGACAGGTGTAGAGGTGGAGGAAGATGCTCCCACCTGGGGACAGGTGTAGAGGTGGAGGGAGACGCTCCCACCCGTTGACAGGTGTAGAGGTGGAGGGAGACGCTCTCACCTGGGGACAGGTGTAGAGGTGTGGAGACCAGCTCTCACCTGGGGACAGGTGTAGAGATGGAGGGAGACGCTCTCACCTGGGGACAGGTGTAGAGGTGTGGAGACCAGCTCTCACCTGGGGACAGGTGTAGAGATGGAGGGAGACGCTCTCACCTGGGGACAGGTGTAGAGGTGGAGGGAGATGCTCTCACCTGGGGACAGGTGTAGAGGTGGAGAGTCATGCAACTCAGCTGGAGTCAGGCCTCTCCACCTGAATCCAGGTGCGAACAGGTGCGAAGCCCTTCGCCTCAAGCGACATCACGTGGTGTGAGGATATTCAGACGCCCTGCTGGGTGACACCACGTTCTACTGCACAGGATTGTCAGCATTGCCGTCATAGCTACTCGGGGTGTGACGACGTCATTGTCAAAAGCAGTTGGGAACAAAATCTGAAAAGGCCGGGAGGTGCTTGCAATCACAGGGACAGGAAGAGGCACACGCGCTAGGGAGAGGCGTCACGCTGACTACATCATCATCGTCGTCGTCGTCATCATCGACGATCATCACAATCAGTGATGATCAATCCACCGCGGGATGAAGGCGTTCGCCGAGAACGTCGTCATCTCTGATGGGGCTTTGCGTCGGTGGCAGTCGACCTGGATCCTGCGCACGAGATTACTCCATCGCATCCGTCTCTCAAGACGCGCCTCGCTCTTTGGCTTCCACTCCATCGCTGTCCATCACCATTCCTGACCGTCATTGATCCCTTTTGGCCACGTGGCCACGTTTATCGACGACCGTAACTGTCTGTCACGTGCGATTTGTTCTCCCCAGGTTAGCGCGTAGCAGGCTTTCGCGCCCAATATTATTCATAATAAAGGTTTTGTTTTAATAGTAGGTTTTTACCCTTTTAACTGGTACAAAACTGACACCTTTATTCAAGGCATCATGTTTGCAATGACCACAACACAAGTAGTCAAAAAAGCAAACAAAAAGAAGCAACTCTGATAAGGATGATAATATGCACTGTCCTTGAAGTTGATTGGCCCACACCCGAGACGGCTTTCTTTAGAGCCTAGTCCCCATTGGTGTAGGGCCAGATGACACCAGAAGGCGTACAACTCAAACACAGTGCAATATCAGAGTATTGAGAGCTCGGGGTAAGCATTTACACTATGAGATCTCTTTTACCAGTGGCAAAATATAATAGTAGGTTTTTACCCTTTTAACTGGTACAAAACTGACACCTTTATTCAAGGCATCATGTTTGCAATGACCACAACACAAGTAGTCAAAAAAGCAAACAAAAAGAAGCAACTCTGATAAGGATGATAATATGCACTGTCCTTGAAGTTGATTGGCCCACACCCGAGACGGCTTTCTTCAGAGCCTAGTCCCCATTGGTGTAGGGCCAGATGACACCAGAAGGCGTACAACTCAAACACAGTGCAATATCAGAGTATTGAGAGCTCGGGGTAAGCATTTACACTATGAGATCTCTTTTACCAGTGGCAAAATATAATAGTAGGTTTTTACCCTTTTAACTGGTACAAAACTGACACCTTTATTCAAGGCATCATGTTTGCAATGACCACAACACAAGTAGTCAAAAAAGCAAACAAAAAGAAGCAACTCTGATAAGGATGATAATATGCACTGTCCTTGAAGTTGATTGGCCCACACCCGAGACGGCTTTCTTTAGAGCCTAGTCCCCATTGGTGTAGGGCCAGATGACACCAGAAGGCGTACAACTCAAACACAGTGCAATATCAGAGTATTGAGAGCTCGGGGTAAGCATTTACACTATGAGATCTCTTTTATCAGAGTTGCTTCTTTTTGTTTGCTTTTTTGACTACTTGTGTTGTGGTCATTGCAAACATGATGCCTTGAATAAAGGTGTCAGTTTTGTACCAGTTAAAAGGGTAAAAACCTACTATTATATTTTGCCACTGGTAAAAGAGATCTCATAGTGTAAATGCTTACCCCGAGCTCTCAATACTCTGATATTGCACTGTGTTTGAGTTGTACGCCTTCTGGTGTCATCTGGCCCTACACCAATGGGGACTAGGCTCTAAAGAAAGCCGTCTCGGGTGTGGGCCAATCAACTTCAAGGACAGTGCATATTATCATTCTTATCAGAGTTGCTTCTTTTTGTTTGCTTTTTTGACTACTTGTGTTGTGGTCATTGCAAACATGATGCCTTGAATAAAGGTGTCAGTTTTGTACCAGTTAAAAGGGTAAAAACCTACTATTATATTTTGCCACTGGTAAAAGAGATCTCATAGTGTAAAGGTTTTGTTTTGTTTGGGTTATATCGCGTAGGTATGAATGTGCCGTGACTCTCCACCACCCGACACAGCTAATTAGCAAGAGATCTGTCACGTTAACAAAACGCCAATTAGTTACTACTTCAGCCCACCGATGTGTTGGAGAGCAAATCCACAACATTTACAATTTGAGCACAGTGACGTTTCGCCGGTAATTACATCAACCAGCATCATCGGGCGATTTGCCAGAATAGTGAAGCCGTCCGCCTGCTTCCGGTCTTAAATAGAGCAACAGGAGGAGATCGTCACTGAACCCAATCAGGTGCAGAGATCTCCCCAGTGGCGATGTTTACACGCCGTACCAGATAATAGTGTGAGGTTCAGGACCGATAAAGACAATCGTCACTGGCGTTGGCCGTGAGCGGGAATTGAACTCGGGGCTCCGGGTTCGTAGTGCAGCGCAGCACAGCTAACCGCTCCACTACCGCTGAAAGCTGATCTCACCTGGGGACAGGTGTAGAGGTGGAGAGACCAGCTCTCACCTGGGGACAGGTGTAGAGGTGGAGAGACCAGCTCTCACCTGAGGACAGGTGTAGAAGTGGAGAGACCAGCTCTCACCTGGGGACAGGTGTAGAGGTGGAGAGAACAGCTCTCACCTGGGGACAGGTGTAGAGGTGGAGAGACCAGCTCTCACCTGAGGACAGGTGTAGAAGTGGAGAGACCAGCTCTCACCTGGGGACAGGTGTAGAGGTGGAGAGAAAAGCTCTCACCTGGGGACAGGTGTAGAGGTGGAGAGACCAGCTCTCACCTGGGGACAGGTGTAGAGGTGGAGAGACCAGCTCTCACCTGAGGACAGGTGTAGAAGTGGAGAGACCAGCTCTCACCTGGGGACAGGTGTAGAGGTGGAGAGACCAGCTCTCACCTGGGGACAGGTGTAGAGGTGGAGAGACCAGCTCTCACCTGGGGACAGGTGTAGAGGTGGAGAGACCAGCTCTCACCTGGGGACAGGTGTAGAGGTGGAGAGACCAGCTCTCACCTGAGGACAGGTGTAGAGGTGGAGAGACCAGTCTCACCTGGGGACAGGTGTAGAGGTGGAGAGAGCAGCTCTCACCTGGGGACAGGTGTAGAGGTGGAGAGACCAGTCTCACCTGGGGACAGGTGTAGAGGTGGAGAGACCAGTCTCACCTGGGGACAGGTGTAGAGGTGGAGAGAGCAGCTCTCACCTGGGGACAGGTGTAGAGGTGGAGAGAGCAGCTCTCACCTGGGGACAGGTTTAGAGGCGGAGAGACCAGCTCTCACCTGGGGACAGGTGTAGAAGTGGAGAGAACAGCTCTCACCTGGGGACAGGTGTAGAGGTGGAGAGACCAGCTCTCACCTGGGGACAGGTGTAGAGGTGGAGAGAACAGCTCTCACCTGGGGACAAGTGTAGAGGTGGAGAGACCAGCTCTCACCTGGGGATAGGTGTAGAGGTGAGGAGAACAGCTCTCACCTGGTGACAGATGTAGAGGTGGAGAGACCAGCTCTCACCTGGGGACAGGTGTAAAGGTGGAGAGACCATCTCTCACCTGGGGACAGGTGTAGAGGTGGAGAGACCATCTCTCACCTGGGGACAGGTGTTTGAGAGCTAACCGCTCCACGACCGCCCCCCTACATCACTTACACACACACAGACACCACGTGCACCGCTCACGCAAGCAAGACACGTGTTGTGTGTGTGTGTGTCTACGCGTCATGTCACTCGGGTAGCGAGTGGCCCAGTCGCTCTGACCCACGTCCCCTGTGGCTGTGCCCCCCACCCCTTGCCGCACGAGGCCAATGAAACTCGTGGGGCAGGGGGCACCGGCGGACACGAGAGGGCTTGGCGCAAAGAAGTTCGGAGGCGAGGCGTCGCTCGCTGCGCAAAAGGGCAAGGGGAGAAGACGCCACGCGCATCGCTCTGCACGTAATGCCACGGCGCGCACGAAAACCCAAGACGCGAATATCCCCGCACCCTCCCCCACCCCCTTTTGTAGCTTTTCCGGGCAGACTGCTGCCCGGTGGGTGGCCAGCACCACGCCCGTCCGTCCGCATTCGTCTCCCCCAGCGCCGCCTCCATGCAACACCGCATCGGGGGCCGCGCGTTCCGAGGTCCGAGGCGACCCCCGGGTTACGCGCGCCCAATGGATCGATTGACAATTCGGCATCGGGTTTTGGCAGCGAGCTGGAATCGAATTCAAATCGCCGGGTTCGTAACGCGGCGCGCGTTGACCACCGCGGTGCACTGCCGATGCCTATAGAGGATATGTAAAGGCAAAGGTCACCCGTGTAGCCTGCGACAGGCTGGTGGGGCAAGTGCTGTTAGCGAGTATAGCACCTATGAAGGCCGGCACGGCACACGGAGGGGGTGGGTGGCCAACACCACGCCCGGCCGCCTTTGTCTCCCCCAGTGGTGATGTTTACACACCGCACCAGGTACTCATTTGAGGCTGAGTCGACCTTGTATATATAAATACAAAGATCCCCCGTATAGCCTCAACAGACTGTTTGGGCAAGTGCTGTTAGCGAGTAGCACCTAGGAAGGCCGGAACGTCACACGAGGGGGTGGGTGGCCAGCATTGACAACAACAACCGCCATTCGCCACTAAGTGGCGGTGACGTCACCACGACGCTTGTGCCAGGCCAAGTGCACCTTGACACATCCATACACACACATGGAGTGACATCGCGGGCACCATGTGGATGTGGGTGCAGTACCGGCCCTAGAGGGGCTCGGTGAGCGCTGATTGGCAGCGCTGGATGACACCACGCTCTGCGTGCAGTGCCGACCCCTACAGGATAGGGTGTGAGAGTGCCGGCCATGGGAATGGGGTGACTAAGGGGCATGGCACTCTGGTTGACCCCGAAGGACACGTGACCGCTAAAGTCTACACAGGGCCCCCCAGGTGGGGGCTTGGGGTGGTCACGTGTCAGGGCCGAGATCCTGCTCGAGGGTTCTCGAAGGTGGGCGTGGCTAAGGGCGGAGCCAGCCCAGCCACAGAG